TTTTGATGCCATATTTATTGTTTAATAGAAAGAAAAAAAGATTACATACTTGGGATCAAGGATTTTGACATATATACCGGTGTGCGTAATCAAATTTTTAAGACCGAGTAATACCGAATGATAGAACCGAACTATATAGGAAACTACCAGTATATTTATCACTTAAAGTATGTCAGAAAGTGGATGGAATACAATAGATTCCGATGCAGTATGTACCTTAAATTGTAATTAAATTCAAGAAAATTATGATTCTAACGAATAGGGAGTTTTCACAGAATTAGTTGATAAGTTACAGATCAAGAATGTTCAATTCGACGATCTATATTCCATAGACAGCGATTCGTTAAAGAGTTCTAGTCCATTATATGGGGTTATATTCTTATTTAAATATGGGCAAGTTGATAGAGATTATGCTGCCGATAACAATAAGCCGTTAGATGGAACCTACGATGAGGATTATCAACAAAAGGGTATATTTTTCGCCAATCAAACTATTCAGAATGCATGTGCTACACAAGCGGTGTTGAATGTGTTATTGAACAAGCCAGAGATCGAGATAGGAGAGGAGCTTACAAACTTTAAGGGTTTCGTAGAAGGTTTCGATAGTGAAACCTGTGGTGAAACCATTTCTAACAGTGAACTCATCAGATCTGTTCATAACTCTTTTTCATCGCCATCGCTCATTATTGATGAAGACAAGCAAAAGCCAAAACCAAAATATGATGACAAAAACGATGGATTGTTCCATTTCGTTGGATATTTGAATATTAACGACCAAATATATGAATTAGATGGGTTGAAAACGTATCCAGTAATGCACGGTGAGTGCAAGTCAAACCAGGAGTTTTGCGAAAAATTGCCCGAAATATTAATGAGACGTATAAGCAAATATGGTGATGAGTTACGTTTTTCGTTGTTGGCAATTTCGAACGACAAGTTGCGTCACTATCAAGAAATCGGTGATGCTGCAATGATACATTCTGAAATGATGAAGAGAGAGACATGGAAAAGAGAAAACGAATTAAGAAGGCACGATTTTGTTGGTTTGATGGTAGAATTATTAAAAAATATTGGTAAAGACCTATCTGATAATGAATATGCAGATTTGATAAAACAAGCTAGACATAAAGGCCAAGTAAAATTACTACAAAACTTTACTAAAGCTCATTTTGCTAATAACTAGTTATATTATATATTTACTCATATAGCATTGGTTATTTAATCAATATCACTGAACGCAAATAATCCACCGCCCGGCCCTCTACTGTGTCTTGAAAAGTAGTCAAAATCAATACTGACAGCATTACCTAATAATATGGCCCTTTGGTCTAATGTTAATGGTCCAGCTACGGATGGATATAGGTTCCCCATACCAGAAAAGCTAGCAGGATCCATTCTAATTATATACACCCCCGAATCAGTAAACATTTCTCTTCCTAAACCCACCCAATTTCTATCCACCGAGGCAATAACGTCGCCTCGATCGTTTCTGACTGGGAAATCAAACGACAAAAATGGAGCGTCTATCGCACCAAACTGATCATATTCGTCCGTTACCTCATCTTCTAATTTGAATAAATTATATTTCCTTCTCCATAAATGCCAGTGTTGACATGATTCTCCTAAATTCTCAAACATCAAGTCTCCATTTTCATCGTAGCCAGGTAAATAACATTTAATATGAGAATTTATAAATGAAAACGGTCTTTTAATCGTTAATAGTAAATCTCCATAGTTATTAAATACGTCTATATCAAATGGTCTATGCAATCTGAAAAACTGTCTCCCTAACATTTTCATGAATCCTATATCTTTTTCTTCCATAAACCCTATCTGTTCACCCAAAGAATTCATAATCTTGTATCTATTCGCCTGTTCAAAGCCCAAAAAGACATTCATCATTTCCACCTGTCTCTCAATTACTAATGTTGGTTCCTTCAATATCTCATAAATTCCATCTTCAGGAGTAATCAACCCATTCTTATTCGGTGGAATAGAAAACACTGTATGATTTGCTGATGGCTCGTCACGATAACTTTCAAAGTCGTTTGATGGTTTGGTTTCGTAATAAAAGTCATTTTTATTCTGCTGTTCTCGTTGCTGCTGTTGAAATTTTCGAACCTCTTCGGCTGATATTTCTTGAGCTCTACGTGTCTTATTGTAACGAGCCAATTGACCAACTCCCGAAGTAGAAATTCTTCTTATGGAATTCAACTTCAATTCATGCTTTATAGCTGATATCGCTGTATATCTTATTATCATTTTTGCTTACCACTACTACTCTATGACATTAAGGAAGTATCTTGTGGCGCTAGTAAACTAATCGCTATTGTTATATGCAGTATGTTATAATACGATTGCAAAATGGTTAGAACTCCTAGAATGAAGTTAATAACCTATGAAGGGTTCAACTGGCCCATTTACGGACTTATTGTAAGGCAGATCATGAAATTATACATAAAAGAAGTTCATTAGAATGATTATATTGACTAATCATCATAATGATGTCATTTTCCGTGTACATCGTCTACTGAACACAACTAAATTTTTATAGTAGGATAGATAAGTAATTCACTAGAAAGATTCATATATACAATAGTGGTAGCAATTTTACTCAACAAAAAAAAACACAACAGTCAAATTGGTTTTGTTACTCGTCTGTACTCAAAAAATTGTTGGTGGGCATCGATGATCTTAACGAACATGCCCTCTCACACATATATTCCAGCTTTTCGAGAATTGATACTGCAGGAATTGGTACAAAATGATTCGCTGGCAGAATAACCGAATCTCTCTAAGCTCGTTGAACGATGTGCTCTTTCAAGAGAAAATATCGGATATACGGATATTCGTTCATGCTGTAACGGCCCCGGAGGAATGGAAGAAATATGAAAATGAAAATCCGGGGAATGTACTACTGAAAATTTTGGTTAACTGTTCCAAGTGAATTTTATTCAATATCAGTAATAAATACAATAAATAATGATATATAAACAAAGATATATAAATAACGAGTAAGATAACTCTATAATAAATGCATGAGATTAGTATCAATTTTCAACTGATAAAAATAACCTAATCGATTTTTTTAGAGCTTACGCCAGGAACAGAAATATTAGTTTCCCCAGCTAAGACACGCTTCATGAATTCGTAAACAGTAAATGTAACGGCCTGACCTGGAGCAACTCTCATAATTCTAGGTGTAATACCCTTATATAAGGCATGGATACCTTCTTCCTTGATTAATTGGTTAGCGATTTTAACGATTCTTACTAAACCAGATTCATTTGAAGCGTAAGTAGTCTTTTGCAATCTGGTCTTAATGGTATCCAAAGGAGCATTGGATAAAGGACCTAAAGCACCAGAAATCAAACCAATACAAGAAGTTTCCCATGCTGGTAAAACTTCAGATTGGTGGTAACCTTGTAAGTATTCCTTAATCTTGGAGTAAACAGTAAAGTTAACACCTTGGTTAGTAGCTTGTCTAGCGGCAGTCAACGAAACACCTCTGTACAAGGTGCTGAAACCTTCTTCCTTAACAATAAGATAAGCAGCATGTGGGGCGTTTCTGTACTTTGGAACGTCTAATGGGTCAGCCATAGAGTGATGTTGTGCTTGCAATCTAATCTTGACGACTTCCATTGGGTTAACAACCATAACAGCTTCGGTGATACCTGCACCGACACCAGCAAGGAATGTATTACCAGTAGAAATGGATCCATCCGGTCTGTATAATAAAGATCTATAGAATTCGTATGAAGAGAATCTCAAAGCCATCTTTGGAACAATCCCAATAACAACTGCTCCCAAACCCTTGTACAACGACAAAAAGGTTTCCTTTTGAACAATATTGATACCGGTTTTAATGAATCCTGGTGGCTTTTGGCCCGATTTTCTGTACAACTGCATTCTAACCTTAATGGTATCCAATGGATGGCAACATAAGGCTTCGAATAAACCAGCCGTACCACCAGCAATTAAATCAGTAACACCCTTTCCTTTGGTTTGTTTTTGAGGTTTAGCTGTCGACATTTTTTTTCTGAATATTTAACTTTTGACTAACTTGAAGCAATTTTAACTAGTTCCAACTTAAGCAACTAAAAGACTATATAATTATTGCTTTCAGAATTTTTCAAAATTCGTTCATAAAATGGGTTTATATATGATTCATTTTTGTGGGGGACTTTAGTCAACTCTTCCGGTTCTCCGGGGTAAGATAACGCCGAGGGTTTGGTTAATCATTTCGTGTATTGGTAAAATTCTGTGATAGGCACGGAATTATCGAATCATACATGTACTTAACTATACTAGTCCGTCTATATAATGGAAATTATGTATGTGGTTCACAAAGTGTTCATGTAGAATAAATTCCAAACCCGAAATCGCCGACAGGATTGAATACTTTGCGCTTATAGGGCAGTCATCATCTACATGAATATTTCGTAGATATTCAAGGATGATCCTAATAGCACAGTCCTGAATCTTCGTTACCCACGGAGAAGTGGTATATTTTAGAGTCTTAACATGTTCAGAAAGAATATCGAAGCTAAAGGTGTTAGTAGTATGTTATATAGTTAACGAAATGTAGATCTGCGCGTACATACTGCAGTTTCAATTCTCTGGAGATCATCTTCGACACAAGACACAAATCAACCAAAAGCAGATCCATGCGGTGAACCCTGGTATTATTAGTGAGTTTTACTGTCGGTAGTTGGTTAGCAAGTTTTTGAAGGGCTTTGCTGTGCAATAAATGGAGGGAAACTGTCGAGTCTGTCTCAAGCGGAGCACGGTCGAGAATGTCGTGAATATCACAGTTGCAAACATAGTGGAGCAGATTAGAATTCACAGGGGTTTTTATATCTTCAAGTTTATAGCGTTGTTTAGGTTGGATGGATTTTCGGTGGTTATACACCTTATATAGATAGGGTGAGTTAACTTTATCTAAAGCGAAGGACATTGGATTGTGACCAATATTTTTATGGACTATTTCATCGACGCTAGGAGCCGGGTTTTTCATTGCAATACATAGTTTAGCTTCTGGGGCACTATAGACAAGTGTACGTACATGCTCCTATACTCTTTTTGCAATCAATTGAAGGGACATTTGTGGTGGATGCGGCTTCGCGAGCATTATTTCTACGTTATCTCAATATCGTAATTAATACATTAAACTATATGAATCCCAAATAATACACACTTTATATATTTCTCACAGGCTTATTCATTAACAGTGTTAATAGCAGCTCCTGCATTTGCTGTCGAAGCGGCCGATTCAACATTTTTTTCTGCTTCTCTTTCTTTTTTCAATTCACTTAACCTCTTAGCTTCAAGATGGACTTCCTTAGCGTCTTTAGCCAAATTCTTGTAGAAGTCATGCACTTTGACACCATATGGATGACTGGATGCTTTTTCCAAATACTGGCTCCATTTCTTATGGTATCCAGAATCATTAAAGCTCTTCGCCAAGCCGCCAAATGTTGATTGAGCCTTAGAAATTCCCTTACCAGCAGCTGAATCAGGCTTACTTGAGTGTAAATAGTTCTCATCTAACGATGTTAAGAATGACTTGAATTTAGTAGAGTAACCTTTATCTTTATCGACATCAATTCCCTTCTGTATCAAATTATCAGACAAAGTATAGCCAGATGCCAACAATTGCGCCATTATAGCATATTTTGGCTTTTCCTCTTGTGAAATATCATCATATTCGCTGTCTCCTGTAACAGTGGAAGCATCTGTATCTTTTATGTCTCCTGAAGCCAAAGCCGAGCTCTGGATTTTGTTGTCACCCCCGTAAGATGCATTTTGGTTATCCACTGCAGCATAATCCGGAGGAGTGTCTGACTTTTCAACCTGAATTGGAACAGAGTCCAATTCTGCTTCATTTAATAATAATGCAGTATTCAATGCTTTTTCCAGTTCAAATTGAACCTCGTATTTCCCAGATTTATCCGTTTTTTCAATTAAATTGATAGACTTCACCTTACCACAGAATGAGAAGAATTCATAAAGCTTCTCATTTGAAATTGTTTGGGGAACTTTTGATACAATTACTGTCGACATTTTATTGTTTATTATGTACTGTTTATTGATTATAATACAAGAAATAATATAGGAATACTTTGCATTCCTTATATATGCCTTCCACTGATGGACATTGCTAAGCAATGAATGATCGTCATACTAATTTGCAATCACATTCACGTGATACATCCGTCAAGAAGTTCAAGGCCTTGTATAGCCTTCATACTAAGTAAGCAGTTCCGTGAACATACGCCTCGATTCGCTAAATGACTGGTGACTACCACGCACTATGAAAATACTGAACATTGCTCACTTTGACAACTTATATAATGTCGTTATGCGCGATGACGAAATTGATCGAGATGAGATCCGTACATCAACATAATTCATCATACACATCATAATCTCATATATTTAGTATACAAAAAATCGAAGAATTGAAACACCAGATAACATACTTAATATTACACATTGTAGCTAGTACATCCATCTATAATTTGGGTTCGTGGGGCCATCACGAAGCTCAGAGGTGGGTACATCTCTAAAAGTCAAATTGACACCTTGCAATTTATTTCTTCTGCGATTGTCAAATATCATGAATAGTACTATCGAAGAAACTAGAATGATTGCCAAACCACCGAATCCAGCAGTGATACCTAGTGCTGGTACGTATTTGGGTGCATCTTTTGGCCTAAAAATATTTGTGGAAATTAATCCCGCCGCGTTTGCTAGAGGAACACCCACGGAACTGATAACTATACGACGATTTTCGTTAGGAGTATTATTATTGTACCACGTCGAGGTAAGGACCGAAGCTGCTGAGGTACCTGTAGTCATCAAAAAACACGAAAAATAGGCTGCCAGTAAGTTATTCTGGATGTCTATGGCCCCAAAAACTGCAAAACCGATTAAGGTAGACAACACTGCAATACAAATGAATAACGATCTGATTCTCAAAAAATCAGACGAGAATGAGATTAATATTAACGAAATAGCACCCCAAATATTTGGTGCTACTGTAAACAAATTCGTTTCGACCGTAGACTTGCCCAAGGCGCCAATAATTTGGGGAAACCAATTATTGATTGAATTAATTGGAACCCCGATGCAAATTTCTACAAACATCCATGCAACGGCTACTGGGTGTTTGAAGACTTTCACCGCATCTTTTAAAGAAATCTTTTCCTCTATTTCAGCAGAAGAATCAGTCATGATACGGTGAACAGCACAAGCTCTTTCTTCCTCAGTAAAAAACTTTGCAGCTTCTACTGATCTTGGCAAATAGATATATGCGATAACTGCAATACACACCGTACAACTGCCTTCGATTAAAAACAATATCTGCCATCCATGTAAATGGGGATTATTAATCTGAAAAACACCGTATGCAAGTAAACCAGAAAATGCATTAGCAATATTTGCTGCTGCGTAGAATATTGATAGCCTCCTAGCCAATTCACCACGACGATAAAACCTGGTTAAGTAGTATATTATACCAGGGAAAAACGCCAGTTCTGCCATTCCCAAAAACCATCTTGCCGCCATCAATGATCCGAAATCAAACACAGATACCGCCAATAAAGTAACCGATCCAAATGTAAACATCAATACGGGAATAACCCTAGCAGGATTGTATTTTTTAATTATCAACGATATAGGAAATGCAAATAAAACAAAAGGAATGTAAAAAATTGAAAGCATCAAATTCCATCTATCACCAGTTATTCCCAAATCTATGTCGATTCCATCTGTCTTAGAGTTACTAATATTACCTTTATCTAGTGCGTTGAAAAGATACATCAATGCAGCTAATGGTAAAATCCTAAAATCTAGTTTGCGGCATACTCTCCTCTCAAGCGCATGGTCAATGTAACCATTATTCACTGGAATAATATCTCCATTTGCAGATGTGATATGTTCTAATCCCAAAGACTCGTTGCTAGAATTGGAATTCTTTGGTTGGATTTCAAATCCGGATGCACTTTTATCTTTAGCACTCATTGGATATTTTTCGCTTATATATTGATTATCTATTTATGTTCGGTTATTGAATCTGAATGATTTACAAGTACTATATGAGATACATGGCATATATATATAATTCTACTCACAATCTATCTTCTTATCATAGTAGATTTTAATCGGTATACGAATAGAGGGCATTTTTTGATAACGAGGAGAATTTTGTCGCAGCTTTGGTGGATGGAAAATGCCATCCACTCGATCAGGTGGGGTCACTAGTATTATTATCGACAATATAGCATAGGATTACCCAATACGATTACACAACAATGTAACAAGAATTGAATCGGCGGCACCGTTATGCCTAGTGATAAATAAGCCCAATTGATATAAAAGTTCTCCCCTATGCAGAAAATATCACACTCATAAATTTTTCACCGAAATTAGTTTAATAGATCGCAAATTACAAAATGCCAGCTGAAAAATTAGAATGGTCTGCTATTGATGGCCAGGAACATCCTGTTTTAGGCCCTGCTTGGAAAAGCAACGGGCATGTCTTCACTTCAGGAATTGTAGGGCAGAACTACTCTAACGGACGTATTCCTGAATCGCTCGAAGAACAAACAGAATTAGCCATAGCAAATGTCAAAAAGGTTTTAGAGGCATCCGGTTCCTCGTTGGATAAAGTATTTAAAGTATTAATGTTTATCTCTCATTCTGATTATTCTGCCACTGTCAACAAGATCTACGGAAAGCACTTTCCCCAAAAACCGGCAAGAAGTTGCGTTGTTGTTGCATTTATGGACGCTGCTATTAAGGTTGAATTGGAAGTAGTTGCCTCTACTGATTAACGTTTGATAGATCGTATTTGTTATAGAACTAAATAGGTAATTCGTTTAACAAGCTTATCTTACTGTGAAAAACATGTATTATGTAATCGAATAATGCAACCAACAATTTGAAGGTTGATAATTATCATTATTTATTAAGTTGTAATATAACTCATATCCTATTAGAAGGTAGACATGAGTGACACCGAGTTCAATGGAAAAAAGAGAAGAAGGGTATATGGTCAGTTTATTTGTGATATTTGTGATAAACAATTCATTAGAGCAGACCATCTTGTGAGACATAAGCGGAACCATGATCCCCAGTATTTGAAATATGTGTGCAATTGGCCAGGCTGTGGACAGAAATTTTTCAGGAACGATGTAAAAGAGAAGCATTATAAAAGACACCAGTCACGACAAGACAAAGGAGTAAGTATCCAAAGCCCCAGGGAGAGTCATCAATATCAAAACTTGTCAAACACAAATGGTGATACGAGTACCACGCATGAAATATCGGAAAACCAATCAGCTGAAAAACCAGATATACAGATGAGCCAAGGATTACAGGAGTTCCAGAGACCTCTAACTCAAAATATTCAAAATAACCTCCATCAAATTCAACCTACTATTCAAAGCCTGGTTGGAAGTCTGCCTAAAGAAATCGAAAATACGATACCAGGTATGCCTGACAAAACTTTGTCACCATCTGATCTTATTGAATGGCTTTTTCACGATGAAACAATTCCAGACGCATCATCTGATGCAAATCATAATACCAATGCATTTCCAAATAGACACACTACTGATATTACAAGTACTTTTTCCCCCATGAGTTTGTTGGAGAATATTTTTGCGGTTTCGCCAAACTTTCCACATTCGAACACCAGAAAAACTATCGATGAAAATGTTAGACATAAGTTAATTGAAATCATCCCTTCATTGGATTTGAGTCCCGATTTCAACTTAATTCAAATCGAAAGGTTTTTGGAGATTTATTGGTTAATATATCACCCACAATATCCCATTTTACATCGTCCATCTTTTACTAATTTTGAATGTCATCCTTTGCTACTTCTTGCGATGATAATGTTAGGTGCAAGTTTGACTAGTTGTACCGGCTACCATGAGTCTGTATTATTTCATAATCCACAAAAATTGGCAAATGATATTGCTGAACCTTTAAGATGGTTAATCTTTTCGAACCCAGATTGCAAGCCTCCTGCTAAGGTCTGGGTGGTTCAAAGTTTATTATTACTAGAGACTTTTGAAATCACTAGCAGTAGTAGAGCATTACATGAACGAGCATATTTACACCATGGTGCAAAAATACAAATATTGAGAAGATCTCCGATTTTAGGTGGGGATCCGTTAAAAGATGATAATGAAGAAGGGGCATATACGTTAAAAGATGAATTATGGAAAAAATGGATTGAAATTGAGTCTATGAAAAGGGCTACTTTAATGGCATTTTATTTGGATACTGTACATGCAACAGTTTACGGTCATATTATTATATTGTATGCTCACCAGATTAAATTATCTTTACCTTGTGAGGACGAATTATGGGAGTTTGAAAACACTAAGCAAGCAACCGAAACATTACCACCTGTTAAAACTCCAAAATTCTTAGGTGCTTTGAAAAGTTTACTCCATAAACGTAAAGTGCATACCAGTGCTTTTGGAAAAAAAATATTATTAGCAGGCCTATTAACTATTATGTTCCAAATGCAACAGAAGGATTTGCAGTTATCATTCTTGGAATGGGATTCAATAAAGGATTCGTGGAATGAAACTATTTCCTTAGCTATAGATGTTTGGCGAATTGATATTTGCTCGAAAGGAAACTGTTGTAATACAGAAGCTTCGCTTTATTTTCCTAAAGAGGATCAGAAGCTTTTGCCACCAATGCTAAGAGTGGATGATACAAGATGTAAATTCAGCTTGTACCACATTGCCCAGATTTATATGCGGATTACTCATTATGACTATATCATATACGCTGGTGCACCTAGTAGGATGAATGTGGTTGCAGGTACTTCTGAGTATAGGGTGGTTTCACATAGAGTAAAAGATTGGTCATCTAGTCCTAACGGTAGAATTAGTGTGATCCATGCCTACATGCTTTTATGTGAAATGTTGTTGTCGCCTGATAATGAAGATATTATATACACATATGAACCAAATTCTGATCCATTCTTGCATAGAAAGAATATTATAGCTAGTGCCATCTTGGTAGTCTTTGCATATAACTTTTCAATTGAAGGACCTGAGTCTTTGATATTCGAGGAAAAAAGTATACCTAATGACTATTATCCAGAGAAAGAAGATGGTTATTCATACTTAAAAAGAATAAGGAGATGTCTATCGCAAACTATTGGAGGTCCTTTTCATACCGCTAAACATTCAAATAGTACTATTTACCATAATTCCATAAAACTACATGCAGAATCATTGCTTAGAATAGAGAATAAAAATCATATAGTCGGATTATTGAAAATCTTTTACAAAGGATACAAAAATTGCAATTGGGAAATTGGTTGCGAATATTCTAGATTGCTCAAAAATTGCATAGAAAGATGCTTAGGAAGGAGCAAAATTACTTGTGATAACATGTATTTAAATACTTAATAGATTTCAAAAGGGTTTATAAACTAATTTTATCGTAAAACAATCAATGTCCTAAGTATGGAATTTATTATAAAATTAGTTAAGTATAGAATGCTTTTTTAAGTGAATCTGTAGTATCCTGGATTAGATCTCTGCCCTGTTGTAATATCGCATCCATAACCATGACTGGATGTGGTACACCGGGGTAAATTACTATTTCAGTTGGAACACCGTTGTTTTTTAACTTTCTAGCATATGCTTCAGCTTCTGACCTCAATACATCACATTCTGCAGCAGCTATGAAACAAGGAGGGAGCTTAGCAAAACTTTCATCAGGATAAAACAATGGTGATGATTCAGGGTTAGTGTATTCATCACCTCCATTTTGTAAATATAAGGTTCTATACCATATCATTTTCTCAGCCGGTAACTGAGGTGTATATTTATTTTCTCCCCAAGATGGTTGTGTTTCAGGAGTAGCAGAATTGTCAGTAACAGGTACAACCATAAGCTGAAAACATATCGGAGGTAATTCTGTTGTTGCTTTTGAATTGGCATACTTGTGTGTAACTATAGCTGTCAAATTACCACCAGCCGAAGAGCCCCCTACGCATATCTTAGTAGAATCAATTTCTAGTTCAGTAGGACCTGATTCGAAAGCCCAAAGGACAGCTTCAAATGAATCATCAACGCATGCTGGAAATGGATCTTGAGGAGCTAATCTATAGTCCACACTTATAACTACACACTTGCAAAGGTCAGCGACCTTCGTACAATATGAGTTTTCCGTGTCCAAACTTCCGAGAACCCATCCCCCACCATGGAACCAAACTAACAAGGGCCAACCCTCATCGGGCTTATTTGCATTTGGTACAAATACCCTAGCAGGGATCGATTTAGCAGCCTTCGTATGCTTTCTTGGTATTTCTATGTCGTAAGTTTTTGCCATCTCAGATAGCGGTGTCTGGCCAGGAATCACATTTCCTGCTTTCCTTAATTCCTCTAATGGAACTCTATGAGTATAAGCAATATTGGGGTTGCTGCTCAAAGTAGAATTGAAAAATCTCACATACTCCGGATCCAACTTTTTAATCATTGACTCATGTAGCTTGAAAGGTGCTTCCGGGATACCACCGGCAAATGAAAAGTCTGATTGAAGTTCGTATTCTGGCATTGTTGTTATAACTGATAGTTTGAATCTAATAAATTATCGATAGCATACTATTTCATTAGTTTTAAATACACGGTAAATCTTAGATTCGACCTTATCTTGCCCCCACATTTCATTAATATGTTCTGGTGGATGGCATAAAGGCATTTGGATGTAACGTTACATTAAAATTCATTTCATCCCGTATTGAGCCTTATCGGGAATAGTTGACACATTAATTCCAACGGTTGTTGGGTAGTCAATTGTAAACATTCATATTGAAAGCAAGTAATGTCGTGAAATTTACAAAATATACTATAATTTGACTCTTGGTGGATGTGCACATTTTGACTCGGTGGGTGGTTTCGGAACCATATTTCGCATCTCCTCCACGATTATATGATGCCTTGCAGATTAGTTATAAGACAATATATATCCATATTTCCTCCAATCCATAAGTATTGCAATTGATCTTATAGTTGAAAACAAATATGGCATATCCATCAAAATTCACAGCATTGGCTGATAAAGAAATCCTCTTGAATAATTACAAAGGTAAACGATTACAAGATTTACCTACACCATCATTTATAATTGATAGAGATATATTCCGGAAAAATAGTGACAAGATGCTTCACAATGCGTCCAAGTTGAATGCAGAGTTTAGGGCACACGTGAAAACTCACAAATCCACTGAAGGAACCTTGTTACAACTAGGTACTGGAGCCTTGAAAACTGATAGAGTTGTAGTATCTACGTTAATGGAAGCGTGGAATCTAGTTCCATTGGTGGAAAAGGGTCTTATATCTGATATGCTATTCAGTTTGCCAGTTGTTAAATCCAGATTAGACGAATTAGCGGACTTAAGTACAAAAATTCCAAAATTACGTTTGATGCTTGACAGTCCAGAACAGTTAGATATCTTAACTGCCTACAACATGTCAAATTCTCGAAGTCAAAAATGGTCTATTTTCATTAAGATCAACATGGGGACAGATAGAGCTGGATTGTTGAATGACTCTGACTTATTAAGCAAAGTCTTGACAAAGGCATTAAATGATGAAGAGGTCAAGAAAAATGTTGAGATATATGGATTTTATTGTCATGCTGGTCATTCATATAGTTCAGATTCTGAAAATAAAGCCAAGGGTGTACTCATTGATGAAATATATCACGCAAATCAAGCTGCCAACGCAGCTATTAAGGTCGACCCAAGTTTGACGAACTTAAAATTATCTGTAGGTGCAACCCCTACTGCCCACGCATCTGAAATATTAACACAAGAAGAATTAGAAAATAAATTAGGTGGTAAATTATCTGGGATCTTAGAATTACATGCTGGTAATTATCCATGTTGTGACCTACAACAAGTAGCTACAGGGTGTGTAAGCTATGAAGATGTATCTTGTAAGATCATTGCGGAAGTCATATCCACTTATCCAAATAGAGGCTCTAAGTCGCCTGGTGAACAGTTAGTAAACGCTGGAGTTATCGCTTTGGCTAGAGAATTTGGACCCTTACCAGGCCATGGTAGAATCTTGGAGCCCCACCAGTACAACAATTGGATTGTCGGCAGATTAAGTCAGGAGCATGGCATACTCACTCCATTTGATGAAGCAAAAGAAACCACTTTTATCCCATTGGGCACTCAAGTCAGTATTATCCCCCAGCACAGCTGTATCACTGCAGCTTCTTATCCTTGGTATTTTGTGGTTGATGGCTCTGACGAAGTTGTCGATATCTGGGTACCATGGAGAGGTTGGTAAGAGGTTGGTAAGTAGTTCATCCACGTATTATTTCCTAAATACTAATATAAACTCACTATTACAAGCAAATTATTGTTTCTGACAAACAATTTCGCCATGTACCATAGCTAGCCATCCTTTTTCATCGGAGCTCCATTCTTTCATAGACGTAACGATCTCACTCTTCAGGGTACCAGTATTACCTACCCAATGCTTGGTGTTTTCCAATCTTTCGATATACATATTGGTAAACCATTCTCTCGTACCATTGTTTGAAATACACCAATTAGAAGCTGTTGAACTTATATTTTCAGGATTGAATCCAGCCTCTAAAGCTAACTCTCGTAATTGTCTACCACATGTAGTAATTGTATATCCACTCAAACCTATGCTAGTAAAATATTCTCGAACCTTGTTGTATTTGGTGGGATAAACTATCATTGAATCCATATCTCCATCTCTACAGCAGACATATCCATTAGGCTTCGTTACTCTCTTCATCTCCTTCAATGCGGCTACCCTATCCTTCAAATGGATAATCACTTGGTGTGAATGAATAATATCAAATGTATTATCCTCATACGGTAACTTGTACACGGATGCTAATTCGAATTCGACATTCTGTATTCCGCTATCCACACCCCTGGATCTAGCATCTTCAAGTATTTCTTCTGTAGGTTCTACTCCTATGACACTTCCTTGAGGAACGTATTTACCCAAGTCATACGTAATAGTTCCTGGTCCACACCCAACATCTAAAATCTTGTCAGTCGGTTTGATTTTTGAGAGCATGTAGGCCGAACAATTTCTAGCCGTTCTCCACTCATGTGTCTTAGATACATAGTTATCATACCCATGTGTATAATAAGCTTGATCGTCTGTATTAGTATTCATTATTATAAAGCTACTTAAAATATAATAGAAAGAAACTGATTATTAATGGCTTCATTATCTGAGACTAATTATAACGAATTCTCGATTTTAACCAAGGCCTCAATGTCAGGTTGAAACTTTTTGTAAGCCTCGATATCAATTGATCTACTCAATGGAGGCCTTCCTGTCAAACCTTCTCCAAAGTTATGTACTTGCTTAATAGCATATTTGATACCGACCACGTTTAATTCCAAGATCATCATGTCTGCCTTGGTAACCAAGTATTGCAAATCAGATGCTTCTACAGATTTACCTTCTTTACATAAATTGTATAACTTAACCATAACTTTGGGGAACAATGCAGATAATCCATCAATAGCACCATATATACCTACCGATAATGCAGGAACTAGGACTTGCCCCAATCCAGTGAACGGTCTAAAATTATTGGTTTTGCAGATCGTGGTATTTTTACCTAGTAAAGTATACAAATCCAAGTTAAAGTGGGTTAACTTTGTCCCCACAATATTTGGATGCTGGGATAATTTCTCGTAGGTATCAAGTGTAATAGTGACGTTATTGCAGGTACCGGGGTAGTTATATATCATAACTGGAAGGGCTGATTGATCCGCGACCTGATTGAAATAATCAAGTATACCTTGTTGGCTTATTAACGCAGGTCCAAAATAGCCTGGAACTAATAAAATGATAAAATCTGCGCCTGCCAGAGCTGCCAGTTTTGATTCTTCAACTGCTTCCTGAATACTACCCATTGGTGGAGCCCCTGCAATAAGTTTAAAGTTTTCGTCTGGGATTGCTTGCCTAATTGCAGCCACAACATCGTGTCTTTCCTGCGAGGTCAAGTGTACACATTCACCCATAGAACCACAAACTACTAATCCACGGATGCCATTCTTGTGTAAGAACTTCGCATGGGAAACCTGAGTTTCTAAATCTAATGTGTATTTGCTATCCAGCTTGAAAAATGTGGGGATAGGAGTGTAGATTCCACCTTGAATAATTTGATCTTGAAGCGTCATTATGTTAACTATTATTTTTGACTATAAATGTTCACCATAAGTCTGTAAGCAAGCAATAAAGCACCTTTTATAATCAGAAAAGTTGCATTCATACTAAGCTTAAAAGGCTCTTAAAACTGGTGGATGGTGCAAAATTAATTTTCTGGTGGATGGCATGGAGGAGAAAAGTGCATCAAGGCACTTTTTTTATAGATGACGGTAATTCAAGAAGCTATGCCTATTATTTATGTTTATGGGGTATGTATATTTTCTCAAGGTCAAACGTCATTTATAACGTCGCTATAGCTATATTGTATTCTAACCCATATAGGTATCGATATATGTTTGATAGAGAGGTGGTGAGGGCTTATGTAATAGCTACCCCAGAATTCGGAATATTCACCTTGATTTTACAATACAATAACATTGAAACTACAAATGGTTGAATCCCTGCTATAGTTCCTCTTAGGTGACTGAAGGACACTTTGTTGTGTTCTAAGCTGTATTGACGTAAAGTTTTAGCATTGAATTCGGCTAAGGACTAGATAATATTGAAACAAGAACTCGAGAGCAGTTGTACAACACATCTTGATATCCCAAAATGACTACGTGTAACACTTGGTTATATCTGATAGCATGAGTATTTGTTCGGAATCGAAGTTAGGTGTATTCAAAATCCTAATGGCTGCAAATATTGCACCGCATTTACCCCTCCTTTGGTTCGAAACTATTCTTTAATGAAAACCCTAAAAGAACATATCATTAACTTTACTGGTGTAAATAGTACGCTTTTATTGTATACTGGTTATTTTAAGTAAATTATGTGGAGTTGTTATATTTTTGAATTTATCACCTCTTATTTTAGAATCCTGGAAAATTAAAAAAAGCCCTATTTCCACATCTCCGAGAACTCAATCTTTACGCCAAACTCTTTTTTACAACATAACTCGAGACTACAGCATACTTTATTAACACAGATACAGAAGTATGATCTTTCATATTTTACTATTACAAAAATCTTTTACATATTCCTCCTATTACCTTGAAATTGCAAATTCAAGCAGCAATCAGTTCTCCAGACTTACCGCACATCCATGCACCAATCCCGGATATAATTTTTTCCACGGCACTTCGAATCTAACTAGCTTTAATACTTTGCTCTACACAATATACATCAATATAGTCAATTAAACAGGTCCATGTATACATTTACTCATTAAGTATGTACATCAGCCTAATCTCTATGCTCAGTTTATACCTGTAGAGTTTGTCGTAAACAAAATACTCCAAGACTCCTCAGAGGTCTGGCGAGCATTTCATTACGTTATCCAATCAACGCTCAGTAATTTTTAATTACATAGACAAATATTCCCCCGGGTGAATTCACCGGGAATAATATAAAGAATAAAGATTTGTCATAGATTTTTCTTTCCCACGTAGAAAGTGAAGTTGATAAATTAAACCGGTTATTACTATAACGGACGATATAAAAGGTATTCAGCATGTTTAAATCAATCATTCGTCAAAGAAACAACTTTTTGGGACAAAAGTTCAGAAGCTTGGCCACCAGTGCTAACGCAGAAACCAGAATGAAAAAATTCCAAATTTACAGATGGAATCCTGATACCCCTGAAGTTGAACCACAAATGAAGACTTACGAAGTCGACTTAAACCAATGTGGTCCTATGGTGTTAGATGCTATTTTAAAGATCAAAAACGAGCAAGATGCCACTTTGACTTTCAGAAGATCGTGTAGAGAAGGGATTTGTGGATCTTGTGCCATGAACATCGGGGGTAGAAACACTTTAGCTTGTTTGTGCCGTATAGAAGAAGACACATCCAAGGACTTGAAAATTTACCCATTACCTCATATGTTTGTTGTTAGAGATTTGGTCCCAGATTTGACCCATTTCTACAAGCAATACAAGTCTATCCAACCATACTTGCAAAGAGACACCCACCCAGAAGATGGACGTGAAAACTTACAAAGTATCGAAGACAGAGCTAAATTAGATGGTTTATACGAATGTATTTTGTGTGCCTGTTGTTCCACTTCTTGTCCATCATACTGGTGGAATCAACAACAATACTTAGGTCCTGCTGTTTTGATGCAAGCCTACAGATGGTTAATTGACTCTAGAGATCAAGCTTCGAGAGCCAGAAAGGAAATGCTTCAAAACTCCATGTCCTTGTACAGATGTCACACTATTATGAACTGTTCTAGAACCTGTCCAAAGGGTTTGAATCCTGGTAAAGCCATTGCTGAAATCAAAAAACAATTAGCCTTTGATTAATTGAATTCTAATTAATAAAGTTGCATTTTAAATATATATTCTATTTTATTTCTCCAAAGGATTTTGTTCACGTCTTGATTCATATGTCATCGTCAGTATATAGTCAATGCTTTTAATATGGTTAATCTTGTACTTGAATGTATTTATTGATATTATCTACTATCTGTAGTTGCTATTGTATTTCACTGTTCTATTCACGTAATTATTGACCGATTTCCGATACCTTTCCCGAGATATTTTTCTAAATATATATTGTTCTAAATATGGGGTAACATGAATTACCTGCTATTCGTTATCCCTTAACGTCAAGAAGCACAACACTGCCTAATTGACAATAGAATGTCAATTGAGTAATTTTTATTATTGTTACTTTCAAATAAAAATTAGAAATCTCGGGTGCCATTAATTGATGCTAGCAAAGTCCGAGTTGGCGGAGAACCATCTTAAGCGAAGTGATATCACCAATTTAACAAATGACATAGCAATGAAGTGGATAATTAAAATAACTCGGAATATTGTAGATCATTCGTATAAATAGGGGAAATTAAGACAACGGTAATTTATGTATTGATATATTTTCATTATTAAATTGTATTGATTGTAACTAAAATAATTAAGATGTCTAAAGGAAAAGTATTGCTCGTTCTTTACAGGGGTAATGAACATGCTAAGGAAGAACAAAAGTTATTAGGCTGTTTAGAAAATGAGTTAGGAATTAGAGAATTCATCGAATCGCATGGATACGAACTTGTTTCCACCGATGACAAAGACCCAGAACCTTCGTCCCAGGTAGATAAGGAATTGGAAGATACAGAGATTATTATTACGACTCCATTTTTCCCAGCCTATGTTACCAAAGAAAGAATTGCCAAGGCACCGAAGTTGAAAATGTGTATCACTGCCGGTGTGGGTTCGGATCACATCGATTTAAATGCAGCCAACGAAAGAAAGATTGCTGTGACAGAAGTCACAGGCTCTAATGTGGTATCAGTAGCAGAGCACGTTATTATGACTATGCTTGTGTTGGTAAGAAACTTTGTCCCTGCGCATGAACAAGTCAAGAAAGGTTTATGGGATATTGCAGGAGCTGCGAAAGATGAATATGATTTGGAAGATAAGGTGATTGCAACCGTTGGTGCAGGAAGAATTGGTTATAGGGTATTAGAAAGACTCATCGCTTTCAACCCAAAGAAGTTGTTATACTACGACTACCAAGACTTACCAAAGGATGCAATTGATAAGTTGAACCAAGCTTCTAAACTATTTAATGGTAAGGACAACATTGTTGAAAGAGTTGAAAACTTAGAAGACATGGTTGGACAAGCAGATGTGGTGACCATCAATTGTCCTTTGCATGAAAAGAGTAAGGGATTATTCAACAAGGAGTTGATCTCTAAGATGAAGGATGGTGCCTGGTTAGTTAACACTGCTCGTGGTGCCATTTGTGTTGCAGAAGATGTTGCTGCAGCAGTCAAGAGCGGAAAATTACGTGGTTATGGTGGTGATGTTTGGTACCCTCAACCAGCCCCAAAAGACCATCCTTGGAGAGAAATGCAAAACAAGCATAATGCTGGTAATGCAATGACTCCTCACGTCAGTGGTACTTCTTTGGATGCCCAAGCAAGATACGCCAATGGGGTCAAAAGTATCTTAAATAGTTACTTCACAGGAAAGCACGATTACAGGCCTCAAGATGTTATTGTTATTGACGGTGATTATGCAACGAAGGCATATGGTCAAAGAAAATAGTTCTCTCTTGTTAGCTATCTTATGATTATATGAAAGAAAAATTATGTACGCACCTAATTATTACAGAATGTAGCCAACTTTTTTTCGAATGAAGGAATTGCCCCTTTCTTTATTCAATAAGCTTTCGAATCAATACTCTAAGGATGAAACTATTGAAGATGAAATAGAGAAACTAATTTGCTCCATTGGCTCGTTACCAGATGAAAAACCAACTGAATTACTTCATTATACCAGAACGGTCACTGGCGAAATCAAGCCAAACGATAAACAAGGTTTAAAATTGTTAAATATTCCTATAGGCAAAGGCAAAAAGTTAAAGTCTAAAACCCCAGAGCGAATAATAGGATCTGATTTAACAACAGGATATCAAGGATTTAAAAAAGCTTCAGCAAGCGAAATATATCAATTAGATGGTTTATTCACATCTCTTAAGTATTATTTGGACAATGCAGAGAACAAGCAAAAGTCGTATGAAAGGATTCAGTCATCAATTATGTCTTTAAGACGAAATTTGCTTATGCTTATGCTAATACCTTTAAACCACTGGAAAGAATATAGATTTAACGTAATTTATTGGAAAGGTATGATCATTTTAGACTACGATTGGGAATATTTTGAAGACGACATCAACATAGGAATGTCAAATTTGAGTTTGAGTCGGAGAAATAATACAGAATTATTACAATACACTGGTTTCAAATTCGAAGACTTAATTACGCTGGCGCCAGATAAATCAAATGACTTTTATACCCTCGTCTCTCAGAATTTCGATAATTTCAATACAATATTTACTGCCGAAGTTGATGCTGGCATAGATGATGCTACTTCTTTATCTTCGTATGTTGAATTAAAAACACATAGTCAGACAAAATCGCAAATTGATTTCAAATTATCCTCCAAATTAATGTCAAGCTGGTGTCAGACAAAATTGGTTGATGGAAAACATGTGATTATTGGGTTTCGTTCAAAGAGCTATAATCTTACATCGATTAAAAAGTATCAAACTAACGAAATATCAAATTTGTTGAATTTACACCCGTTAAAACTTGCAGATAATTCTACCATTACCTGTAAAAAGCTAGTAAGATGGTATAAATGCGTCTTGAAATGGATTATTGATCTGATCCGAGAAGATAGCGAGGTCGAGAACTACAAAGTATATAAAATACATTATTCACCAAAGAATTGCCCTGCCGACTCTTCCTTGTTTCTCGAACCTATTAATGATGAGACTAGAAGCGACATTTTTAACCAAACCATCCCACAGTGGTTCCAGGAATATATCAATGTTTGCACCGAGCCATGAAATCATTCCTCTGAAATTCATCACTAGCCTTTTGTGTGTGTTACCATAATCCTTTGCTTTACACTATACCTTGTCATGGGCCATATTACCTGCTTAATCTAAAATTTATTAGACATACATAATATTATATATATACACGAATAACCCCTTTACACCAATGCATATCCTAACGTTCGAATACAAATTCTTTAATTTGATATAGCTTCTTTGATCGCCAACTGCCTTGAGTGACTATCAAAGTGTATACTTAAATCTTTAAAGTTCATTGTCTCTGGATCTGCTTGCATAACATGCTTGTCTTTGAAGGTAACTTCCACCACTGGCTTTTCTGATGCTGGTGAGCTAGCTGTTAGCACCTTGTAATCTATTTTACACGCACCTTTCATTGAAGGTGGAATTCTCGAAAGAAACAATCTAGCAGATCTAGCACTGGGTGTGAATGGATCAAATTTAACCGACACCTTAGTGAAGTATTTAGTAATCATTATTCTGTATGTATAACGAGATATGGCACGAGGTTAACAGGAGAATATGCTATGATTTCGGTCTACAAACCTATATAAGTCCCAGAATTTTTCAAAAACTTTTCTCATTAAAAAATAGTGCGTACATCAAATCATGAAATCAATATAAAGCAAGACGATTTCTCAAATTCGCTAGTTTTGAAATATATATTATCTTCTTTATCAAGCCATATATATTATTTATTTATTTAAGATTTTAATTGATATATAAACTTTAAACTATATATTTCCGATGTCAACTGGAAATTCAGACGAGATTGAGCTTTCGAGAGTCAGAGGTGCTGGAATTAGCGAGCCTCTTGACGCAACCATGAATGATGATAGTATCGATGAAAACAATGATATTATGGTCAGAACTGGTATAAGCGAAGCAATTGATCCGAAGAAACGGACATTTACATTTGGTCCAGACCCAGACGGTGTAGATGGCGTAAATGATGCAGAGAATGTAAAGACCGCAGGCATGGCAGATATTGCAGCAGAGACCACGGAACGTTTAGAAGACTCTGACGATAAGCCACCAGACGGCGGCTTTAAAGCATATTCCGTATTAGTAGGTTCTTACTTCACGATTTTGACCAACTTAGGCCTTATTAATTCTGTTGGTGCGATCCAGACGTATGTCTCTGAGCACCAGTTGGCAGGCATTAACGCTATTAGTGTCTCGTGGATTTTCTCTATCTACCTTTGTCTTGCATACGGGGTAGGCCTTGTCACAGGTAGTATATTTGACAAGAAAGGTCCTACGGGATTGTTGATTGTATCGACTGTATTGATTGTTGCAGGGTTATTTGGTGCAGCCTACAGTAAGACCGTTTACCAATTTATTTTGAGTTTTATGGCTGTTGGGATTTCAAACGGTTTATCGCTTACTCCATCGGTTGGTGTTATTAATCACTGGTTTTCCAATAAAAAGATAGGAGCGATTCAAGGCCTTTCTACTAGCGCAGGCTCTTTGGGTGGGTTAGCATTCCCATTATTGTTGAGATACTTATACCCTACTTATGGATTTTCAATAGCGCTTATTGTTTTGGGATGTATCTGTTTTGGATGTATGTTAATTGGAATTGCTTTAATTAGAGAAAGAGTAAAGAGACAGTCACAAGAAGTAACTTCCTTATCTAATGCAAGGCCTGAAACATTATCAAAATGGAAGAAAGTTAAGAAAGAATCGAAAGTTTTGAGTTTTAAACATTTGAAAGATACTAAATATGTTCTTCTTATTGTGGGTGCATTTTTCGCTGAACTTTCATTAGTGTTGATTGTCACCTATTATGCTACGTATGCAATTGCACAGGGTGTCTCAGAATCAACCGCTTATATATTGTTAACTGTTTGGAACGCTACTGGTATATTGGGCAGATTTTTGCCAGGTTTGGGGTCTGATTTCTTTGGGAAGTTCAACATGAATATCTTGATGCTTTTAGGCTATAATATATCCATTTTCGTATTGTGGGTACCTTTTGGATACAACTTGAAAGTTTTGTATGCATTCGCAGCTCTTGGAGGTTTTTTTCTGGGACTGATTTTGTCAATGGTTCCAATTTGCTTGTCCCAAATTAGTTTAGTTGTCGAATTTGGAGAAAGATATGGGTTATTAAATTTCTTCCTCAGTTTGGGTAATTTGTTCGGTGTTCCAATAGCAGCTGTTATTATTGGAAATGGAAGCGTCCACAATTACAAAATGTTTTCAATCTTGGTTTGCGTGTGTTCCGTTATTGGGACCCTATTCTGGTATTTGAGTAGACACTCAATTGTTGGATTTAGATTGAATGTAAAAATTTAAGTAGGTTAATGTATTTTATGTTTGATCTCTATATACTTCTTATCACCCTCTGAAAAGTGGTGATTGTATTTATACTGCAAATAGACCATCTTTATAGTTAATAAACGAAGACCAAATCCCAATTTCTATCAATAACTATATGGTGCAAATGCATATTATTTTTAAATTGAAGCCGAAGCTTCCCTATAAACATATAAACGTGATTTATATTGAATCATTGATTGGAACCCAAGTCACGTAATTCGTGTTGATCTACCGCATACTGATTGCGGGAAGAAATCGAAGATGCAATACTTCTATTTTGCTCTTGATGTTGATTTGAAGTACTTTGTCTTCTTTTTTCGATGATGCTGTCATACTTGATAGCTTTCCTCGATTGCATGTATCCCCATGCAAAATAGCCTATTGGTATATAACTTAACAAGGCAACTTGCAAAAACACTTCATAAATGTGGTCTTGCTTAACAAATGCAAGACTCAAAAATATTAATATCATTTCTGCAACCATTGTCAATGGAAATGTCAAGTAAAAATGATGATATTGCAACCAGAAGAGCCAAGAGGGTGTACTGCGGGTTTTGACTTTGAAACTGTAGTATGAAAAGTGAATTACGTACATTAAGCACCACGACAATATAAGCAATGAATATGAAGTGTGCTTCGCTATCCTTGGATGCGGAAAGATTACACCATAGCATATCCATACCATTTTAACACCATTTGCTAACGACCACAAATCATTTGCTTGCAATTTGGAATTAATCAATGTCTTTTTTATGAAAAAACCACACAACGGTAATAATGATACGATATGAAAGAAATCTGCAATTCCACCTGGCAAAAACTTCCTACCTACCAATGGTAATAATATTAAAAACCGACAAAAGCAGCAAAACCATAACGTAAATGAGCAAGTGTTATAAAAAAACACGAACTTGAGATTTGTGGAAAGTGGGTATAAATGTGCCATACGAATAGTTTACTCTGTAAAATAGAGAAGTAATGATACGTGGTTTTATACTAATATTGTCTAAATCTAGTTGATCTGTTGAAATAGAATAATACTGTATATAAAATTTTATTCAGTTTTTCAAGAAACAGCCATGTTGAAGAAATAGATGGTTTATATATAAGCATAAAGATGAAATATATACCTCTATTGTCTCTTATATTGATCTTTGCATCTGCAATTTCACTTGTGGAAGCATCAAACTGGTCTCCCGAAGATTACGAGATTTTCAGTTTAAATGATAAAGTTCAGCAAGATTTAGGACAAGGTACGAGTTTTTACTCTTGGTTAGAATTGCCAAACGGTCCTAAGTCCACATTACAAGAAATTTCTAAGGCTTATAGAAAGAAATCACGTATTTTACATCCTGATAAAGTAACCGGATCCAAGTCGTTAAAAAAACAAGCAGAGGAACGATTCCAAAGGTTATCTCTAGTTGGAAATATTTTGAGAGATCAATCTTTAAGAAGACGGTACGACTATTTTCACTCAAAGGGATTTCCAAGATGGAAGGGAACAGGATATTATTATTCAAAATTCCGTCCAGGAATTATTATGACTGCTATGATACTTTACGTGATAGTTGGAGGAATTCACTTCATTGCCTTGAAGATTGGTAGGAAACAGGACTTCAAACGTCTCAGAGATTTGAAAGAGCAAACTAAGAAGCAAGCTTGGGGCGGTTCGCAGATTCCTCCAGCTGATGGTTCAAGTAGGAAAGTTTTCAATGAAACTACTGGGAAGCAATTTATGATCGCTCCAGACGGGAATGTTTCGTTGATAGTTTCTGAACCTAAGAAAGAATCGTATCTTATTCCTCTTGATGAAAATGACATCAACCTAAACCCAGGCTTTAAGGAGTCTCTTTTTTTCAAGCTTCCTTGCGCATTATGGAATTTTTCTCTTGGAAAAGCATTGAATAAGACTATCGACACCACTGTCGTGTTTGAAAATCAAAACAAACAGGAAACTTCTATCCCAACTGAACAGAAGAAGAAATCAAAGAAAAAAACTCAGAGAGGCCAAAGCTTTGAATTACCTAATGGTAAAGTAGTTTATGGAAGAAATGGAAGTTCGACTTCTCAAAAGAGAAAACAAAAGTAATATAGAGTTATATTTTACGGTCTATAATTGTAATTTAGAATAATTTATTTATGAATGCGTATATTTTATATTTATTTACTCGTTATGCCTTGACACTCTTCGTAATTCATTACCATCATCCTCTCGGGTTTCATTTTCGTGGTCCATATCACCACCATCATCATCCGAGGAACTTGAACCCGATAAGTCGTCTAAAAATTCATTCTCTTGGTATTCATCATGAAAATGCTCATTATCGTAGAAATCCAGATTAAAATCTTCAACCAGCGGCGACCCTTCAAGCCTTACATCAGGAACGGGAGTTTCCTCCATATGCTCGTCATCATCATCTTCATCATCAATACGGCGAGAAGCATTTTGATGATCATTTACGAATAAGTCATGATTAGATCTATCCCCTAAAATTATTAAATTTTTATTGGAATTTCCTTGTTCCTTATCATATGAGTCTAAATCAAGATATCCCACAGTAGATGAATCAAACCCATAAGAGTCTTGATCTTTATCATCCAGTCTATGACTTTCTTCATCATCATCTTGTTCTGATCCTAGTACGACATTATAAACTTCCCTGGTTTTAAGCAATATTTCATTAACAAACCAATCCCAATCTTTCGATAAAATAGCATCAAGGATTATAGGAGATATAAGATCTGGTTTATAAAGAGAGGTGAATTTGACTACTTCTTCACTAATAAGAATTAGGTGACCCATATAACCAGGACGAGGCTCATGAGATTCACGGTATGATTTGACAATTAAACTTGTTATATCACATCTTTTTGGTTTAAACAAATCCACAATTAGAAAGGAATTATATGAGTTAAGTTTTCCATTAAAAATCTGTTGAATTAAATCAAACACAACATTGTGAAAAAAATTATGCCAAGGATAATCTGTAAACTTTGAAACTATATCAAACAAAATTTCCAGATCACCCAATTTAATCTTAAATTCATCTCCAATACAAGGATTCATTCGTATACTTTTGTCTCTATCAGAGCATACAAACGGGTTTTCAGGGGAGATTTTAGGCTCATCATCATCTGAATCATCTTCCGTTTCTAATGACTCAATTAAATTTAAATAATCATCATCGTCGTGCACAAAAAGATGCCTTGAATCATCCGGAATATCGATCCTAGATTCGTCTTTCTTATCACTATCTATAAAATTAATATCGTCTAAGGAAACATCATCTAAACCATTTGTAACCTCATTTATTGAATGGTGCTTTTTATCTGTAGTATTATTGATATTTACAAATGTTTCGGATAAGGCCTTCTTTAAACGATCATTTTGTTGAAGTCTTAACTTATCACGGATTTTAACTATCTTTCTTATCTTTCTTGAATTTAACAATATCATATTCGAACAATGTAACAACTCTGCAATCAATTCAGAAATTTTGAATTTAGTAAAACCTAACACATTTGAATCCTTAACGTGTAATGGTGCGTCAGGTGGTCTTTTCATCAATTCTGCAAACTTGTTTAAATGATCAGAAAATATCGAAAGCATCTCCCCCAAATAAATAGGGTCCCGTGGGCCGGGAGGATTTTGTTCAAAGTCCTTCAACCAGTGAAACATAACATATGAATTAACTTCGCCGCCAGCGTTCTCATCACCACAGTTTTGAAGCATCGAGCTGTATGTTCCACAGTTCAAATCATAGTCTGAATTGTTCTTCCTAATAAGTTCAATAATGATGCCCACACAATTATTAATACCATGTTTATTTGATTGTATAGTACCAGATTCAGATGTAACATTGAACAACATGATATCATTTATTATTGTTTTGATTATATCAGGAGAAACCAATTCTCTCGTAAGCTGGTTAGGACCGATATTATTTTCCAAAACTACTGCCAATGCAGTATTAGAAGAAATGGTTACTAAGGCCTTTATGAAATCAGATGCTGCCGTTTGTTTAAAAAACAATTCGTGATTTGGAATCGTTGAAGGCTTTGTTGCAAACTGAGACGGATGAGGTTTCAATATTTCTATTAATTTTGGAATTAATTGTTGCTGTGATAAAACTTCAACGATTCCTGTAGGCGAAGATGCTTTATCCGTTTGAATAACTCTTAATAGAAAGTCCATTAACATCGGGATTTCGATTTTATTCAAAAATGTATCAACTAAGTCGGTTTGACGTCTTATGAAATTCAATAAAGAGATGCTATTCTTGTCCATCAATTGATCCAAGATATGGACTAGGTATGAAACAGACAAAGAATTTTCTTCCAAGTTTGGAAGTTTAAGAACCAGCCATAACTTATTAATAATTGCTGGGGTCTCAATAATGTGATTCAGGATTACCCACAAGTCAATTGATAAAATATCTGACGATGCTTGAATGCACCTACGTAATTTTTCCTCCTTGCTTTCTTCTTCTTCACCCTCTTTGTCCTCACTACTCCTTCTTGTGTTCGTATCTTCCGCCTGTTCGATTTCAACTTCATTCTCTCCATCAATCTTTGGATTAGCTTCGCCATCCCGCTTAGCGATATTTTGATCATCATCATCATCATCAGTATAATCACCTTTTTCTTGTTCCTTTAATATCTTCTCCAATTCTTCTCTTTCTTTTAAACCTAATTCATGAAAAAAGTCTACACTATTGATAATGTAATCTAGGAAACCATTCATCACTTGCGGCTGTAACAATAATTCTAATAATCTTGGGCCCCGAGCGTCTTTACTATAAGTGTTATTATTTTCATTGGTGGAAGATGCCAACGAAAACGTATCCGAGTTGGAAGAGTTATTGGTTTGGTTGTTCTCATGTCCCTGCTGTTGCAGAAATTGAAAGCCGGTGTTATTATTATTATAGTTTCCCTTTATATTATGAAGTTCACTAATTAATTCTTGCAGTAATGCCGGATCACCTACTAAATCATCAGCAGTCACCTGTGAAAAATCCTGAATAGAATCCAAAAATTTATGTAGTTGATTGTTATCATGCAATGGGTTTGAAAACGGCCAGAATGACATCTTGGAGTTTGTCTTCAGTTCACTTGTGTTTAACAGAAACGGTATCTATAAGTCACTCACTATCCACTTTTTTTTTCAGTTATATGAATGAATATGTATTAATAAATAAAGTGATGTGGGATTCGTAAGCCATATATTCCCTGTAATCGTTTTACCTTGGTAAAGTTGATAAGATTGACTTTATGGTAGCCGTAGAAGTGACGATTCATCGAAAGGATGAATACTGCATATAATAATGCACCGAACTATCTGCCTTTTAGCTGTTAAACTGAAATACAATTACCATCCAACGGAGGATCCATTATTAGATTTGTTCTACAAAATCATTCGCCAAGGAATACAGAATATGAATGTTTATATAATTATCAAAAAAAGTGCAAGAAAATCACAAAATTGAATATCGATTTCAAGTATTTACAGTTCGAAGTACGCAAATTCAACATCTCTTGATGGAATTCATTCTATTGGTGCATTACGATGAATTTAATGTCTGAAAGCAGGTAAGGTATTCGCAAATAACGATGGCGTATATGAATTAATTAGGGATATTAATGGGTAATGGGAATTTTCTATTAGTTCTGTGCATACATTTTATTCTGTCAAAATTTGTCAATATTAATCACTAGTAGGCATTTGTTCAAGGGTTTTTATAGCCCTCAAAGACTCAGCTCTGAAAGCTTCAATCATTTCATTGCATGTTTGTTTAGCTAACTTATGACAATTTGTTGCATTGTGCTTTACCCATTCTTGTATGGTCATATTTTCTTCATCTTCAGGCATGCTGGATATCAAATTTGTTAGTTCACCATCGTAATCATCATGTAGATCATATTTCGAATTTAAACTTTTGTTCAAATACTCCGAAGCAGCTTCCATGTTTTGAAGATTATCTAAAAGATTGGATAACGATACAGGAACCCATTTTAACGGACCTTGTAGTTCTTTAGGTGCATGCAGAAGATCAGGTTTCTCTTTTTTCTCGGGTGTGCTTGATTCTAAAAGATTAGCGAAGTTTCCAGAAAATCTATCGATTGCATTAAGCGACGTACGAGCTTGAAAAGATTTCGAAACTCTTTTTTTTACCATTCTATCATTGTCTGATTTATCATCATCTGAATCTGGCTCAAAAGCGATGGAATCTGCTTCTTTTCCACTCAAAAACAGGCTAACTTCTTGTTTGACCGGAATTTGAGTATGATTAATTTTCACAGTTCCCTCTGAATTATCCATTTGTTCTGCTTTTGTAGACGCTCTTGTTGGACTTGAAAATGCATTGGACGATCTCATTCCATTCTTTATTTCTTCCATATCTTGAATATAATCATCGTAAGCCGACTGAGAACCCGGTCTCCCACTGCGAATTTTTTGTTGCAGTCCATTGACTGTTGGGCTTGTTTCATTTTGTTCCATATCATTAGTTGAGGGTGATACTTTCACATCATACGATTTCTCCACTTTTGAAAGCTCGTTAGGGTCACTTTTATCATATCTGTTATTATTGTCCAAAAGTTCCTCTTTATTATATGTGCTCTGGTATGTGTCTTCTAGGCTTTGCTGGACCTTCTCTTGTGGGGACTTCACTACTAGAGATTCCACATTATCCTTTAGAGGTGAATCATCAGTTAAAGGTTTGTTAGACCTTGATATGGTCGTTGGTATATCAGGCTTGTCTGACAAAATAACACTGTCATCTTCAAGCGGCCTGGGACTTTTTTTCAGGACTCTGGTCGAGTCTTTAACAGAAGCGGTAGTATTCACTAGCAGCGAAGATTTATCATCTATGGCATGTTCCACATCCATATATGTATCTTCGATGGCAACCTCTTCTCTGTTTGGACTGATATCGTCAATCTCCTGTGAACTAAGCTCTTCCATATCTTCAACCTTTGAGAAATCTTGATCTCCTTTAGATAGGTCAAAGAGTTTGAAAGACTCTGTTACCTCTTCGTCATAGACTTTGTTGCTTACCACTTCATTCTGAATATCTGACGACACTGAAATATCGGACGGTAAAACATCATTAACAGGCGAATTCTCAACTTCCTCTTTTGAAAAATCAATCCCAGACTCTTGATCTGTATAGATAGTGTCAGTAACTTCTATATTGTTATTTTCACCAATATCGTTCTGTGAAGGTTTAGACAAGGGATTTCTAATATCAAATGTAAATGGCCCGGAATCATTATCGAAAATATCATTCGATGAATCATCAAACGACATATCTAAAATATTGTTATTATTTTTCTTGGATTTATTTTGCCCTACGGATTTGTTTAATAGCTTTGATCTTTTAGGGTTAGATTTTCTCTGTGAACCTGAATTCAACGTGCTTAAAACGAGTGAAGCTGTCAGTGCCTTTTCAGTGGACTGCTCAGGTTTTATTATAGGACCATTTCTGATCGCAGGCCTGATATCATTTTCGAGAAACTGAATATTATCTTCTTCGTAATCACCTATGTTTTGGTTTGACAAATCATATATAGGAGGCGATGGCGAATATCTCTTATCGGAAATTTTTAGTTTCTTAGATTTCTTAGGTGACTCAAGGATCTGTTTAAATCTTTCATCATCGAAGGATACGTTATCTATCAATTCTTTACGACTCCGTTTCTTCAATTTTTCTTTTGAAGCATTTTCATTTATTTTTTGGGGTGCTGCTTCTGATATTTCAAATTCTTTATTTTCTGATAAATGATAATCAGCATCATCACTACTTTCCGTTTGGAAACTAGAATTCATGTTTGAGCCAGAATCTTCATCGATATTATTAAAAGTTGCATCAGAATTGCCATTTTTTAATCTTTTCATCTCAACCTTTAGTTTCCGGGTTCTGTTAGATCTATTTCCCCGCCTAGTACGACTGCTGATAGACTCATCTACTAACTCATTTCTTCGTGATTTGTGTCTACGATTTTTCCTGTGTTTTATTTCTGGTTTTTTAACCACAAGCGAACGGTTCGGACTATCAGAAGGATTGGTTTCACTCTCATTATATGAATCATCACCAAATTCGTTTAAATCATCGGAACCCAGTTGGTATGCATCTTTAGTATTGTCGTCATCATCGTCATCATCGTCATCATCGTCACCATCGTCATCATCATCCTTGATATCATCTATATGATTAATTTCCACGGTTTTCTTTTCATTTCTAACAAGCTTCTGAGGAGATTTCATACCGTTTTGTATCTCAGAAGTATTTCGATCTCTTGCAAGTTCAGCTTTTGCAAATTCTTTGTCATTGCTCGAATAGTCTTCTGAGAGTTCAGTTTTAACATTATTCTCTGTAAAGGACATTTTTCCATTTTTAAGTTCTTCTTCTCTATCTAAGTCAATTTGTTTACTACGATCTGCTATATCGTATTCCTTATTAATGCTAACGACATTTTCATTGTCGCTACCTGATATTTCTTCTTCTTCCTTTTCTACTTCCTTTTCATCTTCTTCTTCTAGTGGACGGGAGTTTTGATAGGTGAACTCTTGATTTCCAGCTATCTCCTTTTTCTGATCGTATGCCATGCTGTCACTATTGTCATCTCTTCCTAACTGTTCTTCGTTTGGATCGCTCTGTATTTGAGAGCCTTTTTTGGATTCACGAGCAAGTATCCTACGTTTGGACCTAGTCATGCGCCCACTACTTATATCAACCGACTCATCGATTGAAATATTGTGGTCTTGATAGTCATCACTTTGATATTCATTCTCACCTTCTAATATAGCTGTTTCTTCCTGAGAAAGAGATTTATATTTGGAATTATTTGAAGAAGATTTTTTTTTTATTTTCTTCGGTGAATCTTCAAGTATTTTCTTTCTAGACAGAGCGATGGTTACATTGGTGTCTTCAGAATCATCCGACATAGAATCATCATGGAACAGAATGATTAGACTCTCATTACCGGATTCTGTAGGTTTAGTCTTATGGGCTCTATTTATATCTAAATTGTCTTCTTTCTTCTCAACTGTTTGTTTGATTTCAGCATCCTGCAATGACTTAGAATTAGATCTTGATCTGGGCTTATATTCGTCAACGATCTCCAAGAAATAACACGGTCCGTTGGAATTATTCTTGTGTTCTTCTATTGGAATATCATCAGGTAGCCATGTATCTAATGAGCAATTACAGTAAACACATTGCACTCTATCATTTCCGTATCTTAGTGGGCAATAGTAGAACCCAGCTTTCGCTAAACTTGTACTAGTTGTTGCAGACGCCTTATTTTGATCAAATTTCCAATGCTTGCCAAAAGTTTTTTTTCTTAAGTCAATTGACTCTTTACTCAAAGGATTGCTGAACTTTGAAGGTTGATGCCGCCAAAAATCTTGAATATTATTTGACAAATGGTTTATCTGCGACGATATAATTAGAGCCAAGGGACACAGAGGATTATTGGTTAGATGGTAATCAGCAATATTCGTTATTCCTTCCACGTTCGTTTCTTTCTTTCTGCAACAGACACACGTTATTTGGTCATTATTTATTTTCGTTGGGGTGAAGTAGAAACCACAATCTACCAATTGTACAATATCAGGTACACGATGCGTCCAATACCGTTTTTGCTTTGATTTGTACTGAAAAGAACCATTTTGAAATGTTTCCAATCGATTCTCTCTGTATTGCATAGATTCATTCACTTTTGGAGGCATTATAATTCATGTTATTATTTTCTTTATGATCTTATGATCCGTAGATAAATATATGTCGAAATTGGATATGAAGATTTGAAAGGTTATAATACAAATAATCTATGGTACAGATAGACAAGCTATATCAAACTGTTATACTCGAAGGATGGTAATCGTTGTTCAAAGTATTATTTTGCAGAAAATATATGTATCACCGTTGATGATGTTTTTTTTGCGAACTTATCTGATCTACGTGATTCCTTAGTAATTTATAAAATAGTTAAACAATTTAAATATATATATATATCAAGTATACAAAGCCTTTATTGACTAAATTATGATGAGAAAATGACGTAGAACTAAAAAATTGGGCAGTCAATCACAATTTGATGTATGGGAAGAACGCACATACTGTTAAAAGTTATGACCAACCAACAACTGAATTGTTTTCAAGGCTTCATATTTTAATTCATTATTACCAATACTACCTTCCAAGTAATTCATAATCAATAATTTGTACTGACCATTTTTCTCATTGTTAATGAAGTTAATGAGATCATCTCCTAAGTTCTTAATCAAGAATTGCAAATCATTCAACAAAATAACCTTTATGGTATCATTTTGGTTACTCGAAGATAAAGTATCAAATAATTTTTTTGTCAACTTAAAAGACGAATCTTTGAACTTTCCTGAATTTTGTATCCAGAATTGCTCCGATTTATGAGTTGGAGAAGACCATGATATCAAATTTGGATTCTCTAATTCTGTCAAATACTCGTCGAATGAAGTTAACTTATTATTCACAATTTCTGACAAGGTATCATACAAGTAATTTAAATCATTGGATAATTCCTCGTCACTTCCATTAGAGGCAAATTTCCTTTCTTGTAGAAGCTTGATTGAATTTAATCCATCATGGAATAACACTAATTTTATGGTCTTAAATTGTTCATTGCTAGACACGGCCAAAGAGATAAAGTTTTTCAAAATCGAAACAGACATTCTGACAATTTTCAACTTGATAGAATCCTTTGAAATTGTCAATAGACTTCCAATTAACTCTGGATAGTGATGAACCAAAACACGACTAATTTGTGGACTAAACGATAAAATCCAAGTAGTTAATAAAAAGTTATAAAGTAATTGTAAATTTGATGAGTTTGGTCTTTTAATTTGAAAAGTAATTAATTGATTAATTGGTTTAAAGTTTGCAATCAAATGAGTCTCTTGATAAACCTTTTTGAAAGGTTTTAAAATAATCAATTCTTGCAATAATTGGATACCGATTATTTGCAAATTTAAATCTTGACTATTGCCGATGAAGGAATCCGATGATAAAAGCTCAAAGACTTGAATTAAAATTTCCTTATCGACTTTAAGATGTCTATCTTGGTAGTTTGCTTTAGTTAATAATATAGTCAAGTTGTACAAACACAAAGCTTTGATAATTACATCATTGTTTTGAGTGTGCTTTAAAAAGGGATAAAACGGTAAGGACTGATCTAATTTAGTTAAAGCCAACGCTGAATCAATAAACTCTTGGTTAGGCAATTCCAATAATAAGTCATTAATCAATACCAAAACATTTTTCAATACATCATCTCTCGAATTGATTTCCAATTTATTTAATAAATTTAAAATTGTATTGGTGTATAATTGAAGCTCTGATAAAACAGTAGATCTTTTGTTTTCAGGTGATTGCTTCTCTAATATCTTGATAAGGTTCGCATCATCTTCACTAATGACATCGGCTCTTGCTAATCCTTCCCAAGGGATAATTCTTTCTTTAATGATTTTTTTACAATCGGATAAGTGGTTAATATCAATAATTAAGGGATTCTAAGAACGTTAGTTGAATGTTGCCTTGTAATTGGTTTAGCAATTGAATCCTAAATTAATCTCAATCGCCGATTGATAATTATATACATACAAATTCCACTGTCATATTGATATATGGGATTATTATTACTTGATATAAAACTGACCAGGCTATTTACTGATAATTGAATAAACTATGATAGATGTTTTTCGAAATTTATCGTACACGACTTTCTTCCATATTTAATTTTGCTGAAAACAACAATCAAATATGATTTCAAACTATTTATAAAGGATCCAGCTTTGATATTATATAATATTTACCAAGGAGATATCTACTGTAGATTATGTATCGTCAATGATAAGTGGTAAACTAGATTGAAACTATCATTAAGGTGTTAAAAAAACAATGCCGGTCCCAGGAATCGAACTTGGGTTTCATCGGCCACAACGATGTGTACTGACCACTATACTAGACCGGCTTTCTGTTTCCTTTTCGATTTATAGTGTATACTAAATAGTATATTGCATTGTATTATTATTATTCATAAAAATTTTTCATCATAAGTTCCTTCAGATTCATAGATTCATAGTACGAAAGCTATTGAAGATTGAAGATAATGCGTAACAGAATTAATTTAACGTAAATTATTATATAAAAATTTAGGCTAAATACAAGCGTAAAAAGGACATGAAATCACAAATTAATAAGATAAACTTTTGCTTAAAAAGAAAACGTCTGGAAATGAAACTCTAAGTTATAGGGTGGAGGATTATTATTAAACTTAATCAGATGATTCTCTAGCATATTCTTTGAACATATCAGCATCAGGAATAGAACCACAAATGGTTTCAACCATAATACCGGTAACCAAGTAAGGATCTATGTTGGAAGCAGGTCTTCTATCTTCGAAGTAACCATAACCTTCCTTGGCAACAGCTCTTGGGATTCTAACAGAAGCACCTCTGTTAGCAACACCAGATGAGAAAGCTTCAATAGAAGCAGTTTCATGACGACCAGTTAATCTTTGTTCATTATCAGCACCGTATAATAACATGTGTTCTTTATGTCTCTTGGCTAATTTAGATAAAGCAACTTCTATACTCTTCATACCACCCGGTATTCTCATAGACTTAGTGGAAACATTAGTGTGACAACCAGCACCGTTCCATTCACCTTTCAAAGGCTTTGGATGGAAAGAAACCTTGACACCAAATTCTTCGGCGACTCTTTGTAATAAGTAACGAGCAATCCATAATTCATCACCCATTTTGATACCTTCACAAGGACCGACTTGGAATTCCCATTGAGATGGCATGACTTCAGCGTTGATACCGGAGATATCAATACCAGCATGAAGACAAGCTCTGTAGTGAGCTTCAATAAGGTCTCTAGCATAAACCTTACCAGTACCAACACCACAGTAGTAAGGACCTTGTGGGGCTGGGAAACCACCCTTTGGCCATGCGTATGGTTGATCAAATTGGTCAAACAAGGTGTATTCTTGTTCTAAACCGAACCAAACTTCTTCGTCAGCGTGAGCCTTCATTAACTTAGCTGATTCATGTCTGTGGTTAAATTTATTTGGTGTCCCGTCGTTGTTCCAACACTCAGTTAAAACAATGATGTTTTCACCCTTTCTGAATGGATCTGGGTAGAATGCAACTGGTCTCAAATACACATCGGAATCGTGACCTGGAGCTTGACCGGTAGAAGAACCGTCAAAGTTCCATTCTGGTAAATCTTCAACTGAAGATGGCTTCTTGTCTAAAGTTTTACACTTAGACCTAGAGTTACCTTCAGCATCAATCCACACGTATTCGGCTAAAACTTTACCGTTTTGAGAAAGATCCAAATATTTAGCTAAAATAGCAGTTTGTTCTGTAATAGATACCATTTTTATGATGTATTATATTATATTGTGGTTTATATTAATTTTGTTGTTAAGCAGGCTTTGAACAACTATTTATGACAAGAAGATTTTAAGTATGCGTCTTCTTAGTTTTGTTTTGTGTCTGGTAAAAGATACTAGAACACTAATTTATTTTTTTGTTAATTGAATGTTATTCTATTCTAACCTAAGTTTGAATTGAATTTATTGAAGCAAAATTATCTGTTTCTATTGAAAAAAGATAGATTCTGTAATTTATTCAATTTGGGAATAGTTGCTACCGTAGACTATATATATATTGATTCCCAAAATGACAGATAATGCTTCGGTGAGCAAAAAAGAAATTTGTGTCCCGATAGTAAAGTCTTGGAATTAGCATAAGCGAAGGTTCATATCCATCACAAGAGCTTTTCCGTTATCACAGCCAATCAGAGGGTGTGATATCTCTACTTCCGGTTTAAGGGGGCTTGAGCCCGGTAAACGATTAGCGTTGGAGAGGTGCGGATAAGACAGCAGTTCCTCTTGGTCGGATCCTGCGCGTGCTAAATTTATTAGATCGATAGTCCCTTGGGCGGGTCCAAAATGTTCAGAAGGGTGCAGCGTACTCTGTAGAGCCGTCATTTGAATGCTGGAAGTGAGACAGGTATTTGTGATCATGCTGTTCTATAAGGTTATTTCTGTGTATAGTAGAAGAATTATTGATATATCTATAGCCATTTTGGTCTGTGGATAATATATCTAATTCTGGTAAATATGTTCCGCCTGTCCATTCGTTCCAGTCGGATTATCGATTCCGCAGTTTGTATTATATACAGGACGGAAATTTGGCCAATAAATTGGTTGATTATAATCAGCGTTTATCTATAGTACGGGGTATAAGGATGAAAGGAAAAAGGGAAACGTAGCACGGCTTGACAGAGAACATGGACTTGCCGTAAGGAAAATCACTTTCAGAGGTACATAAATCGTGTTGGACAATGTTCCGATAGTGCGATTTTTAGCAAAAGAAGAGCATGTGTGATCAGCACTAAGCGAGCTGTAGAAAACCTATCTTTCGCAGCCCTTTCATGACATGCTGTAGGAGAATAGCTCTGGGTGTTTTGGTCGCTCTAATGTATGAGTCAGTGTAGATACAACATGTCTGATGTTTGGGACATATATAGAGACGTGGGGAGAAAAGGCTGCGAATAACCCTTCAGGAGATAAGACTTGTGGCTGAATGCGAAATAATAACAGAAATGAGCGATAAGCGTGAAGTTGAAATCTTCGGTTTTTGGGTACCACTAATGTGTCTAGCATAGAGCTAGGTCTAAACATTAGGACGGGGAAAGACAAAATCCAGTTTTACATAGATAATTACGATATGGACTCAAATGGAAGCACATGGCGTGTTAGTGCATTGAAATCGAATGACCCAATTTTTTTTGGTCAGATTGTAGACGAGATGCCAATAGAGTATGAAAGGTTTAAAGCATGAAATGGATCAGGCGTATACAAAGACATTAAGATCTAGTATTAAAAAGAAGTTCCTGAATTTAAGAGTGTTGATTGTTATCATTTGTCCCGAAAAGGAAAATTAAGTGGTCGATCACTAGTCGGTATACATGTTTTTATGACTCAAATTTATATATAAAAGTTATTTCTGCACACTGGGCCTCCTTAGCTTAGTGGTAGAGCGTTGCACTTGTAATGCAAAGGTCGCTAGTTCAATTCTGGCAGGAGGCATTTTTTTTGATTGCTGATCTTTTCACATATTATCTGCAGGATGTATTTATTTTGTATTTATGAGTATGTCTCGCCACAACATTGTATGTGCTTTCTAAAAGCACTTACCTTCCTTGCAAGCATAATTTATACATAACGAGCAAAGGTGTTTATCTAAGGTAATGCTAAAAAATGCTACTTAGGACAATATCAAAATCTCGAATATTATCACGTAATGCACAGTCATGGAGTAGATTTACCTTCCCTATAAATAGCCGATGCTATTCGATATTAACCAATACTTCATCTCATCATGCAAAGAATCATATAAACCCAGCGTCATTGGTGGCAAAAAGAAATATCGGATTTATAAAGATTATAGCTAGGGCGGGTAAAGTTCCAGCGTACATAGGTGGTACATTTGCTGCAGGGGGATCTTACGTTGCTTACAAAGTAGATCAGGCATCGAATTATGCCCAAGATAAGTTGTCTACAATAAAGGATTTCACAGATGGGTTTTTCAGTAGTACTGGGGATTTCTTCAAAGGAATGAGCAGTGGAGAGAATGCTACGTCGGGTGGTGGAGATGGAGGTAACGGAGGAGATACTGCTACGGCGGTGGGGGCTACAGCAGCAGCGGTAGGCTTTTCCTCAGATGAAGATTCGGATACAGCAGCAGAAGATGACAACACAGAAGATTACGAAGATGAAGAAACATTAATTGATGACGATGACGACGATGACTTAGAAAATGACGAAACTGACGACGAGATGTTAACCTTAACACGTCAAATGATTGAAATAAGGAATTTGTTATCCACCATTGATCATTCGGACAGTTTAAGATTGCCATCCATAGTTGTTATTGGTTCCCAATCAAGTGGTAAATCGTCTGTATTAGAATCTATAGTCGGTCAAGAATTCTTACCAAAGGGATCTAATATGGTTACTAGAAGACCAATTGAATTAACATTAATTAACACCCCTGATGCAGCAGGCGAAGCTGCCGAGTTTCCTGCTTTGAAAATGCATAATTTGACAGATTTTGAACAGGTGCAGAAGGTTCTTTTTGATTTAAATATGGCTGTCCCAGAACTGGAATGTATTTCAAATGATCCAATTCAGATCACTATTAGATCACCAAAGGTTCCTGATTTATCATTAGTTGACTTACCAGGTTATATTCAGATAGAGGCAGCTGACCAACCTGTTGAATTGAAGCAGAGAATTAGACAATTATGCAATAAATATTTAGAAGCTCCTAATATAATTTTGGCTATTTCTGCGGCAGATGTGGATTTGGCCAACTCGGCAGCTCTTAGAGCAGCCAAAATGGCCGATCCTCGTGGTGAAAGAACTATTGGAGTTGTAACTAAGTTAGATTTAGTTGAGCCTGAAAGAGCAAGAAATATATTAGTGAATAAAAAGTACCCTTTAAAGATGGGATATGTTGGTGTGATAACAAAGGCTCCCAACCCCGTGAAACATTCTAGTGGGATATTTTCTCGAAAGCAACTTACTGGCTACCAAGCTTTTGTAGCTCAGCAGAATTTTGAACACACTTATTTAAAAGAACATAAGGATGAATTTTTTGGAACAGTAAATGGCACTCGCAACTTGAAGAAGAAATTAATGAAAGTATTGGAAAAGTCAATGGCTGCGTCCTTGAGACCTACCCATTATGCTATTCAGCAAGAATTGGAAGAAACATCATATCAGTTCAAAGTTGAATTCAATGACCGTCCTTTAACACCGCAAATGTATTTGGCTAATAATATTGATATTTTAAAGTTATCCACTACAAAATTAAGCCAAAACTTTTCCCGTCGTGAATTGAGATCTTTATTGAAAAATGAAATTGATCAAAAAGTTTTGGATTTATTAGCAGAGAGGTATTGGAATAAGCCATTTTCTTTGAAAGACAGTCACATAAATGTAGAACCAGACTTGAGAGAATTGTCAGCCATCAGTAATATTGATGACGACGTTTATTGGCATAAGAAATTAGATTTGGCTACAAATTCTTTAACAAAACTAGGTATTGGTAGGTTATCAACAAGCTTGGTTACTAATGCCATTATTACTGAGATTGAAAATTTAGTTGATAACATTGAATTGCGTAATCATCCATTGGCCAAGGCTGCAGTAAGAGATGCAGCTAAATCAGTTTTGAGTGCCAAATACTTCTCTACGGCTGATCAAGTAGAAAATTGCATTAAACCTTACAAATATGAAATTGAAATAGAAGATAGAGAATGGCAATCAAGTCGTGAAAACGCTGTTAATCTTTTGAAAGAAGAAATGAGGCAATGTGATGAAGCTTTTTCGCTGTTAAAGAAACAGATTGGGGGTAGAAAGTTGCAACAAGTCATTGCTTACTTGGAGAAGTTAAATAAACAAAAGACAATTGAAATTGATTTTAATTCTAATGATGCCTTAGGATTTTCACCAAACTTGATCCAAAGGGGACAGGATGCTATCTTTTTGAAAGATAGATTGTCGTTATTAAAGATGAGGTATCAATTTGTAAAGAATTCTAAAAAGTGCAAAAAGAAAGAAAACAAATATCAATGTCCTGAGATATTCTTGGATGCAGCGTCAACAAAATTAACGTCTACAGCAATATTGTTCTTGAATGTTGAATTATTAAGCGATTTTTATTATAACTTCCCTAGAGAATTGGACTTAAAATTCTTTAATAATTTATCTAAAGAGGAAATTGAAACTTTTGCCAAAGAAGATCCTAAGATTAAAAAGCATATCGAATTGCAAGAAAGAAAGGATTTATTGGAAACCGCTTTAAATAAAATTGAAGGTGTATTGGCAATTCAAAGAAATAAGATTAATCAGTTGAATAAAGAAGATAGTAATAAAAAATCAGATTCTTTCTTATTCAACTGGAGAAGCTGATGAATTGAATTTTGGTACAAATGTGCTAATGTATACCTGTAGTAATAGTCAATAATGAGATGAATGTTATTTAATTTATTAATATACAACTTTTTTAATATACTGCGTTGACTATACAATGCTATGTACTTATTTAATTATCTTCATAATACGTTCGAACAATGTCTCAATTTGAGCACCTTCTAAGTTTTCAAACATAGGTTGGAAGGTGTTCACATCTATTGCTCTGTTCATTTCCACACTGTCGTCTGTCTCCAAATCATCTGATAATTGTTTACCATTAGCAGTGTTGAAAGAAACATTACGGTTAGTCATAACATCTGCTGCAGCTTGTGCATTGAGTAACATGTTGTTCATATCACCTGCTAAATCAGATTCTTGAGTTGATCCATTAGATGACTCAAAGGTTTCATTAGTGGAAGAAATTATTCCAATTCTTGAATCTAAATCAACAAAGATGAACGATGAGTGATACTGACGTATAGATGAAATACCTTGGTTATGGTGACTAATATGTACGGGGGTTAATTCGTCTGGTTTGAAAACCAAAATTTTCGATTTAATTGCAAAGTTATCGCCAATACTACTATAATAATTCACCCCCAAGCAAATTAACTTCTTGATTGGGTCAATTGCAATCAAATTTCTTCCGCCGATTGTAGTATTTATCTTCGCAACTAAGTCTGTAGATTCGCCAGACAATAAGTTGAACGAGGTAATTCTAGTCTTAGACAAAACAATCAAATAATCATCTAACATTGATAAAGATCTGATTCTAGAGCCGGAAAGAGCTGGTACTCTGAAGGAATCATTTGGAATTTCTTCGAATGTCTGTGTGTTAAATGTTGTTATAGAACACTCATGTCCTAATATAATAACCGATCCATCATCTGACCAACATGTGTCAATAGCATCAGAAACTAAAGCACCACACGGTCTAGATTTCCTCAAAGTCCAAGCTGTCTGCTGTAATTTATTATTTCCCTGTTTGACGGTTTGATAAATCTCCTTAGGAATACGTGGTCTCCATATTCTTAATCCACCTTTATTATCAGCAGTTAAAAATGCTAAACCTTGATGATATGACAATGGAGCTGGAGTTAATGATAATATAGGATTCGAATTGCCATGAGGATCAATAATCTTTGTTGATAATTCCCAATAACCTTGTTTATTATTTACATTATTCGTTGAGTTAGAATCATTTTTAGATGATGACTCAATGAATTTCCAAAACTTCAAAGCATATTGCTTATCGTTCTTGGATAATAAGTTGTCAACTTCCGAAGTAGAAATACTATCGAATGTGCACATCCAGTGACCATCTTGAGTGAATGATAACAACGAGATAGTTGGATCTAATAACTTATTTTCAGATCTAACCTTACCTGTTGACAATAATGGAGCAGCGGTCTGAATAAAACTTTGTTCGTTTTTAATCAAATCATACGCCTGGATGACAGCATCATTAGGGAAGTACAAATTCTTTGTCTTTGGGTGGATTTCAAAAATGGAAGTGTAATCATGCTTGAGCTTTGATTTATCAAATGTAGATTCAGACTTAGCAAATTTCTTTTTTGTTTTCAATAATGTCTGTTTGACATTATGCGCTAATTTAGGCCTGATGCTGTTGATTGACAATCTAGATACCAAATCCACAGCAGATAAGACTAAAATTTCGTACGTATCCTCATCATTAACCACATCGGATCCACTAGATGAAACTTTCAACATCAAGGAATAATAATCATTTTTATTATTATCAAGAGAAATTCTTTCTATACTACCATTTAGTCTTGGTAAAAATTGAGTTTTGCCTGTTTCTAATTGCCAGAAAACTAACACCTTTTCCATACCACCAGATAATAAATAATTATTGTCTGGAGTAAATTGTAAAGATCTGACTTGGTCTATATGCCATTTCAACAATCCCTGAGGCTTATCCGTTGTTAATCCTCCATATAAGAGTTGAATAGCTCCTGCTGAAGTACCAATCGCAACCACAGAGTCATTTGAGACTGCCAAAGAAGTTACAGGTGACTTGTATATGAATGGAATTGTTTCCTGAGGCAATTCTGTATAGTCTGGCTGTTCTTCGTCGTCATGGTTTTGGTGGGAAATAAACGACAAATTCACAAGGATTATATCATGGTTGCTAGTTAAAAATGCTAATTTATGACTATTGGAGGAAATAGCGTACTTCGTAACGTTATTGATTTCTGCTAGATTTTGGACACTTAATTGATCTCTGGAAATTTTAACAACATGTCGAGTATGTGGAGATGGACTAGATTTTTTGTCCTTCTTTCCAATTATAGCATAGTATGTGTCACCTCTAATTGCAGCTACCGACAATATTGGCCATTCCATTGCAACATTAACGGTGGAGACCACTGGTTCATTTATCTTGTCTTTCCAGTTTAATGTAACAATTTCACCTGAACTTTTAAAGAGAACAATGTGGCTGCTATTCAAAACATCCAACTTCACATCTACCACATCACTTAGATCTATATCTATCGTTCTGATACATTGACGGGTTGAAACAAAGTAAACTCTTATTTGGTATGATAAGATTACTATATCGTAGCGCCCATCTTGCGAAAAGACTGATGCTGATGCCGAGGAATATGGTAAAGATACCGGCTTTCCACCTGATGCCATATTCAATGACCAGTCGCTCGATGAAACTGTCATATTATCTATCCTTATGTATGTAAGTTCAGTTAAACGACAAAACTTTCCGATGGATGTTAAATGTAAGAATCAAAATTTATGAAAAAAATTCAATTTTGTGATCGATGAGGATGTTCACGTGATCCAGAGGTCAGATTCAAAATTTGAAATTTTTTCTCTAGAAGAACATTAATACCCTTGATAATAAACGAATACATCTACTAATATCTACAATGATTATCCCTGTTCGTTGTTTCTCGTGTGGTAAGGTTGTCGGTGACAAATGGGAAACATACTTAGAATATTTACAAGATGATACCATGACTGAAGGTGATGCTTTAGATAAATTGAAATTACAAAGATATTGTTGTAGAAGAATGGTATTAACCCACGTCGATTTGATTGAAAAGTTCTTGCGTTACAATCCGTTAGAAAAGAAAGATGTTAATTAATGATTGTGTTGTATCAAGAGTCATGATCCAATAATAGTGCATATTCATACACGAGTCATGTCGACTTCATTCCAAGGTCCGAACAAGCACATTGAAGCCAGCTATTTTACGGTACAAACTCATTCGACCTGAGATGTGTTCAAGGTGTTATTATAAATATTGTATTTTTAGATTATTCATTTATTTACTCCAGTTACGTATATTTGTTTATTATGAATAAGAAGTAAATCAGAAAAAATCAGTGAAAAAGCAAAAAGGAAGAACGTTCATTTTGTTCTATTTGTAATATATACTTCTAAGTAAAAACAACATTGAAATGTCTGTTTCTAGTTGTCTGCGTCAGGTGTATCAATATTTTGGATATACTCATAATAGAATGCCAATGCATGCAAATGAGCATCAAAGGGTACCTTTTCATCCACACTGTGAACTCTGTTTTCCTTAAAATCTGCTGGGAAGCCTGGGGTGTATCTGTAAATATTCCTAGTTAAATTAGCGTAATATTTAGAATCAGTAGTGCCTGTAAAACTAAACGGGGTCATCATTATTGGGTAACTCAAGTTAGTGAAGACAACGTCTTCGAAAACATGTCTTGTAGTGCCTGCAAGATATTTCCAAACGGTGTCATTAGATGGAGCAACTGGTGCAGCTGGTGTTTTGTGATAAACAACGACCGTGAATTGACCGTTGTTTGGATCACCGTTGTAAACTTGTTCGCCAAAAGCTTCAACACTTATATTGTACTTCTTGGCAACTTTAACGACCTGGTCACTGAAATGCTTCTCGACTTCTTCAAATGGAGTCTCGATAGCAACTCTGTGGTTGATAACTAATTTAACATGCTCTGGCAAAGAGTTCGCCTTTTCACCACCCTGAACGATATCAAGAGACTGTGTCGTACGAACTAAATAGTTGAGCATTGGATTTTTAAGCAAAAGATTTAAAATCTTGCTATTAGCGACTTTATCAAATCCAGCCCTTAAGATAGCCTTTCTTGTTAATTCTGGCAATTTGTCGCCAGTGTTAACGGCTAAACATTGTAAATAGCGTAAAATAGGATTCTTGGATGTCAAAAATGGCTCATATGGGTCATTTTCTAAATTCGAACTCAATTCAGCCATAATTCCAATGGCAGTGTGATCTGGTGGGTAAGAGGAATGTCCTCCTGGCGCACTCAAGAATACATGGACGTTAAGATCACCCTTTTCACCATTCGCTGGTGTAGCAATGTATTGGCCGGTTTCAGCATCCAAAGTTAAACCAAGGCCTTCGTCAATAAGTGAGTAGATAGAATTATGGCCGTATTTCTTTTCAAGATGTTTCGCGATATTCGCAGCTCCTCTAATACCGATTGACTCTTCATCAAATCCAAATGCTACAATAATACTTCTTTGAGGCTTGAAATTGTCGGCAATTAACAATTCAAGCGTCTCTAAGATAGCAATTAACAGATTCTTACAATCCAGTGCACCTCTGCCGTATACATATGTACCATCATAATGTCCTTCAAATGGAGGATGTGTCCAATCTTTTAAGGTTGCTTTTTGTACTGGAACTACATCCTGATGTGCAATGAACATAGATGGCTTCAAGTTATCGTTAGATCCTTTCCATGTGTAAACTAATCCATAAGTGTTGACCTTCTCAACTTGAAGACGCTTATACACAGTAGGGAATGTCTTCTCCAAGTAATCATGGAAAGCCTGAAATTGCACCCATTGTTCTGGTGCGTCGGGTACGTCTGGTTGATTATCGCCGATCTGAGTGTCAACCTGCACCGCGCCAGATAATTTTTTGGCCGATTGCAACCGGAATTTTTCATCGTGTACAATGTTATACAACTTTGATTTATCATTTAAATACGTCTGGGGAACTACTGGTTCATGAATTGGACAAACAGTCGTATCCTGTGTCGATTGCAACGCAATTTTCAAGTAACCTAATCCATTGGAACTAACAAGTAGAACTGATAAAAATAATACCAATATTCCAGCGACTACCCACTTTCCACCTTGGTTAGGCAGCTGGACTGATGATGAATTATTCTCTCTATTGACCCTTGCCGCCCTAGCTTTTGCCAATGCATCTGCGTTTTTCTCGTTATTCAGAAATTCCGACATCTCTACAGTGGATACTTGTAATTAACTTTCTTGCAATTGTTCAGTATTTATATACAACTCCTCTATTGCGTTAGAATCTATGCCATACTTGATTGTTCTAGGTTATCTCGGCTCCTTTATCCGCAAACAGTATCAGTGCTCACTATCGCTCGTTGCGGGCCAAGTCAAAATATGGCGCGAAGTCAAATACGGAACTGGGTGTAAAAAAAAGCACGATATGCATTTATCATTTTAACTACTTATTATCTGCGCTAGGGGTATTTACTGTTTGTATATACTCGTAGAAGAAAGCAAGTAGCTGTAAGTGAGAATCAAATCTCAATTTTTCGTTAGCTCTATGGATGTTTGTTTCATGCATGACATCCTTTGAAAAGAATGGAGTATATCTGAAGATATTTCTCGTTAAATTCCAGTAATGTCTCGTGTCTGTATTACCTGTCATCATGCCCGGAGTCAATACAATTGGATAGCCTAAATCTGGGTATACGTAATCTTCAAAAATATGTCTTGTGACACCTGCAAGGTATTCCCAAACCTTATCGTTCAATGGAGATACCGGAGCTGGGTTCAATGGTTGACTGAAGATTCTGATATGCAAATTTCCCGTTGGCAGATCTGGTATAATCTTCTTTCCAAAGGCATTCAATCCTAAACCATGATCCTTGGCGACTTGGACAAGACGGTCAGCGAAATGGTCCTTGACTTCATCGTAGGTGGATTCGATAGCAACTCTGTGGTTTACAAGCAATTTGACGTCTTCAGGTAAAGCATTGGCCTTTTCTCCTCCTTGGATAATATCGAGAGCCTGAGAGGTCTCGACCAAGTATCTGGTGATGTTATTGGCTTGAAGGCTCTTCAACACTTTGGAATTGGCCAACTTGTCAAATCCTGCTCTTAAAATAGTCTTTTTGGTCAAACTAGGCATCTTTTTACTGTGTACAGCTGCGCATTGTAAATAGGTCAAAATTGGGTTCTTCGTTGTCAAAATTGGCTGGAAGGGGTCATGTTCGATGAGATATCCAATTTCAGACATGATACCAATTGAGGTATGGTCTGGTGGCACAGAAGAGTGGCCCCCTGGAGCAGTCAATTCGACTTCGATGTCGACATAACCCTTTTCACCAGTTCCTGCCATAGCAACGATTTGTCCACTGAAAGGGTCTTCAAGTAAACCTGGACCTTCATCGATAATGGCATAAATAGAATCGTGACCGAACTTCTTCTCAAGGTATTTACCTAAGTTCGCTGCCCCCCTAACACCGGAAGCCTCTTCATCGAACCCGAACGAAGCAATTACACCTCTTTCTGGCTTGAATCCCTTTTCAAGTAACAATTCAAAAGACTCTAAAATAGCAACCAATACATTCTTACAGTCCGAAGCACCTCTACCGTAAATAAATTCACCGTCATAATGGCCATCAAATGGAGGATAAGTCCAATCCTTCAAACTGTCCTTTTGTACTGGAACAGTATCCTGGTGAGCAGTTAACATGACTGGCTTTAACTTGGAATTGGATCCCTTCCAGTAGAAAACTAAGCCGTAAGTGTTCACTGTTTCAACCTCAAGGTTATCGTACACCGTTGGGAAAGTTTTCTGTAAGTACTTGTGAAATTTCTTAAATTGAGTCCATTTTTCTGGAGCATCTGGTACATCTGGTTGGTTATCCCCAATTTGGGTGTCGACCTGAATGGCCCCGGCCAATTTTTGAACAGACTGCAATCTAAATTTTTCATCCAGAATAATCTGGTTGACAGTGGCATTATCCTTTGTGAAGGTATCTGGTCTCTTTATGTCGAAGACTGGACAAATTGACTTGTCTCCCGTCGACTGAAACAAAATTTTCAAGTATCCAATAATGTTGGTACTAAGCAATACAACCAAGAGTGCAAGTGCACTCAATCCTAAAATAACATTCTTCTTCTTGAAGATTTGTTTTCTTGAATTATCATCCAATGGAAGTCCAATCATTTTTGTTAATTGAGTTTTCTTCCACAATTATTCACTAAGAAGCCCCTGTAGTATTCACTCTTTATATTCCCTGAAAATTTGGGAGGGGCACCTAATTGCGAACTTGATAAGCGAAATGTTCATCTTCACCTGATAGGCCAAGTAAAAAGCAACATTAAAAACCAATCATAGTACGGCACAACGTGATTTCGGATCTATTGACCGTATTAGTATATATTAGCATATATTAAATCATTGGGAACTAAAATTAACGATCTAGTCAATCTGGCTAAGGAGCCCGATCATATGAGAAAGAGTCTTCCGGAAATACATCAGCCGATATAATTCCGCATTATGGCTCATTCCCTAGAAACAGTGGTGTTGCATCAAATGCACTAGACCAATTATTGTGCAACGTATAAAACAATAAATGCGAATGGCACTAGTATGTAATGCCCTTCCAAAGCCAATGGAATGCTAGACGATTCGATCACCAGCTAAATATAGCAAATAGAAGCCCATTAAACGGAATGTCAAATCGCATGGATACACGATATACTGACATTCCAAGATAAACCGAAGCCCAGATACACAATGGACATAATAGGCGCCATATATAGTAGTGTTTAGCAGCCTTGTTCGAAGTCACACTAGAGGGAGCTGGGAATGTAAACCAGCAGGAAAGTCAGACACGATCATGTGCGAAACAGTGGCAAATCAGAATGACTTCTGGCATTTGGTTTTAAATTGTTATTAACGTTTGTAACACGGGCCGCAATTCAGAGACCCTTCGTTTATTTGTGACCAGGGTCATGAAACGTTTCGTGATGAGATATGGTTTAGACGAGGGCCAAGGTTCCAAGCGAGAATATGTAGTACAAAAACACGAATCGCGAATTTTGCAGCTAAATTATTGTTCCACGTATTGTCCATATATTTACAAAACATTCCAAGAAGCGTATCTACATAGTTAACGGGCAAAGGTACTGACACCCCTGATTGTTTAAGAGGAAAATGATGCATAGCGTTATTAGTTTGTTTACATCGCAGTGGCATTTGAAACACGATATTTTGACGATATATATTTGATAGGATTTCCACCTTGTAGCTAAAATAGATACTTGTTCAATTTTTCATATCTTAAGTATTAGTTGATTTCATTCGCTCTGTTTAATCTTGCGTAACCTAATCGCGTCCACTCCTTTGATAACTATTTGATTTAGAAGATATTGATCAAATAATTGATTGAAATTAGTTCAGAAAGAAATTTATAAATCGAAATGCGTTTATCATCAGGTGTTATTCCATTAATTTTGGCTTCTTCAGCTGCGGCCATTCCATTTAGACCAGTCAACTACAAGAGATATGACAACTCTTCTGCTGTCTCGGTCACCCCAAGTGCTTCCAGTGGTTTTTCTGCTATTGTTCTTGCATCTTCCGGTGCTTCGTCCGAAGCTGAACAAGATACCACTATAACTTTTGACGAGTATATTACCATCACTTTACCAGACACTACTTTAACCATCCCAACTTCTGCTACCAATGAAATTAACGAAGTTGAATCATCAGCTGCTGCTGTTTCTGCTTCTGCTACTTCCAGCGATGATGACACCACCCTTACTTCCACTGTCATTGAATACCAAACTATATCTTCCGATGGTTCTGAAACTGTCCAAGCAACCAACACTTACACCACCACTGTTGCTCCATCTTCATCTTCTGAAGCTTCTTCTTCCAACGACCAAGTCACCACCTCCACCATCACCAAGCTCACTACCATCACCCAAGGTTCTTCCACATTTGTCGCTGCTGTTGAAACTGATACTGAAACCCAAACTGGTGGTCAATGTACCCCTGAAACTGTCACCGTCACTGTTACTAAGGGTGAAGGAAAGGCTGATGCTTCTTCCACTCCTGATGTCACCTCCACCGTTACTTTAACCTCAACTTTGACTACTTCTTACCCAGTTGAAGCCGTCTTCACTAACGGTGACGATACCACCACCATTACCAGCTATGTCCAAGTTACTTCCACTCAATTCTACACTACCGCTGCTGGTTCTTCTTCTTATGCTAACTCAAGCATCCCAGCCACTAGCTCGTCTTTCCAAACTGCCGGTAACAATGGTACCTACTACTCATCTGCTTTACCAAGTGCAACCTCTGGCTACGAACCAGTTGCTAACGCTAAGAGAGGTTTCCTTTTTAACTACTAAGTAAGTATCGCTAAGTGATTTTTGACATTCATTCTACATAGAAAGATTGTTATGATACCCCTTACCCATCACTTTCGTGATTGAATTCATCGGTTTTATTTACTATTTAGGAATTTTTCTACGTGTTTTTTATCAATATTATACTTTTTTTCATTTATTAAACATCGCCTTTGCATTATACTATCTGTATTTCATGTAGCCATAGCTCTTACAATAATGCAACCCTTCCTTCCCTTAGAGTACCAAATACATGTATTGAAGGTTACACGAATTTTTTTGTGTCTTAAAAACGCGTTAAAATTGGTTCCTTGAAATCAACAAAACTTAATCATATAAACAAACAAAGCAAATCTCAAAGGACAAGAAATAGTAATGACCTCTCCTCTTAGATTTGAAGCTGATATGTCTATGATTGAGGGTGAGAAACTATCACCAATAAAGATTCCTCATTCTAGGCTTTCTACAACTACAAAGAGCCCAGATATCTTGGCAAAGCATCCTCATGGATTAAGTGCTAAACATGATGCTAGAAGAAATACAGTGCATAATGAGACACCAAAGGGATTGACCGCCACTCCTTTGACAAAGAAAGCAGAACCATTGTATTCAGTCAATAAAAGAGCTCCTCTAACCTCACCACGAGCTGCCAATCAACCAAACTTGGATTCATTGAAAAAATCCAAAACCAAATTAGACGCCAGGTTATATGAGCTAAAGTCGTCAAGTCGCCATGGAAGTCCATCTAATAAGGAGAACTTGTATAATTCTGGTAGAAATATTCAAGCCAGTCAATTATCTAGTGAGGTGAATTCATCTATATCGCATAAAAGTCCGTTTGAGTCGTCACCTTCAAAAATAGATACTCCCATAAAGCAGATCAATTCATCACTTGCAAAAGATGTGGAGAGTTCTCCACCCAAAAGTAGCCCTTCTAAGACGGACAAACGTAGCATTGAAGATTCTACTATTGAGAATTCTCGCAAGATTGCCAAGGTCATCACTAATGCTAATGAATCAGAAATTTCACATCATAATTCTGATGATGAGCATCTGGTTCAAATTGATCAGGTATTTAATAAAGAAGATTTAGTTGGTCGCTTCAGCTCTGGGGCCTCACCTGCTAAATTACAGGAGCCCACGGTCATTGATGAAGATAGTGATGGCGATATCTACAATAATGAGGTTAATACATCGCACACAACATTGTCAAAATTTCGTGGCAATGAAAGCACCCAACTCAGTAGAATCATAAAGATTACTGATGAGGTTGATTATGTTACGCCTCAGAGATATACCGAGCCAATCGCCAAAAGTCCCGAAACCAATCAACAACACCGCATTCAAGAAAATATTCCCGATAATAATGGATTAAAGGAAGCAATTAGTCCATTAAAAAATCATAGGTTATCGGTCAATAATGAACAAAATGAAGATCATGCATCACCTAATAAGATCGAGGACGAAAATTCTGATTTAGAATTTAATGAATTAGAAGATGAACCAACAATCAATTTCTTGTTGTCACCAAATTCAAAACCAGTTTTCTCGCTAGATCATATAAAAAAGGTTCAAGATGATCATTTCAAGGAAGTTGTGAATTTGGAGGAAGTTATCAATAACAAAAATCAAGAGATATTAAGGTTCTCTGAAGAGTTGTCTGCTACAAATAATAAATTTTTGATATATGATCAAAAAATTAAGGAATTGAAGCAGGATAAGAAAAAATTGGCTGCAAATGAGAATTTATTGTTAATACAACTCAAACACAATGAACGGGAGTTAGCGTCGATGACAAAGGCTTTAAGAATCAAAGAGAATAACGTTACTCAATTAGAATCAAGATTATCAAAGAGTAAAAGTAAATGCGAATCCATAGCAAAGAATTTGGAATCTGTCATCCAAGAAGGTGAATCATTAAGAGAACATATTAAAAAATTAGAAAAGAGTGTCGAAGACAAAAGCATTTCACAGAAAGAATATGAAACTCAAATAAAAACCCTTGACGATGAAATCAAAGCAAAGAATAGTGAAATATCCTCATTAACCGATGCGAATATCGATTATAACATTAAAGTTGAAAATTTATTAAGCGAAAAGGAAGAATTACTCAATGAGACTGAACGCTTGGGAAGGGAAAACAACGGGTTAGAGGAAATAAATTCAAAACAACAAGAATTGCTTGAAGAATTAGACAAGCTTGAGAATCTTGCTAAGGATAAAATAACGAATCTTGAAAGTACCCTTGATGCCAAAGTACGAGAAATCAAACTAGTAATGACTGAAAAGGATGAGCTATTAACTAAGCTTGATCGCATAACAGAAGAAACTAAGATCCTGGAACGAGAATTGCAGCAATCAAAGACTGAAATTGAGGACTTAACGAACAAATTGAATAATTATAATGATGCTAGAAATGAATTGAATGACAATATCAATGGTTTACAGAAAGATTTAGATAAGTCTAATGAAGCAAACAAAGCATTGCAGAATAGAGTAAATGAATTAATTCAAGAAATCGAAAAGCTTAATCAGAATGTAAGTGAGTCTGAAACACAAGTGGATTTGTTAAAGTCTATTAATACTGAAAAAGATGAAATTATAAGTGGTGATACTAAGAAAATGGGAGAATTGGTCCAAAAAGTAAATAAGCAGAAACAAATTATTGCTGATTACGAAAAGGATTATTCGAAGGCCTTGGAAGACATTAAATCCCTCCAGTCTGAGAGTAAAGACTCTTCTTTGAATGAACAAGTTGAAGATTTGAAAAAGCAAGTTTCTGAGGGCCAAGCGAAAACGAACGCAAGAATTCAGGAAGTGGCTGAACAACTTTACTTCGAATATTCAAAGAAACATGAATTGAAGGTTAATCAAGTAAGAGCTAGTTTCAAAAAGCAAATTGATAACTTGCATTTTGAAAAGAAGTCACAAGCTAGAGATATTGATAGTTTGCAGAAGAAACTAGAGATTGTTAATATGGAAAAAAATCAATTGTTGCGTTTAATCGATGAATATCAATCCGGCTCTGATCCTAGCTCTAAGAAGAAGCTAAGTCCCAAGAAATCAGGAATTAAGAAACCTCTGAGATATTAGGATATATAATTTAATACATAAAATACATGGCAAACTATGCAACCTAGTAGACTGAGAGCTCTCGCTTTTGTGTCACGTTTTAGTCGGTATAAATTGAGCAGACAAATTAATGAAATAATTAATTAAAGGCAAATATCAAGAGAATCAAACTTACAACTTAATAGATTATACGGTTGTTGTGGTTATTGTTATTGTTGACTCGTTTTATTCGATAGAGATTTACTAAAAAAAATATATTTTAAAAGTCAAAGAATTCATTAACTACGAGGAGTGAGAAAATAATGTCGAACGTTGAAGCAAGTAAATTATATGAAGCTATCATCGAAGAAGTGATTAGTGATTCAAGGCAAGATTTTGAGGATAGTGGAATTGATGAGTCTACGTTACAGGATTTACGTAAAATATGGTGTGAAAAGCTAAGCCAGTCTGGTGTGTCCAAATTTACCTGGGATGACGAACAAGCCAATGCTTATGAAATAGATAATAATCAATTACCGCCGCATTCAGAAGAACCTACTGGGGGTGTTTTAGGTGATAATTCTTTGCCATTGGACACCGGTTCTGTGTTAGAATTACCCAATATGCAATCTGATTCCCAGTTATCATATAATACCACAGGACTTAGTAGTAACAATAATAGTGATATTCAAATTCCAAATATAGATCCGGCTCCTAAGGAAGAGTACGACGATAACGGTACGGGATTAATGCTTCCAAGAATTAATCAGGCTGATGGAACTTTCGAATTTACTATGCATACTGATCAAGCGACCAATATAATGAATAAGTTGAAAAGAGATCGTCAAGGGTCAAATAATAAAAATATCACCCAGGCGGATGGGAATGATGATGACGAAAATGATGATGATGATGATGATATTTTCAATGACTCGGATGATATCAATTCCGATTTGGATGAGGGTTTGGAGAGTGAAAAATCGGACGAGGAAGATGGGGACCAAGAAGGTCAAATTATGTTATGTTTGTATGATAAAGTTCAAAGGGTTAAGAACAAATGGAAGTCCAATTTGAAAGAAGGGGTAGCTAACATTAATGGAAGAGATTACGTGTTCCAGAAAGCTACTGGGGAGAGTGAATGGTAACCTATGCCTTATCGTATAAACTTGACGATTCCGAGATTATTATTATACTTTATTTTATCTGTCTTTCGTGAATATCGTTAAAAACTTTATAATTGAATTGAGCTTGGGGAGATCTGAAGTTTTCAAGAGTATTTTCTATTTAGAATACCTTAATATTCGAATTGTATACTATATGATAAATTATATTATAATACAAGAAGCAATTTATATAAGAGTATTAGAATTAAAAGTTAGGGATATATAAGTCTAGAACTTCTCTCTTTTCATTAGCAATAGGTGATCCTCCTTCAAATATACAATCAAAATCAACTAAAAGAGTTGTCAAAACCTCCACAGATATGTTTAATGTAGGCACGAAAACAATACACACATTTCTTAAATTCATTCTATTCGTCCCTTTATTTGCTATAATTTGATTCAAGAATTTGAAGATTACGTAGCACACATTGTAATGGATATCATCAATATTTGTCGAATCACTTAAATAATCACGGAATATCAACGCTAATTCCGATCTTGAACTTGCTTCACCTCTAGTATCAGTTATGTGTTTCAAGTCATTATATTGCTGGCCTCCTAAAATTGGAGTTGGCAATTCTCTCAAGTAAGTCTTCAATAATCCAGATACTGTATGCATGTCAGGCTGTAATGGAGATTCATATAAGTCTATGTCGAAATTAGTATTAAATTGATCCTTCAATTGCCTAATGCTAGACGCAGACCCACTTAATCTAAATATACCTTCTTCATATATAGCACCTGCTTTTAATAAGAAATCTAAGCATCTATAACAAATGCTAGGAATGCTTCTATCAAAGAGCTTATGATTAGATAATTCGTATGCAACTGAAAGTTCTCGTCCAAATATTGCTTTAGTTAGATCATCATCCAAATTCATCAGGTCTAAATACAGCTGTATGTTTGATTCTTGTTGTTCTTGTTGTGGCTGTGATCCGATTACTGTCTGAGACAGATCCGACTCTGGAGCGTTCGTATCAAATATCAGAGAATTTAGCTTGTTACGGAAAGGAAATATACTTCTTTTCTTTAATCTTTTAGCCTCCTTCAACTCTTTCTGGGTTGCCTTTTCGGAGTTATTATTATTTGGAAGGTCAATGCTTGAAGTGCTATGTTGATATTGATAACCACCTACAAAGTCCGTCTGTGAATTAGAAGTCTGTGAGGAATATTGTTTGACTATTTCATCTTCCTGATTTTCCTTCGCCCGCCCATCGAGATCTGTCGAAAAGGAATTATCATTATCATTTGAGCCGTAAGAAGTCATAGAAGTATCTCCAATTTCATTAAATTCAACTAATGCTTCAACCCAGTCATCTCTTTCTTCATCACTTTCTGCGCAAAAGAAATACTTCGATGATGACGATATTTTCTTCTGAGGCTCCATTATTAAAAAAGCGTGTCTATAGCCTCTTTCCTCCGCTACTGAATCGTTTGTCTGTTTCCCGATCTGAGAACCTCTCAACTTGATTTGTTCTAAACATACTCCCCCAGGTATTTCATATATTTCCAAAAATGGACCATCGACTTGACACCATCTAATTTTCCAAGATGAACCCAATCCCTTATAACGACGAATCAAATAGCCTTCTTTTCTTGCGCCACTTCTAAAATCATCTAAGGGATTAATGAAATCTAATGAAAGATATTTGCAAATCCTATACAAGATAATGTGAGGAATATGGGGCATTAAAAATATTGTATTGAAATAATTTTGCAAAGTATTTTTACGAGCATCAACTTTATTTGGGGAAGTAGACAAGAATAAAGACTTATCAGGTATTGGTGGTAAACCAAAGTAATCAACTATTGGTCTAATTTCATTATCAAAAGCTACCAACTGAGAATAAGTCTTACGAATTCGCCACATTTCCTTCTTTGATTCTCTGTCGTTAACTGATATAGTACATGCCGGATCATCTTTCTTCGATGATGAAGTATTGCTTGTATTTATGGTACTAACCACCGTAAGACTTATCGTTTGAAACTCATCAGGTTTAATAAATAGCGCACTGTCATCTTCCTCTGCTTTAGGGGTATGTAAAACTTGGAAGCTAGAATTAGGAGTCTGAGTAGACAATCTTGACAATGATTCAGAATCATGTGCCAAAAACTCGTTGGTTATAGGAGTCCGTAATAGAGTAGATTCATGATCAGGCAAAGGTTGTTGAAAATTAGTTTGCGATTCCCCGGTAAGTTGATCATTTGATCGTTGCGCAAACCTTCCACTGAAACCACCCATTTCTGGGGTCAATGGAAGTTTCCTAAAACTTCCAGTATCACTACCAAGTTTTGGGGTACTTTGACTTGGGGGAGCATCCATAATTGATGGCGTTGTTATCAGAGATTGAATAGATATTTGATCATTAGAAATTTGCCGTCCAATAGTATCATTTCTATCAGAACTATTAAGCAGTTTCTGTCCAGCTGATGAGGCGATAGAAGTGTCAATAGATAAGTCCTTACCTGGTTTTTGGGGTGGCTGTAAGCTTGGGGGTAATTTGATTCTCGATTTGTAGTTTGAGTTGAAACTGCTAGTACTAGTATTCTTATGTTGCGTCACCAGACCAATGTCTTTCATTTCATTATTTGTGAGTAAATTGGTTGTAGAAATTTCTTTCTTTGTAGATAAGCTATCATTGATAGACAGCTTATTGTCCAAAGCCCCATCAGTTGCAGGTTTGACCTTTGTGTTCTCCAAAACTGTGTTAATCGAACTTTCATCGCCCGGTCCAAACGTACGATCAGCTTCTTCAATCTGTTTTGAATTTGGATTCTCATTAATAGTGTCATTATGGTTCGTCTCATTTGTTTCATTTGCATTATCTTTATTTCTTGATTTGGTGTCTTCTAACTGTGCAAGACTTTTCTTGTATGATAGTCCGTCATCAATATCTGAATATACAGAAGACCTATTGGATTCGTAGTCCCTTGCTTTATCAGTGGGTGAAGTGGGTGATAAATGGCCTGTTGGAGATTTTGGAATATGAAGACTTCGGTTTGACGTCAATGAGCTTGATGAGGTCTTATTTGCAAGACCTCTCTGTGGAGTCAATTGCCGTTTTACAGAACGCTGTGGTATATCTTCTTCATTCGATTCTTTAGACGCAGTTGAAGGCGCTTCACTAATCTCTCCGCTCAATATAGAAGATATGGTCCCTGAAAGTATTGGGATTCCATTAGCTGTCAATTGACCTTGTAATATACCAATAACCTTCTCCTGTCGGGATAATTTCTCTTGCAACTCTTTCTTCTCGTTTTCTAGCTTTTTGATATATTCATCCGTTACTTTCAATCTATCCATGCTGGCACTGAAAGGTTGGTGGTCTTTGCTATTTTTTTCTGACTGGTGTTTCAATATCTCTTTCATACTGTCAGATTTATGTATACGTAAGCCCTCCATCATTGAAAGATACTATACCGCCACTTATACGCCTAACTTTATGCGACGCTGTTAATGTCAAAAAAACTATCTGTCAGAGTAAATTATGATGTTTAGTCTTTCACGCGTGAATTTTCAAATTTGAATACGAGGCATTTGTTGTGTTCACAAAAGCATACGATATGGATCATATGAAAAAAAGAATATATGGGGTATTATATGCTTACTACAACTAATGAACATACAGTGAACGATCAATACTAAATAAATATATCGAGTGTTGCAGTTTTTTACAAGCAAGGTAAGTATTGGTACCTAATTTTAGCTTTATCGATACTGATATATATATATATATGAATATGCTAAACTTGAAATAAATGAATGGTAAATGAGACATTACTAGTTCGAGGCTTCTTGTTGTTTTTGAGCAGATGCTAATCTCTTATAATATGCCCTCGTATGACGAACGATTCTTCGTTTGTCTTCAGGATCATTTTTCAAAGGACTATAGGAAACTTCCTTTAATGCATTTCCATCGCTGTCGAGAATTTCTTTTACCATTTTATTTACAGGCACAGGGTCTTCGTACACATACTCTGATTTTACAAGCTTATCCGAAGGTTCTTCATATTGATAGATATAGCCTGACGGTAAAATTGAATTTGGCATCATGGATCTACCGAGTTTGATAACCTCATTGGCCCAAATAGTAACATCTGTTTGAGGTTTCTTGTAAGGTACCCAGGTTTTTTTGCAGCCTTTGACTAATTCCTTCATGACTTGTTCACTTCCCCAAGTTGGGTTCCATAAGAGTTCATCATCATGGGAATCATTGGGGTTGTTGGTTAAACCAATAAGATGGGAAAATATACCGGTGGATAATGCTCCATCAGAGTAGCCTCCTTCTAAAAATGAAACAATCTTTCCGTTGGTGTGAATTTTAGCTAATTTTACAACATCTTTTGTGAATGTGGCATAAAAGGAGGTAGGAACGTTAATTCCATGTCTTTGCATTTGAGGATTTTCATACTCCAGAGCATCGAATCCAGCAGAAATAGTAATTAAAGGTTTAAATGGTGGAGGAGGAGCCGGTTTTGAAAGTGGTTGATTGTATAAATGGGGCTTCAATAAATATTTATTATACTTGGCTAAATTAGCCAAATACTCCTGATACTCTTTATCATACTGCTTTTTGGCATGATTCAAAAATTGATTTGCTCTATTCAAAATGTTTACGTATTTTATTTGGTAATGCTTGTAAAACTCTTCTTCAGTGGACCATTCTTGGAGGTGAACGTTCCATATATTAAGGTCATGATCCATAATACAGGTAGATGCATTTTTTAAGTTTTCCTTTGTGGCATATCCTAATTCAGTTGGATATGACTTTATGTCATGTAATGAAAAGTAGCCAACTTTTGGATAAGTAGCAAATCTTTTTCCGTAATCATCTCTTGGACCTTGTCCGTCAATTTCATCATCTTCTTCTTTTCCATAGTCACCAGTGAATCCAGCTCTTTCCCAACAAATATCTTGAGATCCATCCCCATGATGTAAATCGATATCCAATATCGCACAATGAGTAATGCCGTAACGTTCGAAGGCATATTCTATACCAATCTGAACATTATTTAACAAGCAAAACCCGCTAGGTAAGCACGCGTGGGAGTGATGACCTGGAGGTCTAATAACAACAAATGCTAAATTATGGCTATCATGCTTGTCCATGTACAATGAATCAACTGCAGTCTCGATGGTTCCGATAACACCCTCAATTGCATTTATAGTTTTGGGCGTCAAATATATATCTCCCGTATTCCAATCTTCAGGAACTTCCAAGTCATCATTCTGTAACTTTTCATGCGATGCTAAACATAGGTCGTACAACTTTTTGGGCCAAGTTTTGCCATGTATCTTACGTACATGTGAGGAGAAAATTGATCCTCTCTTGGTGGAATTGGTTAGTTTGTAGAAGAATGGAAACATTGTAATTGCGGATGAAATCCCTATGCAAGATGCTAGTAATCTCTGTGGTCTCTCAAAAATGGTGCTAAGATACGACTTAGAGACCCATTTCCTTCCAAATGCATGTTCAGCCGAGTACGGTGATAAAACAATCAATGTTTTATCATTATTCTTACGGAACCTAGGCGATTCCCTCTGGATATGTGGATTAGACTTCAAGAATTCAGTAAAGATCTTGGTGAATCGGCTTAACGAATAATCAATTAATGGGGAAGGGGCCAAAAGTCTCTCGTACTTTAAATCTACAGCACTGGGAGTAGGGCTTGGACTAAGTGATTGTGACTTGGTAACCCTAGCCGCAAGACTTGGCTGTAAGTTCTTTTTTGTTTTAAACCTAGGTATCTGTTCCAGCGCAACCTCCTCCTCTTGTAATTCATCAATGTCAACAATGCTCTGATCTCTAGTATAGTTACCAAATGTGTTATTATGAATAAATGTGGTATGGTCAATAGATATATCTCCATCATTGTGTGCTTCATTCGACGAAGGTCTAATTGTCAATGTTGTTTCAAACTGTGTGATCAATGACTCTTCATCGCTATCATCTTTATCAGGGGTCTCCCGTAGGTTGGACATTTTTTAAAAAAATATCTAGTTGAAATCAAATATACGCCTCCTTTTATCAACTGGCTTTATGTACCTAGTATAGAGGGTTATTCGTATGCTATAGAACTAATTTCTTAATAATAGCAATTGAGTGACGTTGATCCAGACGATGCAGCTTTGTTTTGGTTTTTCGATTTTGTGTACGTTTGAAAATTATTATTTGCAACTTTCTGTGGTAGTCTATTGTCAAGGTGGTTAGACTACAAATAGCTCTACGGGGTATCATATAAGTACAAGGACTGTTATATTACGGTCTATTAAGTTATCTAAACAGATTCCTCGAGGTATAGAATGAAAAAACTTTTTTTTATATTTTAAAGTGATATTCTCATCAAGCGGATTGGGACATAATCTTAGGATTAACTTCTTGGGCCAATCTTGGGGATTCACCAACATTATGTCTTCTCTTCCTAATGACGTTTTCAATAAAGGCCTCACCTGCCTTATAAGACGATCTGACTAAAGGACCACTGGCAACATAAAGGAATCCCATTTGTAAAGCAGTGTCTCTCCAGTAGTCGAACTTTTCAGGCTTGATGTAGTCGACCACCTTCATATGCCTCTTCGTAGGTCTCATGTACTGGCCGAATGTCACGACATCACAATTTATTTCTCTCAAGTCCTTCAATGTTTGCATGATCTGTTCGTCGGTTTCACCAAACCCTAACATAATCGAAGTTTTAGTCACCAATGAAGGCTTTGTTTCCTTTGCCTTTTTTAATATGGACAACGATTGTCTATATGTGGCCCTACGGTCTCTAACGTACGGCGTTAAAGCCTCAACAGTCTCAATGTTGTGGGCATACACATCCAATCCGGATCTAGCTAAAATCGCAGCCATATCCAAGTCCCCTCTAAAGTCACCCCCCAAGACTTCCACTAAAATCTGTGGGGCCTTTTCTTTGATCTTTCTCACTGTTTCTGCCAAGTGGTTGGCACCACCATCCACTAAATCGTCCCTGTCGACTGTGGTCAAAACAACATATCCAAGCCCCCATCTACTAATAGCTTCGGCAGTGTTCTCCGGTTCCATAGGGTCCGGTTTGGCTGGTGTCCTATTAGTTTTGACAGAGCAAAAACGACATCCTCTCGTACAGGTGTCTCCCATTAACATGATGGTGGCCGTAGCTTCTGATTTCTTTCCTCCCCAACATTCACCAATGTTTGGACATTTAGCTTCTTCACACACCGTGGCTAATTTCAACTCTCTCACGTCATTTTTCAAGTTGTTGAACGACTTTCCCTTAGGGATTGGAACCTTCAACCATTTGGGCAATCTTTGGTTCGGGTCTTGTCTGGCCGCTTCCAATGGATCAACCAACATATCCGCTGCTTTTCCGTTCACAAAGTCCTCAAAAGATGGTCCTTTGTTTAATGCATCCGAAAAAACTGTCTTCTTTCTCTTGGTCTTAGGTTTAGCTTGCTCATTGATACCCGACGTATCTGCTGTGGCTAACGTACGATAGATCCGTGCTGCTTGAACCGCAGGACTTCTCAGTATGCTTCTTAATGAAATCATTTATATTCTACTTTCCTAATCTTCCTTATCTCCCCGTAAACAAGGTACTATCACTCTAATACACTTCTATGTCCAATATATATAGTAAGAGACTATGGAAATTGGAACCGTAAAATTTCCTTCTCCTCTGTGAACAGAACTTTTGGGATTTTGTGTCACTTTCAGTGTTCATCCCGGCCAAGTCAAAAGACCTTCTACAAAATGACTCGGGGACGCGAGTCTGAGTGAAAGTTGGGAATATGTATTTATACAGAGCTTACTAGGAATTATATTAGAGTAGGCGGTGGATTTCATCGTCTTTGAAAGAGTGCAAGTCGTCCAAATTACCCCACCATTTGAATAAGAAAGTTTGGCAGATCAATTTGAACCATGGAGTGAAGACCAACGAGTCATCTTTGAACATCTGCTTCAATTCGTCCTGGCTCACGTACTTGTAATCTTTGACCTCGTTGTAGTTGGCATTGATAGTAATATCGTTCTTGGTTCTTAAAATCAAGATGTAGTCGATCTCGTGCTCACCCCATTTGGAGTCGTCACCCCCACTAGGCGACTTGTAGTGGATTCTGGTCAAGTACTGGAAATCAGCAAGAGGAGCATCGCCGTAAGGGATGCCTAGTTCGTGCTCTAACTTTCTCTGTGCTGCGACCTTTGCTCCTGCGATGGCGGTTGATAAGTCGTTTTGGTTCGAGCTTCCACCGTGTGCCGTTATACCTAATTCATCTGGCACGCACAATGGGTGTGAACAGCAGGTGTTGGTCCACATCTCTGGAAATGTAATCTTTTCTTCAGCTCTCTGTTGCAATAACAACTTTCCGTCCTCGTTGAAGAGAAACACAGAAAACGCTCTATGCAACAACCCTTCGTTGATGTTGGTCATTATATGGCACAATTTCTTGGTACCCGCTCCGATAGGCTTATCCTCGTAGTCTAATACAATGCACAATTCGTCCATCAATTTAATTTGTTCTTCGTTGTGTCCTTCAAATATCCCTTCGTCGATGCCTGAACCGTCTGAGCTTGAACCAGCTGATTTCGGAACCCCCGAAATCTGTTTTAACGGGGTAACTTCATTCCACTTACTCAAAATATCATCTCCCGATAATTCGGCTACTAACTTGGCGTAATCTGACATATCTATCGTCGGTGTTCGTTTAATACTTATGTTGTGAAAACGTTTTTAATGATGTTAAAAATTGGGTACTAAATAAATTTTCAGATAAACGCGATCGGCTGAACAAAAAAGTTCTATACGACAAACATCGTCTTCAATCCACGATAACTGGCTATTATTATCGCCAATATCAATCTATTTAGAAATCCACGAAGATTATCCGTGTTTAAATAGTAGAGTCTACTTATATATGGCTTAGTTACTATGTAAATGCTATAAATGGAGTATTTTGACTAAGTAGTAATGAAAATTGCGAAGCCCTGGGCTTTCTCGAAGATTTTCGAATTTGGCCTGAAAAAAATTGTCGACTCAAAGCCGTCGCTTCTACAATTGATCTCGTTATTTCAGACCACAACGAAACCACCCCACAATTGAATAAGTCAGATATGTCTAGCGTCGCCGAAAACTCTACTGGACGTCCTAACAGACGTTTTATCAAACGTCCAGATGACAAAGCTTTGAAACAAGAAATCGAAGGTTTGAAAAATGAAATTAAAAAGTTGGACTTAACAAACAATGAAATCAACGCACAAATTAACAAGGTCGTCACCGACCCAAAAGTCATTGAAAGAAGAAAGGAATTGCAAGGGCAATTAAAGGAATTAGTTGGTAAGCAAAGCACTATCAAGAATGAAAGAGGTGCTATTTTGGATCAAATCAAAGGTGTTGAAGCACAATTGAAGAGAAAGATTTCCGAAATCCAAACCAAAACCTCCAAACACGCATTTAAGAATGTGCAAGAAATTGACTCGAGAGTCAACTACTTGGACAAGTTGGTTGATGCTGGTGACTTGAAATTGGCCGATGAAAGAAGATATGTCAAGGAAATGTCATCTTTACGTAAATTGCGTAAGGACTTTGGATCTATCGAAAAGCAACAAGAGCTGATCGACCAGGACAAGGCCAAGATTGCTGAGTTGAAGAAGAAGTTGAACGCAGTTCAAAATAAGGAAGTTCAACAGCAATTTGAGAAAATTCAAAAGGAATTGGACCAAATAAACGATGACAACAAGTCGGTCGTTAACAAGAGAAACGAATTGTTCGGTAAGAGAAATGAAATCAAGAAGAACAAGGACGCTAAGTACGATCAAATTAGAAAGTTGAGAGCTGAATTTGACGCTGAATTCGAAAAATTCAAGACCTTGATGACTGAAGAAAGAAAGAAGAGAGAAGAAGAATCCAAACAACAACAATTAGAAGAAAAGAAGCAAAAGAGAAAGGAACAAGCCGAAAAACAATTGTCTGAAGCCTCTGTTCCTGCTTTCACCACCGAAATCAACTCTATCCATACTTTATTGGCTTACTTCGATCCATCTTACGTTAAGCCACAACCAAAGAAGTCTGCTACTGCTACTAATAGTAACGTCAATAGCTCCGGAAACGGTAGAAAGATTGAAATGCCAGAAGATGTTGTTGTTCTTAAAAAAGAACAAGAATCTTTCTTCGAAGGTTCTAAGTCCAAGAAGGCCTCCAAACAAAAGAAGTCTAAGGCTAAGAACTTTACTGTCGAACCAGATGTTATTGTTGCCTTAGGTGATTTGAGTATCCCATTACCTACTCAAGCTGACGATGTTTCTTCAACCATAGACACCTTGAAGGAAACCTTAAAGGCCCTTGAAGACAAACAAGAAGAACAAACTAAAGTCAACATTGAAAAGGCAAAGGCCAAGATTGCCAAACTTGAAGCCGAGGAAGATCAAGCTGAAGCTGAAGCTGCTGAAGCAGAAACCACTGAAGCTTAAGTTTCGGACCAATCTTCATGTTTGTCCCGTCAGCTATCATTTAACTAGTTTATTGTCAATATCAATTATATCGTAGATTTATTAATACAACAATTATTTACCATTGCCTTTGCAAGGTTGTAATCAGACCTGTAGAATATGTTGAAATTAATAAATGATTGTCTTCTGTCTTATTGCAAGCTGGATTAGATACTGCGCGCATTTAAGATGAGCTCTTGAAAATTTATTTTTGATGATAATTCTAATATCATCCCCAAGTTTATTTATTAGTCATGGCCAAAAGAAAAACAGAAGCCAAGGAAGAAAAGCCTGTTAAAAAGCCCGTTAAGGCAATTCCAGAAACCCAATACTCCATATGTGTTCCATCTACTATAATATCAGCCGCAAATGCTAAGAATTTAGAACAAATAACATTTATTGCATATCAAATAGCCAAAGCTGCTACTATTTATAACGTAGCTGAAATTGTGGTATTAGACGTACCCTCGTCATCCAAGAAACAAGAGCTTGCAGAAAAAGAGGCTACCAAGGTCGTAGAATTAGGCAGTAACAAAGGTGGTAAAAAAATCAAGTTCAACTTCAGCGATGAGGATATAGTGAAGCCAAGCGTTGAAAAAACAAAAGAACCCGAGACTCCTACGGATCTCTCGTCTGATATTAATGAAAACAACACTTTGCTTTTCGCTACTTTGTTGCAGTACTTCATGACACCCCCATATTTGGTCAAATCAGTCTTTGCAAATAACCAATTCAGCACTAAGTTCAAATATGCCCAAAAACTTCCCAAAATATCGACCCTCCCATTCATGTCCAATAATGAAGTCTCCAAAGACTTCAAAGAAGGTCTCACTATCCTCAAGGCAACGCCAAAAGTCACTAAGAAAAACAAAAAGGTCAGTGCATTGAAAAAATTGTCCGTCACCAAATACGTCAATATTGGCGACGCAGAACCGTTCGTATTGGACCACGAAGTCCCCGTAAATGTCAGAGTCACAGTGGACTTAAAGAACAGAAAAATCGTCTCTCCTCTCCAGGCCTACGGCTTGATCGGCTGCAAACTGTCCTTCGGATACCATGTCAGGTACTGTGCAAACTTCAGCTCCATTTTCACCCAAAGCTCATTCCCAGAAGGCTACACCTCCACCATTTACGTCAACTGCGACGATTACTTCAACTCCAACGACACAATTGAAGCCAGAAACTCCATAAACAAAAACCCTGACCTCTCGTCCAAAGACGGGAAGATTCTCCTACTTTTCGGTAACTACAAAGATTTAGACTATAGTTTCCAGAACGACAAAGCCAACTTGCCCGGCGTTGAAAATGTGTCCCAGATGTTTGACGGCGAGTTGCCAGTCCCAAAAGGCGTAAAAGTGGAAGATGCTACGCTTATCAGTCTCGCGAAGGTACACCACTAACCATACTATTAACCATAGACTATATATATGCAAAAACCCGTATATATATGTTAGTGCTGTAATTTACGCGCGCTGTTCACCTGCTTTGTATTGACATCACATCCCTCCACCACATAAGCCCTCGCTTGCTCATTTACTCTGCGTATATTTGAGTCTTTGTTTGCTTTTCTAAATTTAGAACATAATAAGTCTAGAACTGTAAACATTTTCTGTAAGGATGTTGAGGAATTTGTTTATAGAATATTCACTGATTTAATTTGTTTTATTTGTTTTATTTCAGCTCTTTTAAGAATTAGTACATTCGTTTAATCAATAGATAGTTCTGAAAATGCAATTCAAATATTTGACTGTTCTTGCTGCAGCTGTTTCATCAGTTTCTGCTATTGGAGATGTAAGTGTTTTTTTTTTGAATTTGATCGGCAAATTGGGGAATTTAGAGGGTGTAATATTAACAGATTTTTAGCTTGCTTTCAATATTGGTGTTAAGGATAACTCCGGTAACTGTAAATCATCCGATGAATACGGAAGTGACTTTTCTGTTTTAGAATCACAATCCAAGATTGTCAAAACATACGCTGTTTCTGACTGTAACACTTTGCAAAACTTAGGACCAGCGGCTGAAGAAGCCGGATTCCAAGTTATGTTCGGTATCTGGCCAAACGACGATGCTCACTTCGCTGAAGAAAAACAAGCTTTGAAGGACTACTTGCCTAACATTTCTGTTGACACTGTCAAGGTTTTCACAGTTGGATCGGAAGCTTTGTACAGAGGAGACTTGACTGCTGATGAATTAGCCGACAAGATCCAAGACATCAAGGACACCTTGAAGGATATTAATGATAAGAACGGTAAGTCTTACTCTTCTGTTCAAGTTGGTACTGTTGACTCATGGAACATTTTAGTCGACGGTGGTTCCAAGCCAGCTATTGATGCTGCTGACTTTGTATTCGCCAATGCTTTCTCGTACTGGCAAGGACAAACCAGTAAGAATGCTTCTTACTCTTTCTTCGATGACATCATGCAAGCTTTGCAAACCATCCAAACCGCCAAGGGTACTGACATCGATTTCTGGGTTGGTGAGACCGGATGGCCAACTGAAGGTACCAACTTCGAATCTGCTGACCCAACTCTTGAAAACGCTAAGAACTACTGGCAAAATGCTATCTGTGCTATGAGAGGATGGGGTGTTAACGTTGCTGTTTTCGAAGCATTCGATGAAGCATGGAAGCCAGACACCTCTGGTACTTCTGATGTTGAAAAGCACTGGGGTGTCTTTGACTCTAACAACAAGCCTAAGTACGACTTGAGCTGTAACTTTTAAGCTTAGATTACAATTAGATATTTGTATTCTTTGAAAAATACCCTTTATTTTTATACCCACTTCTTGATGTTTAATCTTTATTTCTTAAATTTTATCTTCTGACGTTCCAACAAAAAAAGTTTAAATAGGTTCGATTATATAGAAGAAATATACTTTTAAAATATTATTTGAATGAAGAAAAATGTAACTACTAATAACCAGATTAATTGATGTATATAAAGGAACTCCTAATAACCATCCATTGATATACATTCTTCTAAAGTAAAGCCTGGATAAATAAACTACTATCCATCGTTTGATACCTTGCTAATATAGCATATCATCATTTAATAATACTATCGACTGTTCTTTAAGCTCTTCTAATTATGTAGTTTCGCATAATAATTAGTTATTTTTGGCAATTTCTGATAATTATGGTAAAAATAGGATTTTACGAAAAATATGTAAAAAGTAATATAAAATCGTCGGAATGCCTGGAAACTTGAAGGTGTATATAGCTTGCTATTCAAGGACGAAAGGCAAATAAGATAAATATTTTAAGCGATTTTAATATGCTTTAGAATGATTCTTTTGTCAAGTTGCGTTTTCGGTGTTTAAAATTTGCAACAAAAATCCCTTTAAAATCACATAATCGCTTTTAGGTATTCATAACTAATTTCTTACTTCTTGTTTACTTTCAACATGTTATTTGGTTTACTATAATTTAATTCTAAGAATTATGAACCATAATATAGAAATATGTAAAATTGTACTAGAATACGGAAATAATAATTAAAAGGAAATACGACTTCGTGGCCAAGTTGGCTAAGGCGTGAGACTGTTAATCTCAAGATCGTGAGTTCGACCCTCACCGAGGTCGCATTTTTTTTCTAGTTCAAATTAATCGTGCTTGCAAAATATTCTATAACAAAAGAAGTTAGCAAAGCCAATACAAAAATACTTTTAAATTTTCCACTTGATGAATCTGAAACCTCCTGATATATCGCTAGCATTCGGCGAATTATCAATAAATGAGGGAAAAGATGAAATACGGGTCAAACATACTCAAGGGAAATCGAAATCAGGCGTAAATAGTCCTATAAAATCTAATGATAACTCTAATGATAAACATAATGGAGAACAAAAAGGAAAACAGAAATATAAACCAAAACCACAATTTCCAATTATCAAATCAAAATACGATTCTATAGAGAACAGAACAACTAAACACGGTGAACTAAAAACAAATGCAAGGCAAAACTTCAAGTCATCTCTGCTAGAGAGAGGCGAAGACCAGATACGTCCGGCTGAAAACAAGAAATCAATTTCTAATCTTAAAAGTGGTAAATTTTCTTCTTTGAACAATAATAGATCATTTGGAACACAGTATGACAGTAGTAGAGTTGTAACTACGTTCAAGAGTAATATATACGCATCGCTAGGTAGTCATAAAAAAGTAGCCAATCCTGCAGCAGAAAAAATTAAACCTCCAACCAATAAGAATACATCTAGAGAGAATATTGAAGTTCATGATAGATGGGCTAACTACTCGAAGACTAAAAATTCAAGTTTTGTTGTAGCAAATAGTAAAAATAAAGATTCAGAGATTTTTGATGTTAAGCAAGCTTATGATGAAGAAAGTGCAGGCAACTCATTATTGATCAATCTTGCCCACAAAGGCGAACAAGATTTTGAAGAAGAGGAGGTGAAACCCGAAGATTGTGTAGTGGATGGATTGACCGTACCATTATTACCTCATCAAGTATCGGGTTTGAGGTTCTTGAAAAGACGTGAGGCGATGAAAGGAAGCTCTTTAGGTGGATTATTATGCGATGATATGGGTTTGGGTAAAACAATTCAAATTATTGCGATGATACTAGAGAATAAAGGTAGCACCGAAAATAAGACTAATCTAATTGTATGTCCCGTGTCTCTTACTACTCAGTGGAAATCTGAAATCGAATCCAAAGCTTCAGGACTAAGTGTGTTAATATTCCATGGTCCAGATAGGCCCAAGACGTATGAAGAATTAGCTGAGTATGATATAGTGATAACAACTTATGCCACAGTAAGTTCTGAATTTCACAAGAATGGGTCGCCATCGGCTTTATATTCTCCAGAATTTAAGTGGTGGAGAGTTATATTAGATGAAGCTCATCAAATAAAGAACAAGAACTCCAAGCAGGCAAAGGCAGTGTTCAGTTTAGTCGCAGATCGTCGTTGGTGCTTGACAGGTACACCATTGCAAAATAACCTTAGTGAATTACAATCATTGTTTAAATTTATTCGAGTCAGCAAATATGCAGACGATCAGATATGGTTGGATACAATTCAACAATATATCCAGGAAAGAGATATATACGCTGCATTATTTGAATTAAGAGACGAGCTAAGTAAATTGATGCTAAGAAGAACAAAAGCTATTTTGAGTAGCAGTCATAATACCTTCAAATTACCACCAAAGAATATTCATCGAGTCACGGTTGAGTTTTCGGAATTTGAGAGATCTATATATGATAACGTTAAAGATATCATCTTATCAAATTTGAATAACCGACCTGCGATCAAAAAAAAAATGGAAGTTGTTAGAAATAATTCTCCCACGCTTCGATTGAAGAAGCAAATATCTCAAACCAAGAATGAAAATATCAATTATATGAGTGCGTTGGTATATTTATTGCGATTAAGGCAGTTATGTTGTAGCTGGAATTTGCTATTTGAAGACGACGCAAACAGCTTGGAGTTTGAGGGGAAATTGACTACCTCGAATGATAAAGATACATCTTTAGAGGGCTTAATAGATTCAATGGGCGGATTGTCGGTGGGATCAAGTAATTGTGAGGTTTGTATGAAACGACTTAATGCAGATAATGAATCCAATGACGATAAAAGGTTTTGTAAAACTTGCAGCGAAAGTGTTAAAGTACCGAAACATCACGAAGATGATTATTATGTGTCTTCAAAAATAAAGCAGGTTTTGGAGATTTTATCGACAAGTCGTGATAGAAAAACCATCATATTTTCTCAATTTCCATCCCTATTCAAAATATTAAGTGATACTCTTAGTTCGAGAGGGTATAAGATATTAACATATGATGGATCAATGGATATTAAAACTAGGAATTTTGCTTTGAATTCTTTGAAAAATGATTCAGATACGAATGTTTTACTCTGTTCTTTGAAATGTGGATCAGTTGGATTGAATCTCACATGTGCATCACAGGTAATTCTATTTGATCCTTGGTGGAACCCTCAAATTCAAGAACAAGCAATAGATAGAGTTTATAGAATCGGTCAAACGAAGCCGGTTGATATCTATGAAATTACTGTTAAAAATACAGTTGAAGATAACATCTTGAAGTTACAGGAAACAAAAAGGCAGCTAGCGAATGCCGTAACTTCAAGTGATTCCAAAATTAGCGCAAAGAATATTAGTAACAACTTATCGAAAAAAGAACTTCTACAGTTGTTTGGTATTGAAGAACCCAATAACTTATCGTGAACCTTTTATTACATGTGTACTTTCTCTAAATTAATATATAACACATAAAGGATGCGAGTATGGTTGAAAACGATGATCCGATTAAAGAATTGCCAATATTTTCAGCAGTAGTGGCTTGTGGGGGCGTTGATGTTGCAGAACTTGATGTTGCAGAACTTGTATTTGCTGCATCCGATTCATTTGAACTTGAAGATACTGAAGTGGATGAGCTATCTGTAGTGGAGGAGTCATCTGTAGTGGCCGATAAAGATGTCTCTCTGCGGGAACTGGATGATACCAAGTTTGAAGATGAAGCTTTGGATGAGGCTTTGGACGAGGAAGCCAATTTGGTAGAGGAAGTCAATTTTGTAGATGAAGATTTGGATGAAGATTTGGATGAAGATTTGAAAGAGGAGGAGGACGAGGAGAACAGTTCGGACGAAGAGGATGGGGAAGAAGAAGCAGAAGAAGAACTCGAGCTACTGGATGCTTCGAAATCAGTATCAACTGAGCCACCGTTCTGCAAAGTACTAAAATCTTTCTCGGCTTGTTCTTGTCTACCATTGACTTCACCATCGATAGCCTTGATTGAAGTCCAATCACCTGAATTATCTCCATATTCGTATTTCTCACCACTAGAGTAATCTGTGACAATAAGAGACTTCACATACATGGAGAATGGCATGTCTGAGTAGTCAGTCAATCCACCAGCCCATTCAATAGTACCTTGCTCGTTCGAAGGATCACCACCAGCCCAAATACCCATTCTGATGAACATTGGAGATTGTGGATAACCCTGTGGATTGTCTGCATCTAAAGTTCTTACAACTTTTCCGTCTAATGACCATGTTAAAGAATCTTGAGTCCAATCTATAGTATATGTGTGGAAGTTTTTTAACGGGTTGGAAGAAGTGGAGTGGTATTCACCTCTATCGTAGGTAGTAGTATCACCTTTTGAAAAGTAATTCAGCTGGAATTCATAACCATCTCCGCCAAATAATTCGATATCTATTTCGTCCAAATCGTCCGACTGTAAAAAAAAACTCGAAATCAATCCTTGTCCCTCTGCTGCTTGCAACGTTACCTCAACTTTTCCGAACATTATGTAAAACTTTGATTGCAAAGTTGGATTGTCGAATCTCTTAGCAAGTTTCAATTCTAATCCATCATCACTAAACAATACACCATTGGGCTTCACAATATCAAAGTATGGCGATTCAGACTTAAAATCTTCTTTAAAAGATGTACCTAACGCTTGATCCGCGTCACAATTCGTACTTTTCAATGGATTACAGGTCGATAAAACGCCTGGAACAAGTGCACATATTTTTAACAAAGAATTGACTCTCATATTACTATTCTATTCTAGGTTAAAAATTCAAAGCCAGTTTCCATACAATTGGGTGGCTTATATACTTATCGAAACATTCTAATTATAAATCACGATTCTAAAACAAAAATATTAACGTAGGAGGTATTTGCCTAAATATAGAAATTGTTCCAAAACGCGATCACGTCTAATATTCCAACAGCCATATTAGCGATATTTCTCGTCAGATAGCCCACATTGTGGTGTTGTATGACATACCACACGAGCAGTTGCGTGGATCTAACGTCTATTTGCCTTTTTAGGTCCCATTTAATGTTAATGTATATTTCGTGTGTACGCATCATTCGTTTCCAGTGTGTAAGAGATGCTCATCGCCTACACTCTCAAAATCGTCAATGCCCACAGCATCCAATTTTTACCCTAATAGTCTCAATTGTGATGTTGATACGTGAAGCACCATCTTGATTTGCATTAGTATAACAGGATAATCAACCTTTCAGTGCTAAATTATGTCTGGGGCTTAGATGGTGTGATTCACTTAGCCCAAAAATAGATGGAACGGGTCCGGGACTTAAAAAATATTGAAGCACTCCGTTCCACCCGATTTCTTATTAAGAATCTTGTATTCCCTTTGGTGTGTTCTTCTCGTGCGGCCTATTATTTTGCAGTCCTTGGCATATTCTGTAACAACTAAGTTAGTGCTTAGCACTCGCGGGAATACAGTGCTGGCTCTTCATTGCATGGTAACTGTCGCAATATACATACCCTGGCCTCAAAACCATATGTATACGATTTGCTACAAAATTGATAAATCCACCGTAAAGGCTATTTGCAATGGTCCTGTGGTATATCTATACATCGTTGAATGTCAATAACTAACTAAGATGCCAAAACCTATCTGTATGATATAATGGGTTCCAAATATCACGTATTAGTAAATATTTGTAGCTTACGTTAGATACTTGTATTACCACTCAGGAATCCTTCCCTAAACTGAATATAAAGTGATCAGAGATCAATTTACTTGAAATTGCTTAAAGCTAGATGTCATGAATCAAGTTCTAATGGGTCAGTTATCTTTTATCTATTTGCCAATTTGGGTCATAATTACCGATCTAAGCTTTTATCGCGAAAATGATCGTGCGGCTACCAATCAGGGAATGATAGTAGAATTTATATTATCCTTGCTTAGATATTAGTTTCCTACAAAAACCAGCATGGGAAATATGTCAGGTTTACTATGGTACATGGTGGTTTTTACAGCTAGACATGGTTATGCACAGCCATTAGGCTACGGTTATAGCAAAAGGGAAGGAAATAACGGGAATAGTAATGATTTGATGACTGTATTCTTGTTTTCAGTGGTGACATTCAGTGTGATGGTGACGTTTTTTGGAATAATAGTTTTCGTAGTTAAAAGACGGATTAGGTTGACAGAAAGAGAGATGATCAGAGAAGAAGAAAACCAGGTATATCTTGAGTTAGATTCGGACGAGCAGGAGCTATATTTCCAGTCAAAGGAATACCTCAACAACAACCCCTATGTGAGAGATGAGTTGACGTTGTCGCAAAATTTGGCAATACAGGAGAAAGGAGTGAAGGCGTGGGAATTTGTGAAAGATCCTATGTTGGCAAATAATGATATGATGATTTTGAACCGCTACGAGATCACATTTTTCAAGAGGTTTGAGTGCTCGACGCAAACAAACTTGCCAATACCGATGAAAAACGACGTGTACTACTTCGAGAGTAAGATGCACCATTTGCCACACCCAGAAGATACAGTGGTATCTATTGGACTCGGTATTAAGCCATATCCGTGGTTCAGATTACCAGGACGACACGCGAATTCAGTGAGTTATGACTCAGATGGATACAGGCGCTATAATCAGCCATTCAAGATCACCAACGACCCTCAATTTCCTAAATTCATAGAGGGCGATGTGATAGGGGTTGGATATCGTGTCAGAAGCGGAACGATATTTTTCACTAGAAACGGGAAGAAAGTGAGTGAACTGAAAATTGGGGGCCATATTAAGAACTTCAAAATTTTGCATAAGGGTCAAATATTTCCTATCATTGGTGCTAATAATTTATGCTCGGTACATGTAAATGTTGGCCAAATGGGTTACGTGTTCATAGAGGGTAATGTGAAGAAATGGGGCTTTGGTCCTCTTGAAGGGAATGGTCCGGCACCACCAGCATACAACAAATTTAATGCAGATATTTTACTTGAAAGATCAGAGATCGATGACCTGAATGATTTAAGCGATCGTGATGATGATTTCCCTCCTAATTTCTGGGAAATCAATCCTATCGATGATGACGATATGAACGATAAGTACAGTTATAATGCATACAGTGACTCCAATTCCAATCATGAGAGGATAACTTTAAATAGCATCCCTATAAAACCCCCTTCATATGATGGGGACCATGGGCTGACTGAAGACATAAATAATGGTCTGTCTTCCACTGAAGCCCACCCCACTCACGATAACCACGAATCAAATGATGCAAACGACACAAATGACGCAACGCCTGATAGAGACCCCGATAATAGTAGATAACAGGTATATATCTATGTTTATACCCGTTGATTGAATATATCTTAGCGCAATATAATACAGCAATTTGATTTTGTAATTAGAACAATATTCCAGTAGTACACTCTATCTATGCAATTTGCTTATATTTGATACTAATATTGAAAGAAGCTCTAGAAACCAACTATTTTATCCGCGCCTAAACAAGATTTTAGTCTATATTAAGACCTAAATTCGGTGGGATGTTTAGCTGAAATGTGGAGCATTTTTATTCTTCATTCTACAATAATAATTGCACCTTTACATGATTCTTGTGCATCGCTCCTGTCCATTTCTATCGCGGTAACACGGCCTTTGCTTTAGGGAGCTGAAGCACCCTAAGTTCCCGTTAGTCCCCGAGAGTGACTTTTGTTGTGTGCCTTCTATAACCTCAGAATATAATGCTGTTCACTGCATATTGGATTTCGCTTAATCATTTCGGCCCGCGGGCAGTAAAGATTTAGGCGATTTAGTACCCCATAAATAAGGCATTAATAATTGGTTTTAGTACTAATAATGTTTGCTAATGGCAGTTGCAAGCTTGTAACCATGTATACCAATATACCATTGTAATATTCCCCCAACAATATTCCTATTTCTCTAGATTTTTTGGTATAGACTTCACCACAATTGTATTAATTGATGAGAATTTCGCACCCTATTGCCGTATAATGAAGTGAAGGGTTCCAAAATGCCATTGACCTGGGTTACTAATATATACTAGGACGCATCATGATACAAACTGACGTGCGTTGGTAATATAATCATTGCATGGTTAATGTGTTAAATTCTTGGTTTTTTAATCATGTATATACAGAAAAACCGTTATTGTGGAGAGATTGTATTCCATCGGAGACATTACAAAAAGCAAAAAAGTTAAAATTTAAGGGAAACCCCACAAGTGGAACCCTAGTATATAAAGCACTAATACTGCAGTACCAAAACGGTTGGCAAGATAAGGGAAATTATAGAATGATGCAAAAATATACGTGTGTTCCAATTTGCGAGTACGAGGTTCTGATAGTAACTAATGGTACTGTTTCACAAGTAGAAGGTAAATTAAGCAAATTAAACGAACAGAATAACGATGAAATACCTTTGAATTCAAGTATTACATATCTTAAGACTTTTAAAGAATTAATAGAATATCTTAGTTTTTATAAAGACAAAGATAATAATAATGAAGTAACATATACTGGAAAGATAGTCTTTATGTTTTTTAACGGCTTAGAGTTCGTTCAAGATATTATATGTGATGCCATTGATCACTCACACAAGTGTACTGCTACTAGAAACATACCTTTAGACTACCACATGAGTTCAATGATCGATAAAGTACATGATTATAACGCTAAGAGTCAATCTGTGGAAGTATTGCAAAATGCATATTTTTATTTTGATTCCACTGTTATGTCTGATGATTCGGACTTCAATATGATAGTTTCAATAGTGAGGGACATATTGAAGAAAACTAATTTTATGGTAGGTAGGATTCGAGGTGTTTATATTGATGATGAATACTTAGAGGGAGAAAAGGCATTCGCTGTAAGCAGTTTGTTGAGAAACTATCCTAATATCGAAACGTTGCATTTATCCAGCAGGAAAACTATAATGATGAAAGATTTAATTGTTTAGTCACAATTGACATAGGGGCGTGTTTGATAATGTTTTCAACCTGATTACTATTGTAATTTATGAAAGTTTATGATATTTAAAAGAGTTGATTGAGTTTATATTTTAATTAATTACCTAAGATTTTATAATTTGTAGAGCTTAAAATGCTTATAATATCTCTCATAATTTAGTTCCAAAGTCTACAAAAGTTCTCCGTTAAACGGGAAGCTATTACATTCCTAAGTATGAAAACGTACATTTTTATCATCAAATCTAAGTAACTATTGTCTAACCAACAAGAAAATGGAATTTTATTATTGGTCTAACTTGACATAGTTCGCAGGGAATAATCCTACTTCACCACTACTGGAATGTTTACCTGACCACCAGTCTTCGTCAATAAATTCAATTTCAACAATCTTATCGCCTTCAGCAAAACTTATTTCATTATCTTCATCTTTTTCATAGTCGTATTCAGCAGTAGCAGAAGGACTCTTTTTATCATCAACAGAAGAAGAAGGCACAGATGAAGCTTCTGGAGCAGATGACTTCTCAGCATTAGTTGAAGATTCTTTTTTAGGATTATTTTGTAATGAAACGTAAGATGCTGGGAATAAACCAACATCACCCGTTGTAGAATGTTTACCAGACCACCATTCTTCATCAACAAATTCGATTTCAGTGATCAAATCACCTTCAGCAAATTCAATTTCATTGTCTTCATCTTTTTCATAATCATATTCTGCGATGGCTGTAATCACTTGAGATTTTTCTTCAGTTGGCTTTGAAGGAGCAGCAACGGCTTCTTCTTGTTTAGGTTCCGTTGTTCTTACCGGAGGTGGAGGTAAGTTGCGAGCTGGTAAAGAAGGCACAGGTGTTGAGGGTTTTTCTTCCTCTTTTTCTTCTTCTTCTTCTTCTTCTGGCTCTTCAGGTCTCGGTGGTAAATTTCTCTTTGGTGGTGTTGGTAACCCTCCAGTTGATGGTTTTATGATTGGTGGCTCAAAAGGCTTATCATCATCATCTTGTTCTTGCTCCTCTTCTTCTTCTTGTTTCTCCTCCTCTTCTTCTTCTTGTTCCTCTTCTTGTTTGTCAGCTCTTGGAGGTAAGTTTCTTTGCGGAGGTGCTGGGAATCCACCAGTAGATGGTTTGACTAAAGTTGGCTCTTCTGTTGCTTCAGAAGATTCTTCTTCGTCATCATTAACAGAATTCTTGGAAAACTTGTCAACTAACTCAGAGGTCTCATTTTGAGATGTATTGTCTTCAGGCTCAACAGATTTATACTGACCTCTTTTTTCAGCCCAAAGTTGAGCAGGTGTCTTCCCACCTTCGGCTGCAAAATTCCTGGATAACCCACCAACCAATTTATCCTTCTTATTGTCATTAGAAGAGCCATAACTAAACGCAGGCTTCGAACCAAATGAAGGACCCTCTGATGAAGTATTTGCTGGACTAAAACGAGATGCAACAGAGTGGTTGACCTTAGGCTTAGGTAAAGAAGTCAATCTTCCATCAGACGTGTCATTGCTTTTAAAGGTTTTCATTCTTTCAGATAAGGACTTTGGTTCATCGTCATTCTTTTTAGTTTCGTCGGACTTATCTTTTGAGACGAATGGCTTTGGTTGCGAAGAGATAGTATCAGATTTTTGCTTTCTCAATTCAGAAATATCAACTTTAGTTGGCTTATAAGCAGATGGAACATCTTCCAAAGGCTTCTTTTCAAAATCCCTTTCTTCAATTTCCTTTTCATCTCCCCATCCGTCATCATTGCTTGAAGATACAGCGGCAGGCTTAGGAATGATTGGTTTTGGGGTAATAGGAGCTATTGGCTTACCTGTACTTTTAGGAACCGATGGCTTGGAAGGCGCTGGTTTTGGAGCTGACTTAGCAACAATCGGCTTCGAGGCAACTGGCTTAGGAACTGGTTTAGACGAGCTTTGAGTAGAATATCTTGCACCAGCAGCAGCACTAACTCTACGTAAGAACTCGTCAGCATCCAAGTCATCCTGGTCTCTAGCAGTTACTTGGACATGATATCCACTTAATGCGTTAGAAACATCAGCAAAATTGTTTGCGAATGATAATCTTGATTTCGCCGGTGCATTATCTGGACACCACCCAACGAGCAAATTCTTTGAAACATCTGATCCTGGAACAATCACTCTAGCTAAGCCGAATTGAACATTTCCATCTTCAAAGTGTTCAATGAATTCATCTAATGAACCATCCCCGCTTTCACTTACTTCTAAACTAGAGTTTTTATCGACGGTATAAACCACGTAGTTAAAAGAAGGGTCCCCCCTAACAACTTTTTCGTAAGCTTCTTTAATTTTTTTAGAATTGGTAGACAAATCAATCTTCTCCATTTTGAATGATATTTAATATATAACTAGTAACAACGAGTATTTCCAGTCAATTGGTCATAAACTATAGGTATATATTCCTTGACCCTGGTTCAATTTTTGATCTTGATCTCAAGCGTGCGGATGCCAGATTTCACTTTACTATGAACAAGGTAGGCCCATTTGGCTTATTCACACAACTACGATCATGAATTAGAGAAGATACCTATCCCTGTAGAGCCTGTAGTATTTAATAGTATTTGGATAGATTAATTGCATGAAAAATATTTCTTGTATGGTACAATAGCTCTGTTAGCCATCGGACTTAATAGACTGGTCCTTTAGAGAGAAGCAAACATTGTCTATAGAATGGTTATTCATCTATCTAAGTGTACATTAAGATCCTTTGCTTTGAATCACCTTTACTTTTGAATTATGTTGTCATTATCTACATGCGTCATTCGGATAAGGATTGACTTGATATACCGAACTAATTTTGTTTATTATCTATTGTACAAGAAACTCGACATTGAGCCTACTACTCACATTGAATTATATTACACCGGGTCCATCTAATTGTGTTTATCAATGGAAACAATTACTCACTTGACTAGAGCAAATACGAGACACCACATCATAAGGAAGCCCGCAACATTACTAGCTATTCCATCAATAAATACTTCATGTAGTGGCTTTCTGAAGAACTCTTTGACCCTCCCTTGGCAACAGATCTGGTAAAATACCAAGTTTGTGAGTGTGAAACCTATTATATAGAACAAAAACCCGTAGACAGATTCCAATGTTAAAACACCGGCACCCACTCCCAATGCCAATGCCATAATATCATGTACGTGTTGGAGCTTCTTTTTATTGGCTTCTATACTTGCAATGTAATATATTGTTTCTGTTTCACTCATTGGGAATTGGGATATTACGATGTATATGACTATAGCTGGGCTGAACTAAAGTATTAGTGTTATAATTTTGATATTGACTGTCTGAAAAATCGGATGCGCACAATTGGTAATTATGGTGGCGGACTAGATTATATAAAGAAGGAATCAAGTCTTTTACATGTACAGTAAATGAAATAACAAAGGATGCCTGATACACTGTCCAACTTGAGAAAGCTTAGGAGGTTCTTATTTGATATTCCTTTGAAGTCGAAATTCAATTTCACTGGTGAAGTACGGAAAGATATTAGAAGAGAATTATTTTTGGCAATATCTAATAATGGGGAATACTTGGATTGGTTTTTTCCAAATGCATTCAATAGCCAAGGTCAAGATAGAAATAGTGTAATAGAAAGGATAGACACCGAGTTTGAATGGCTATTTAGTAATTATTATAAGTCTAATCTTTGCGAATCAGATTCCAAGTACAATATGCATAATCATGATGCATTCCATTCCAACCTGCCTTGTGCAAGGATATTCCGTAAAGGGGAACCAATATATAGATGTTTGACATGTGGATTTGATGAGACTTGTGCATTGTGTTCAGATTGTTATGATGCTGAATGTCATGAGGATCATCAAGTTCATATTACGATCTGTCAACGAGAGAATGGTGGTGTATGTGATTGTGGAGATCCTGAAGCTTGGATTAAAGAGTACTATTGTTGTTATGCATTAAAAGACAAAGAAAGTTCAAATATGAGGAATAAAGAGATACCCAGCGAATTTGAAGAATCATTCCTCAGAACGCTAGAGATTCTATTGGATTTCGTTATTGACATTATAAGTCAGTGTAATTCACAATTCAATGATATAGAAGATTCAGAAAGCTATCGTATACAACTAGATACAAATTTCAGCAGCTTGAACCCTACTAAGTATGGGTATGTGAATGCGAACATCGACAATTTTGATAAATACAGTGATAAATATTATTTGATGGTATATAATGACCAAGTAAGACACTATAGAGATGCAGTGCAGAGAATCCATTTGGCCAGTAGAAAAGTGCCCCAGTTTGCAGTCATGGTTGCTGATAAAGTTCAAAACTATGGAAGAGCAAAGGTTATTAGCTCGAGCGACATTAGCTTATTGAGGGAAAGACAAAATATTTTAAAAGCAACAGGTCTTGCAACGTGCATAAGGAACTACAGGGACGTGTTCAGGGAAGACATGTGCAATGAGATTTTAATTTGGATTAATGCTTTGACTGAAAGTGAAATGTTTAAAAGCCATAACAGGGCAAAGGATTTATTCTGTAAAGCTTTTTGCGGTAAATGGAATATTGGGTTGTTGAATTATGCCGATCACAACACAAATTATAAATATAAGGTTGGTACTTTGGACCAGTGTTTAAAGATACCTAAAATTCCATCAAATATGTACACTATGTTTGGGGTATACGATAAGACTTCGCAACCTCACTGGAATTTCAAGCCTTCAAAGTGGGAGTTGCCAGATCAATTATGCAATGATTGTGAATATAATTTATCGATTGAAGACTATCTTCCTCATAAAAGTCACTTGGGCTCAAGATTGCAATATTTTATTTATTTAGATATCAGATTTTGGAAATCTATAAGGGTACTATTGCATGATATGTATTCAAGTTCATTAATTACAAATTTGCATTATAAGAATATTATTTCTTGTCAATATGTGGATATTTACCCCGCAGTCGCAGATATGTTTTTAACTACGGACAGAGAGCCAGAGCTAAACGTTATGTGTACACTTTCCACACAATTGTTCACTTGCCCATCAAATTCTACTTCAATAGTTCGACATGGAGATTTATCAAGAATTTTTGCATCAATTTATGGTTTTCTTACTGTGGAAGAAATAAAATCCCCTGAATGTGTTGATATATCTCACGAAATTTCAATGAAAAGTTTGAAGAATAGAAGATGGGGTCAGATATTTTTTGATATTGGTTATATTTTGAGTAGAAGCCGTGACTCAAGGTCAATATTTACGAGCAATATTATCCCAATGGCCTGCGATATTTTGGCTTTATTTCAAGGTAGACCAGTAATGAAAAGGGAAAGTAAGAATCACGTAGAATATGAAAGTCCAGACTATACTGCATTCTTTCACGCTATTCTGGTTATCTACCAATTCGCTGAGTATATTGCACGTAGCCTTGATAATTTAAAAGAAATGCATATTAATGAGAGGAGAGATTTGTCGAAAAATGCAATCGACTATGTGACAAAGTTTTTATTGAGGCTAGAAAGCAATGATTATCCGGGATTAATTGATGAATATGTGGATATAAATATTTCAGATGAGAAGAAGTATTGTAAAGAATTAATTGACGGTAGCTTGGTTCAAGAATTTTTCATCGACAGGGAAAAGGTAAGCTTTTTGCACCCCATTCATTCATTTTTGTCTTGGCTTATTGAACTATCTGACTTAAAAACTCCAACGGAAATCAATGAAGTAATAGACAGTGCCTCTACTGCTTACAAAAACAATGCTTTAGTGTCCTCAAAGACGTTTGATATACCAAATCCATTAACTTCGATATTTGAGTACCCTATAAGAACAATTGTTCTAATGTCGCAAATAAAATCAGGGTTCTGGGTGAGAAATGGCTTTAGTGTTAGATCTCAATTACAACTTTATAGGAATACTGGACTTAGAGAAAGAGGATATTTGCGAGATTTATTTTTAACTCAAGTATTCATAAATTCTAGTAGTCCAAACCTTGTCTGCTATTTGTTGTTTAGTCGTTGGCTATTGCTAGATGGATTTGTGAAAGAAAACAAACAAGACAATACAAGTTTGCCTTTAGATGAATCGAAAAATTTATTAGCGTATGACCTGAAGACATTACCTTATATGATAGAGGAAATTTTAAGTTTTTTTGTTCATATATTAACAGAGGATCTTTACCTATGTGGTTTCAAGAATGAAATAATAAATGAGATGCGTATAAAGAATGAAATTATTCATAATTTATGCTTTGGTCCAATGAATTATACTAAACTTTGTTCTCAAATACCAGACCATATAACAGCAGAGAAAAGATTCGATCTTATTTTGGAAGATATTACTATTTTTACACCACCTAGTGGGTCCAAAGGTATTGGAATCTATAAATTGAAGGATGAATATTTCGACCAAATTAATCCCTATTATTTCAATTATACGACCAATACTAAGGATGACGCAATTAAGTTTGTTAAAGATCGTATACATAAGAAGACTTGCGTCCCAATATCAGAGGTAGTTATATCACCAAAACTGAGAAGCTGTGATGAATTGAGTGTTTATAAAAATATTGGAAACTTCTCTGTATCGTTATACTTCCGTGATTTTTTGATTAAAACTCTCACCTACAGTTCAAATGAAGATGCTGATAAAATCGATATAATATTAGAAACTACGTTACATTTGATACATATTTGTTCACTTGAAGAAGCGATAGATATCGAGACTTATGGAAGTTTCTATAATAATTTTGTCTATACATCCGATAATAATGATGTATCAATTGCAGTTTTGTTATACAAAATTGTATCTGATGGTAAGTTTAAAGACCATCATGCCAAGATTCGTTCTATATTCAAAGTATTTGAAGACAAGTATCACAATTTGAGTAGTATATTGACTGATCAAGTGAATAATTTTGATCCGTTTAAGCTAGAGATAAATACTCATCAAGACTCAAATGAAAACGAATTTGAGAGAAAAAAGCGAATGGCTAAAGAAAGACAATCTAAGCTTATGGCAAAATTTAAGAAACAGCAATCACTGTTTCTATTGAAAAATAGCTTTGAGGCTACCGATTGCAGTGACACTGAAATGGAAGGCTACGAAGAAGAAGATGCTGGATGGAAATTTCCAGAGCCACGTTGTTTGCTTTGTCAAAATGCGTCAGAAGATGCTGGTCCATTTGGAATAATAACATATATTTCTAAGTCTTCGGAATTCAGAAATGTACCGTTTGATAACAATTATTGGTTTTTAAAATCATTTTCGGACTCTCAAAATTTAGATGCAGATGGAAACGAATTCGATGAAACAAATTACAATGAAAATTGGAAAAAATACATAAAAAAAGTGAAAGATTCAAATGTCATTGGTCCCGGATTTCCACATAGAGCCCATGTCGATAGCAAATTAGTCTCTCTGAGCTGTGGCCATGGTATGCATTTTCAGTGTTATATGAATTTTTTGAACACTAACCACAATCGTCTGAATCAAATTACCCGAAGTGCCCCAGAAAATACAGAACATAAAGAATTTCTATGTCCTTTATGTAAAGCAATTAACAATATGTTTGTACCTATCTTATGGACATCGAATAAGAGATCACTCACGAAGTTTTTAAAACCAGCAAAAGATCTCCATCCATTTGAAAAGTTAGAATCTCAAAACATCCATAATATGGATTGGTTTGAGGCATTTACAAAAACGACTAATACTGATATTGAAGAATTCGTAAATTTGACACCTGCGGCCAAAGAAATGATAGGTCAGAGTTCCGCTGTTAACGCTACTTCAAATCAACAGCATTTTAGAATGCTTTTGTCTAATATGTTTCAGATTTTGTCTTTATTAACGTTTCCACAAATTCTAAAAGCTGATTCAACAACTTTATTGGTGAATACTATAAAATCTACTGAGATTGAATTGAGAGGTGTTGATTCTAATGGTGAACTCATAATCAACCAATTGTATAATAATTCATTGATAAATTTAAGAACATTGAATGAGTTTCGAAATACGAGCTTGTTAATGAAAATAATGAACTGGATTCCTACTGCCAATCCAAAGTCTGATGCGTACGTTAAAATTTTGGCAAATATGTTGACTTTATCTTCGGATATATTTAACTCTTCCATTTTGGAACGAGATTTTTTTGAAGTGTTGGTAAACATATTTCCATTACATACATCGGGCTTTTCTTTTAATTCTATATTAAGATTGTGCTTCTTGGGCCATGTTATCCAAAATCTTTTTACTATTACCACTGAAATATTAAAACAGGGCTTCTACAAAAATGAAGATTATTCTATCCTTGATATCCCTATAATACCAAACATAAGCGAGGATATATCAATGGCTATGATTGGTCTTTTCAAACAAATCAATTATTTCTCAGGCTTCACACAATTTGATGAGGAATTTATTAAAGACTCCAAGTTTGGTAAAGTTATCTATTCAATGCTAATAAAAGCATCCACTCCATTTTTGAGAAGAGCTGCTATTTTCTCTTTCGTAAATTGTGCCGAAATAGATTCTATTGAATTCAGTCAATACGATAGGTACACTAACGAAGCAGATAAATTATGCTCTTTTATGCATATAGATAGTTTGGAGGTGCTTTTACGCAATATTTGCCTCTCGGAGGAAGCTAGTTATGAAGCGCAAAAATTCAACAGCTTCCTTAATTCCTTGAAATCGTTGAAAATCTCCACAATTGAAAATCTTGATATGCGGAAAGCATTAGAGTATCCTGGTATCGTAAGATTAATAGACTTGCCTGAGAGATTAGATCATTTTTTTACTAGATACTATTACCTGGACAGATATAATAACCCTCACATGTCCATTTTCGATCCGGCGATCTGTTTATTTTGCGGAGAGGTAGTAGATGCTCAGAAATGTGCTGTGGGAAATAATGAAGGTCAATGTACTACACATTTTATGAAAGAGTGTTGCAATTCAGTTGGTTTATTCTTACTTCCTAAGGAACGTTGTTTTCTTTTAATGCATAAAAGGGGAGGCTCATTTTATAATGCACCTTTTTTGGACCAACATGGCGAGTTAGCAGGAGATGCAAAGAGAGGAAAGACGCTTCATTTGATGCAGCCAAGATATAATAATTTCATTAGAAACATATGGCTCCAGCATAATGTGTCTAATTATATTGTTCGAAAGTTAGACAGTGTAATGGATGCCGGTGGCTGGGATACTTTATAGAAATGTCATTATTACAGAACATATATATCTTTAAATGACGACATAAATATAATGAATATAATTAACTATATATATAAATATATTGATCACCATGCACGGTCTTCATCAGTTGCAGGACGCAAAAACGTACCATCATCCTCATCTTCATCAATGTCCTCTTCATCTTCACTGATACCTATGTTGATCGTATCACCCATATTTTGCTGAAGCCTAGACCCGAATATACTTCTAGTAATAAATCCATACAAACCTTGATTTAACCAAAGCTTATTTAAATATTGATACCTGAGATTATTCAAGTAAGCCTTGCCAGAATTTCTAGGTCTTTTTACTTCACCATGCTTTGTAAGGTAGGGCGCTGGAACAGTGATAAATATCGGACTAGTTCCAATATGTGTTGCAAGTTTGAGGTTGTTCGTTCTAGGATGGAAGTAAATAGCAGTGAAACTGCAACAACTTGTCATGTGTGTGAAATGCTTGGAAGCCTTAATCTTTTTACCACAACTCAAACAGACAATATAATCAAAAATTCCTTTTGTAGAATTATCATTGTATTCAATAATACACAGATTGTAATCATTAGGCAAGTCAATCAATTTGACAACCCCAGGATAATCGAGAGCAAGTATTCCACTGTCCATATAATGTGGAATTTTTGCATTTAAGACAATATCAAATATTTTGCACTCAAAATTGAATCGGTCTTCATTTGTAGCAATACCTTGCACCAACTCTTTCATGGTAGGCAAATTTAGTTTTTGGCACAATACATCAGATGAGTCAAGATATGACTGACCTTGTATTTTGTTTTCAATATCAGAAAAATTAGGGTGACTATCGTGAACATTATCTCCTCTATTGAAGGATGTTAGCAAATCCTGGAAGATAGTAATTTGTCTCAAAAATGGTAACATACATTTTTCAATACCAAACCATAGAACATTAATCAAAGATGTTGTTTCAGCATTGAAAAGTGATATATCAATCTGATTTTCGTATGATTCAAGAATTGTTTGCATATTGTCCACTTCATTCGATCCTAGTTTAGACTGATGATGTGCACGAAGTATATGATAATATTTAATATCTTTGTTAACCATGCGCAACAATGAATATGTACATATAGTGAATAACTTAGTATATCCCAATCTTGCAAGCGTGTTTAAAGATTCATCAGTTTGAAAAAACAACACAACAACTTCGTTAAACACACTATCAAGTATTTTATCAGAATTCCAAAAATCTTGATACTCGAATGACAAATCAGCATCTGAGTTTAACAAAAATGGAAGCTTTCTATTTTCAAACAAAATGGCTCTGCATTGAATCAAGGATTTTATTAAAGTTTTTGACGAGGAAGGAATTTCGTTCAAAAAATTAGAATAACTGCTATTACCCCCAATTCTTGTTGCAATTTCATTCATACGAATGGTATTTGCTATTAAAAGCGAGGAAGTTTGTAATTCATCAAAATAATCTTTCTTTTTGTTTGAACTAACTGGAGGGTGATTAGCTTTAATTTCCGATAAGAAATCATCAACTATAGGTTTAAAAAGCTTTCTCAAGACTGAATCATCTGTTTGATTCACAATTTCATCATTGATAAGGCCTTTTACGAGTTCACCAGATTTTGTTACACTAGATGACGAAGTGATCTGGTTATACCTATTATTAATTGGTGGGTCAGAGATAACACCACTATCATTGAGACCACCCCCATTGTTTTGCAGAAGGAAACTTGGGACAAAAAGATTACAAAGGTTGCGACATAAGGGACAAGGGTAATATTTCAAATTATTTGCTGAAGATTTGTAACAGTTATAATGCATCCCATGACCGCACGTGGATGTAACTCTACCCTCAAGGCTTCTATTTCGTTCTTGTAATTCAGAATTATAATATTCAAAACCATCACCATATATGCCATTATTACTAGGTGAAGCTTGATCATTCCAACTTTGGAATGCCAATGAGAAATACGGAGTATTATTTTCCGGTAATTTCCAGAAAGTTGAGCAGGTAGTTACACTTACTAACAATCCAAACAAATCATCGGTTGATTCTGCTTCACCACAAAGAACGCACGTACGATATTCAATCCTTGTATCTTTGCTAGTTTCAATTACTTCCTCTGAACTTTCTTTGGAAGCAAATTCGACGTTTTTGGCCAAGAAGTTTTCACGCTGTTTTGCAAACTTTTTCATAACTTTCTTTTTACGTTCTTCCGCTAACCTCTTCCCTTTTTCAGAATCTGATTTCAGTGAGCCACTTCTCTTTCTCTCATATGCTTGAATATAGCTTTCCCCAAAACAGTCCACTAAAGATTCAGTAATTCTAGAGTCTTTAGATATAAAACTATCCAATAAGTATTCCGCCTTTCTCACCACATTCTTAGACATTGTTGTTTCAGACACGGAAAGCAACAAATTGCAAATAGGAATGCTGACGAACAGTTCATTCAAATAATCAGATCCATGTAATAATTCATCGTCCTTTAAAACTGCATGAATCAAATGCAATAAATGTGGTAAATATGTTTCATCACATGTGTCAATTGATACTTGCAAATATTTATACATCAATTTAGCGAAATCTTTTGTCTTCGTGAATCCTGCTAGCTTTCTATTAACCAAATCATTCTCCAATTCTGTTATATGAGGTATTAATACTACCTTTTCTTCCTTTATATTTTGTTCCATTGCTATATTTTTTATTAAGTATTCAGATACGGTTTGGAATTGACTTGTATCCAAATGCAAACTCAAAGGGTCTAACTTTTCAAAGTAACTGGATTTCAATCTATATATTCCCGAATCAATCAAACCAGTTGGTGGCTGATAGTCTGCACATTCATTCAATAAATCATCAAATTGGGGAAGTTCACTAACTTCAATATCTACTTCACTTCGTAAGGAAGAATAACTTCTTGGTTCATCACTCAACGCATAACATATTGCCTGTCTAGCCTTATGCAAGATCCTTTCCTCAGCCGTCAACTTAATGAAGTTTGTTCTATCTGTGATCAAATTATAAATGAATACGATGAACTTTTCAGAAATAGAATTAAATCTATCCTCATACACTGTTCTATCATGATCGACCTCATTCAAATACCATGGCAAAAGTTCCCATCTATCTAAAAAGTTAAACAAAGTAGCTCTTGGATCGTCGAATATGGCAGCTAGTTGATTCAAATGGCAATCACGGAAATAAGCCAAATCACTCATTAAGGAATCAGTATATAACGATGCTTGCCTTGATACTGAAATACCGTTTCTGATCCAAAATCCAATTTTGACTTGCGCGCCTAGTACTATACTTCTTAATGATACATCTGATATCTGTACGAATGGCCCCTTCAACAGCATAAAAATATCTTGAAGATCTTCAAATCCTTGATATTGCAACAAGTATGACAAAAAAGAATTCACCGGATGCACAAACGAAACGGGTTGTTTACTTACACGAAAATCTGTAATACCTGGAGCATTCCATATAGTTTCTCGGAGACACAAGTAATCAGTAATAAACTTGACACCCTCTCTAATTAGCTGTATGTTTGAACTCTTACAACTTGATATAAATTTAGTAATGTTAAGAATAGGAACTGAATATTCTAGGTGAACGACAAAATCCAAAAGTTCCCTTTCCACATGCTCACCATACTTTCTTTCAATAGTCCAATATCCTTGAAAGTTTCTCAAGAAAAGTAATAACATGACAAGGTTATTATGCGTAAGAAAATAGTCAAGCTTGTTAACTTCGAGGTTTTTGTCGACTAGATAGCAAATATCACGAATACCTCTAATGATAGCTCTTTTCTTGGCTCTATATGTTAATGGATGCCCCCTTCCAATTTCAACAAAGTTGGGTAATAGAGTATACATGTTCCACTCTGAAGAATGCTTTTCTATAATATCAGTAACAGGGCCTAGTATAAAACCAACCTTACCATCTCTTAAGATCTTCAGAACACTAGTTGGACACGTGAATAGTTGAGTAGTTATCTCACATAATGAATTCAAGTGATCTTCACGATCTGAAAGTGCCATACTTGTAATTAATTGTGGGTATATAGATACGAGCTGATCACAGAATACTTCTTTCATCCTTGTATTTGCGAGTATTGGGGGAATAATCAACGCTGGTAGCTTTTTTCTTATAACGCAATTGAATCTGATTTCAAAATCCAACAAGAATTGTAGTCTAGAATTTTGTTGCTTATTAAGTCTTGAATCAGGTGTCAATATCCCAGATGTTGTTGACTTATAGCTAGCCATTTCTAGAGATGGCTTCACACTGGTTTTCCCGTAATTAACGAACTGTCCATCTATCAACATACCATTTTCAAATAACATTTTGAGAGTTTCTTCTGTTGTCTCTTTGTATCCAGAATCAAGAAACTCAGTAATGATCATTGTAGGAAAGTTCTTAGCAAATTCGAATCCAGGCTCTAAAAGTAGATCAGCTAGATATTGTTTACTCAGTTCACGGAATTCAACATGGCCTGCGAATTCTGTAATATCAACTAACCAATTAAACATATATTGAACAATGGTTTCTCTCATATAGTCTCTTGCACTGGTTATAGTGGCAACTAAGCCATCTACCTCTGCTAATTTCTGATACCTAAGTAACTCAGTATAGTCTTTACTCTCCCGTAAAACACATCTACCAGACGCATTAATATCCGATGCAATTTCATGAGCTCGAGAGTAGTTCACACCAACTGCAGCCTTGATCGCTTTGGTAGCACTAGGAAAGTCATGGTGCTCATCATTCCACAATATCAAATACCACAACGAATCAGAATTATTATCTGTAGCACCACCATATCTTTCACTCGGTAATGTCGAATAGTCAGATAAAAATTTAGATGTGAATTTACTACCACTTTCATTGATGCGGTCATGTATGTATGGCAATGTTTGTACTGAAAAATTGGTCACATCCAAAATATAGTCAAGACAAATTTTTATGGTCTCCCGTAAGGCCTCTGCAAAATCTGAAGATATTCTATCGCCATCTGTATCATTTTCTTCACCTACTTGGCATTTGCAAGTAAGTGGATTCACAAAAGCTTCCGGGTCGCCACAGTCACATATTCCACCATTATCTCCTTGTGATAAGTACATATATACATTATGATCAACATGATCGTCCTTATTGAAGCAATGAACACATAATACACACGTATCATCAAATCCACACTGTTCACACCTATACACTGGTTCTCCTTTCTTGAATGATCTGGCGCATGCTTTATCTGCTGGATGGCTGTACGAAGACTTTAACTTTTTGTTAAAAAATGGCTTTCTTTCTATAATCTCTGTTATAGCGAACGAGTAATCTTTCAATGAATCTACCTCTTCCTCATCAATCATAGGGAATAAATCTTTCAAATATATTCCTTCATTCGTAGCAGCATAGTATAGCGCTTTGAATAAGTTTTGGCGAACTGCCGTCGGATGGCTGAACTCCAATTTCGACGGTAAATTCACAACAAACTCCCTTAATTTGTCTAAACCCATTATAACTGAACCTGTTGTATTCACCGAAGTATTTAATATTAAGCAATTATAACCCATCCTAGAAAGATCTTTAGATCAGTTGCACAATTTTATGGGTTTATGATTATCCTGCATATTATAAATATTACACAAACAGGATTTTTTGGAAGAAATAAATATCATCTATGACTCTAAGAGATCAGTGAAGCATAGACTAGGATAGATAAAGATGTCGGTTATTAGTGACCCTACTGAGCAATACAACTTGATTACCAAAAACTTGCAAGAAGTTTTAAATGGAGCTATTATTAAAAATGTGTTAGAAAATGAAAAAAGACCGCTCAAGATCTATTGGGGAACAGCGCCAACAGGAAAACCACACTGTGGGTACTTTGTGCCTATGCTTAAGTTGGCTCACTTCTTAAAGGCCGGATGTGAAGTGAAGGTCCTTTTGGCAGACTTACATGCCTTTTTGGATAACATGAAGGCACCATTGGAAGTTGTGAACTACCGTGCCAAATACTATGAATGTGTTGTGAAGGCTATTTTGACCTCTATCAACGTTCCAATAGACAAGTTGATCTTTGTGGTTGGATCGTCGTACCAATTGACTGCCGAATATACTATGGATATTTTCAGAATGTCCAACATTGTTTCGCAAAACGACGCCAAGAGAGCCGGAGCTGACGTTGTCAAGCAGGTGGCTAACCCATTATTGTCAGGATTGATCTACCCATTGATGCAAGCCTTGGACGAAGAACACTTAGGTGTTGATGCTCAGTTCGGTGGTGTTGACCAGAGAAAGATTTTCGTGTTGGCTGAAGAAAACTTACAAAGTATCGGATACAAGAAGAGAGCGCACTTGATGAACCCTATGGTTCCAGGATTGGGACAAGGTGGTAAGATGAGTGCTTCTGATCCAAACTCCAAAATCGACATTTTGGACGATCCAAAACAAGTCAGAAAGAAGGTCAACAGTGCATACTGTGCACCTGGTGAAATCGAAAATAACGGTTTAATCGCTTTTATCGAGTATGTTATCCAACCAATCCAAGAGTTAAAGGCCGAAAAGGACAACGTCTTCAAGTTGGACATCGACAGACCAGAGAAGTATGGTGGTCCAATTTCGTACGACTCGATTGACGAATTAAAGACTGATTTCGCTTCCGGAAAGTTGTCTCCTGTGGACTTGAAGTCTGGTGTTGCTGAAAAGATTATAGAATTATTGGCTCCTATCAGAGAATCCTTTGAAGCATCAGAAGAGTTCAAGGAAGCTCAAGCAAAGGGTTACCCAGTCGAACAACCTAAATCTGAAAAGAAAGTCAAAAAGCAAAAAAATAAAGGTACCAGATACCCAGGTGCCGGTAATGCTAAAGAAGGTGTTAATGCTAAAGAAGGTGGTGATGTTTCCAAGGTGTCTGAACAATTGGAATCAACTAACATAGAGTAGATAGTATATTTTAATTGATAAACGTATATTTGATATGTTTCTGTAAAATCGCTTATGTAATCGGTATAATGAACCAATCAACAACGCTTGAAAAATTGTGCACTCTACAGTAATCAAACTCTGAAAAGTATTAACAAATTGATTCTATCAACTGTTTAAGTCGAATTTTACAAAACAAAAATATTAGAATGGTATGTTATACTATAGAATAACTAAGTTAAAGTCGACAATTGACAATTGTTGATATGATATATTCTTAGATTTTTTCCAATAACTTTCAGTTACTGAAGGTTATTAGATGCGAAGTATTTTGAGTCCAAGAGGAAAGCTAGCAATTGAAATGATACACAAGTGATGAAATATAGATGAAATATAGATGACAGAAGCATTATAAAGGGAATCGTTGAAGAATGGGGAAAATAATATTGAAAACAGACAAAGAGAGCACTTGAGAGTCAAGTAGATGTAAATTTTCATTAGAGAAAGATTTTGTTTATCTAAAAGAATATTCGTCAGGGATTAATCATATTACAGATTCGTGGGATTATATCTCGCTGATGTTAATGAAGAATATAGCATAACCTCTTGAGACTCTTGTATTTGTGAACATCAACTTTGCAAGTGCAGTATACTAACGATATTTAGTTGTCCGCTTTATTCAAGAGAAACTCTTTTTACGTTGCTACTATTCTCGGTGGTGCTTTTGCCTTCCAAGGTTTTTTTGATGTTGGTGTTACCGCATGGTACGAGAGACACAACCAAGGCAAATTATGGAAGGATGTTAAGGGTAAATTTCTCGATGGTGGTGACGATGATGAAGATGACGAATAAATGATTTAGCTTCACTATAAAAATTATTTACTTTACAAGCATCACAATAAGAATGTTTTGGACCATAGAATGTTTTGGAAAGGAAGAACCTCAAGACTGTTACTTTGATTTTGTATTTTTTCCATTTTGATTTATTTCATATCCTCTTCTGGATTCCACTTAGGTTGGTTTCATGGATTTATTCTTGTTGCAATTTCGTCTTTATTCTTCCTTCATTAGATCTTAAAATTTCTATCTATATTTATATATATTAATGGCATTGTACACTGAAGACTACTTGTAGATATTTTCACGTGATGGATGAATATATTAGTTGATGCTTATAAAGACCTATAAGGACAAATTAACCGCTTTACAAATACTTGAATCATTAACAAAATGGCCGTTATCAATCAGCCAGCGAGTCAAATAAAGCTCACGAATGTCTCCTTAGTGAGAATGAAGAAGGGTAAAAAAAGGTTTGAAATTGCATGCTATCAGAATAAAGTCCAGGACTGGAGGCTGAAGGTTGAAAAAGATCTAGATGAGGTGTTACAAATTCCCCAAGTGTTCTTAAACGTATCAAAGGGGCAAGTAGCAAATAATGCAGACTTATTGAAGCACTTTGGCAAAACTGACAGTGACGAAATCATTTTAGAGATTTTGGAAAAAGGTGAAATCCAGTTGAATGAAAAAGAAAGATCAGCCAACTTACAACAAAAAAATAACGAGTTTTTAAATATAATATCAACCAAATGCATTAACCCTAAGTCGAAGAAGAGATACCCACCATCTATGATTCAAAAGGCCTTGAATGAAATCAAGTTCCATTTGAATCCAAACAAACCCACTAAGTTACAGGCATTAGAAGCAATTAAATTGCTTATAGCGGAACAGCTTTTTCCTATTGCAAGAGCCCAAATGAAGGTTAAGATTGTCTTAGTGAACAAAGTCAAAAAGCAAATCTTTGAAGACCACATTTCACCTCTTATTGATAAAGTTGAGGACGAAAACCAAGAATCTAAATTTTACGAGTGCATCTGCATCATTGATCCAGTAAATTATAGGACTATTGTAGACTTATTACAAGGAGAGAATGCTAAGGTTAAAAAGGGTGAAGGCTCTATTGAAGTATTGGATATGGCTGCTATAAAGGAAGATTAATGCGACTGAAACCAAATCCTTTGCTCTACTATGGCAAATTAAAGCGATAGACATGGCTATTTCATTCATTATGTGCTTTCATATTTCATATACCATTATGTAGACTATACTTAGCTGTTATAGATAGCCTTCAATAAAAGCAATATAGAGCGTAAAATAAATACCTATAAGCGTAAATTTAGTCCCTCAATAAATCTCATTACATCCCAAAAATTTTTCAAGCGTATCATGGTCTTACTAGTGATAAGGTACTAATATTGTTTGATATCAAATAAAATGTCTATAACTTTACCATCATTACCAGCTGGTAATACTGAAGCATTCAAGCCAGTTGCTAAGTATTCGCCTGCTACACGTCGTCCAATCGAACCGGTTGGTCGTTATTTCTTAGCTCATGCTACCAGAACCTTAAGAGGCCACACTTGGTCCGAATTCGAAAAGTTGGAAGCTGAAAGAAATGTTAAACAAGTTGAAGAAAACCAAGATGAAGACATTGGTGATGAAGAACAGGATGCAGAATTATTAGCTATCGATCCAAGAGAATGGAAGACCGCTGATTTGTACGCCGTTTTAGGTTTATCCAAGTTAAGATTCCGTGCCAACGAAGACCAAATTAGAAGAGCTCACAGAAAACAAGTCTTGAAGCATCACCCAGATAAGAAATCTGCCTCTGGTGGTTTAGAACAAGATGGATTTTTCAAGATTATTCAAAAGGCATTCGAAATTATGTTGGACCCAACCAAGAGATTACAATATGACTCTGTCGATGAAAATGCTGACGTTAAGCCACCAGCACCAAAAACCAAATACGATTTCTTTGAAGCTTTCGGTCCAGTTTTTGAAAGTGAAGCCAGATTCTCTAAAAAGCAACCAGTTCCATTATTAGGTACTTTAGAATCTACTAAGGAAGAAGTTGACGCATTCTACGGCTTCTGGGGTAAATTCGACTCCTGGAAGACATTTGAATTCAAGGATGAAGATGTTCCAGATGACACTGCAAACAGAGATCACAAGCGTTATATCGAACGTAAAAACATAGCTACCAGAAAGAAGTTGAAGCAAGAAGACAATAAGAGAGTTATTGACTTAGTCGAAAGAGCATACTCAGAAGATCCAAGAATCAAGTTATTCAAGGATGCCGCCAAGAAAGAAAAGGAAAGAAAGAAGTGGGAAAGAGAAGCTGGTTCTAGACAAGCTGCTGAAGAAGCTGCTGCTAAAAAGGCTGCCGAAGAAGCCGCTGCTCAAAAGGCTGCCGAAGAAGCTGCTGCTAGTAAGGTCAACTCCAAGAAAGCTAAGGAAGCTGCTAAGGCTGCTAAGAAGAAGCAAAAGAGATCTATTAGATCTGCTCCTAAGGATGTTGAATACTTCGGTGATGCTGGTAAGTCCGCTGATATTGATGCCGATGTTGAATACTTGATTGAGAAGTTCGACGATGCTCAATTAGCATCTCTTGCAACTAAGGTCACTGGTGCTAGTGCTGATGCTGTCAAATCTGCCTTCAACGAAGTCACTGCTGAGTTGGTCGGTGCTGGTAAAGCCGAAGGAGCATACTTGAAGTACTTCTCTGCCTAGTCTATCATTAACTACGTTATTTATTAATTTTAGATTCTGTATGTATATAAATACATCTATACATTAACATGATAAAATCCTTTACATTCTTATTCGTCATCTTCATCGTCAGAAATCTCAATTTTCTGCTTCAATGCATTTCCCTTTAAATGGTAGTGCTGTTTTCTCATTTCCTCGAACCTCTTATGTTTCTCCTCTGCCGTCTCTGCTGGGTTCTCTTCATTTTCTGGTTCCTCCTCTTCGTACAGAGGGTCCTTAATCACCTTACCCCCATTAAGTGACGACCCCTTATCCTCGATGTTATCGTATTCTCCACTTCCCAATTCAAAATCTGGAATCTCTTCCTCGTCATCCTTGTAGTATTCCCCTTCCGGATTGAACCCTCCTTCGTACGGCGTCTTTGGTTCATCGATTCTCATCGTAGCACATTTCTCTTGCTCCGTCTTATACAAATTCACCTCGTCCCATTGTAGGTGATCGGACAGTTTCTCTTCATGCGATTCATTACCGTCGTCATCATTTTGATGTGCTTTAGCTTCAGCGATCTTAGCTCTTATTTTGTCTCCCTTCGATGATTCTGATGCCAATTGTGCATTAAGCCTAGTATTCCTAATAACTTCCTGACGGTCTAATCTGTCAGCTCTAGATTCAGAACTTTCACTCACTGATTTATTTCTTAAAATACCTCTTGGTTTATCTTCGGACATTGCGTATATATATGATATTAAATCCTATCTGATTAATTACAATTGATAGTTAATGAATGATCATGGGGTTCCTTATATAGAATCAAAAATTTAATCACGAGCGCAAGTTTTTGCCAACGAAAGCCTCGAAACATTTTCTTGATTTATAAGTATTTATGATTTAAGAACGAATTCGTAGTGAATAATCAATTACTGTATTAAATATAAGGCGCCGGTTGGATATTTACAGTTGATTTGGTGATTATCGGAACATATTTGGAAGTTAGTTCATTTTTGCATAGACTTTGGTGCTTTTTTAACAAAGAAATACTCACGTATTGATCATATATACACATTTTAACGCATCAAGTCACAGAACATAAATACATAAAAGTCGGGATTATATCTTAGTATGGGACAAGTTTTCAGTTTTACCAACATATTTGGTAAACTATGGGGGATAAATAAGGAAATTCGAATTTTGATCCTAGGATTAGATGGTGCCGGAAAAACAACGATTTTGTATCGTTTACAAATGGGGGAAGTTGTGACTACTAAGCCTACAATTGGATTCAATGTGGAAACGTTGAAATATAAGAATTTGACATTGAATATATGGGATTTGGGTGGCCAGACATCTATAAGACCTTATTGGAGATGCTACTATAGTAATACGGCGGCGGTGATATTCGTGGTTGATTCCACTGATAAGGAACGTATCGATATTGCATGCAAGGAGTTACACACGATGTTGAAGGAAGAAGAATTACTTGACAGCGCATTATTGGTCTTTGCTAACAAGCAGGATCAGCCGGGGGCCATGACAGCGGCAGAAGTGTCCCAAGCGCTCAATTTGACTGATTTGAAGGACAGAAGTTGGAGTATTGTTGCTTCTAGTGCTATTAAAGGTGAAGGTTTAACTGAAGGGTTAGACTGGTTGATGGACGTTATTAAGGATGAGCAATTATAATATTAATAGGCCATATCTAATTATATTTCTTCATAGAAATTTATTTAATAGAAAATGAAAAAAAATACATACATAAGTCATTGAAAAGCACCTTTTATCTACTCTTTAGATTCTCTTTCTTGTACTCTTTGTAATATAGTTTTAATCATTTCATTTCCTACAGCATTAGCTTCTTGGAACATTGGTTGGAAGAAGGCTTGCGTTTCTTCGAATTCCTTTTTATATAGCTTAAAATTTTCGAATGATATGATACTTGCCCATGTTCTAGCAGCAATTGTGAATTCTAGGTCATCTTGTCTAAATGTTACATCTTTAACCGCATCTTCTATGCATTCGTCCAATAAACCTGGAGTGCAAAATAAGTATTCGGTAACACCCAAAAATATTCTGAATAATGGAGTAGAACAAATAATATGATCGTATGGAATTATGTCTAACTTGAACCAACTGTCCACTATTGACAATAAAGATAAATGTGAGTTTGCTTGTCTTCCTCCTGGCGGTACCTTGCTCAATGAAAAGTTTTGTAAAAGATCATCATCCAACAACAAATTATGATCCGATATATGCCTGAATACACTTTCCTTGGCTTTGAATAATCTTGTTTTCAATTCTTCCTTTTTCCCTTGAATCATTAATGTGTACAATTCAGTCACTGAACGTGAGTACTGAACGATCTGCTCATGAGCAGAAGGGTTGGTTATAGCCAATCCCGCGTATACATGCCATTTATTAGAAAATATTCTTAAGGATATATTCACTTTTGCATTCTCCATTCCTCCTACCCATCTTGGTGTTTCCCAAGGGTACTGATTAATTGACTTCCATGCTACACCCATTGATAAGAACGCTGCATGCGTAACAGCCTGCGTATCAGCCGTAATTTTATCATGTTTTTCTGCAGATAAATAAACCACTTTTGATTTCAAACAAGACACCAAACATTCGACAAGTCTAAAACTTTCATCTGAGGCCCTATGCTTTATCAACACTAATGGCTGGCCGGTGGTGTTAACGTTTGGCCCATGCAATGAATGTAATGACACGATATCCGTATCTGGAGGCAAGTTTTTCTCGAACGCCTCAATCTCCGGTTGCTTACAGGATGTTTGACCCCCAACTGTAGCTCCGAACTTAGTAGATTGACCATAAAGCGAAACGATTTTGTTGATATTTTCAGCTTCAACACTATAAATTATATAGTCTGAAATACGAGAAACGTAATGTCCATTCAATAATATCTCAAAGTCCTCCTTGGCAAATTTGGCCTTCGTTTCTTCAAACAAATCTTCTCTATCACATCCAACTACTTTCCACCCTGCTTCACTGAATCTTCTTGCGTACAAGTATCCCATATCACCCAAACCAATGATACCAATTGTTTTAGTTTTTTGAAGTTTACTAACTTCTACATCAGTTACTTCAACCATGTTTTTTAATTATTATAGATCTCTTGACTATATATTGAGGATAGATCTCTATTATAGATTTAGCGCGATTAAAAAAAAAATCTCATATTAATTTTTCAGTCTACCAACTAAACACCAATGAATAATAGTGCTAGGGCATTTACTGCTCCTGGAAAAGCGTTTTTGGCCGGGGGTTACCTCGTACTAGAGCCAATCTACAATGCATATGTGACAGCTCTTTCTTCAAGAATGCATGCGATTGTTAAAAATAATGATTCAAGTGAATTACTGTCGTCAACTGTCACTATTAGCTCTCCCCAATTCCAAATGGGTGAATGGAAATACGAAATTGATAATAATGACTTGGTAAAGATTCCTACAGAAGTGAACCAACGTAATAACCCGTTTTTGGAGGCTACAGTTCTCACTGTTATGTCTTATATTCAACCAAAGGAAAAGTTCAACCTTGAAATAACTATTTTTTCAGATCCAGGGTATCACTCACAGGACGACACCACGACTAGATTATCAGACAATAAGACTAAGAAATTTTTATATCATTCGAAACCAATTAATGACGTGGCCAAAACTGGGTTAGGCTCGTCGGCTGGATTGGTAGCAGTGGTAACCACGGCGTTAATCTCTGCCTTCAAAGATGGCAGTATAAGCGACTTGCAAAACATAATACACAATTGCTCACAGATTGCTCACTGTTATGCACAAAAGAAGATTGGGTCTGGATTCGATGTTGCTACAGCCGTCTATGGATCCATTATATACCGTAGATTTGATCCCGATTTGATAAACGAATTGTTTCAACACGGATTTTTCAAATCCCAGGATGATGAAGAGTTGAAACAAAGCTTTGCTACTGCCTTAACCGGCCTAGTGGAGTCCAAATGGGAATTTAATAGCACCAGATGTACCTTGCCTCCAGGCATAAGATTATTAATGGGTGATATCAAGGGTGGATCCGAAACTCCCAAGTTGGTTTCGAAGGTGTTGAAATGGAAGAGTGAGAATGTTCTGCAAAGCTCTGAATTATATAAATGTCTCAACCAAGCGAATCTCGACTTCATTGACGCATTATCTGAATTGCATCGCTTCTACGTCGAAACACCTGCAACCTACAAAGAATCTCTTGCTTATTTGCAGTCCACAAATGTCGCTGCTCTTTCAAAAGCCGAATACACTCTGCAGCAACCTGACCCCAAGTTGACCCCATTTGTCAGTTTAATCGAGGCCATTAAAAGAATAAGAGCAAATTTGAGAGATCTAACGGCCTATTCGGGTGCAGAAATAGAACCTCAATCCCAGACCGTGCTTTTGGATAATTGTAATGAGATCAAAGGGTGTCTTGGTGGTATGGTCCCGGGAGCTGGGGGCTATGATGCTATATGTCTATTGGTCATTGAAGATTCAATTGATGAATTTGTGGATTCAACCAAAGAGGATATCAAGTTTGAGAATGTCGCATGGTTGAATTTGCACGAAGAAGATGATGGTATTGTAGAAGAGCAAGTGAATGACTATAGTGGCTTGTTATAGAGTTATACTAACGTTTTGTCTTGCACGTAAATGTGCAGAATTTTTGAACGCGGCAATGTCTTATCGGCTTTTAATAAATATTTCATGATCGGTAAATAATGTAGTCATTTAGAACTCCACAATATTGAAATTATATATAGTAGGTTATATTATTGGGAATCTAATGTGTTATGTTCGAGAGTAATCTGTATACCCAAATGAATCGAGTTGGCCTGACTAAAAAGGCTAATCTTTTATCAAATTCCCTGTTGGAGATTCCACAATATAATTTGCAAAATAATGTTTCCGAAGATGATTTGTATAAATATGCTAATGTTGATAGCGAATTGGAAGTTCCAGAGCCGATATATAGCTCAGTGTCGAGGGAATCTTATGGACAGCTAGATGCGCCATTGAAGCAGCACGAAACTCGCTCATCCTTTTCATATTCAGAGAATAGTATGACAGACGACGAAAAGAAGTACAAACGATCTTCATTGGTCTTTTTGGCGATTTCTATAGTGTCAGCTATTCTTATTTTGGCATTTGAGTCGTATATGTATGCCATTATTAATATCCATAAGCAGCAGATCGATCGGCCTGCCAAATACATCGAGATATCTATATATCTATCATTTTTCATCTTCGCAGCCATATACCAAGTTGGGTTGACCGCAATCGGTTTGAGGAGCAAAAACATGTTGTTGTTGACCATGTTGTGTGGATTCTATGGATGTATGTTGATATACACAGGGATTCAGTACGCTGAAATTTCCGAGACGGTTGGCCAAGTGCTAGAAAGAGGGCGGAAACGGGCGACACAGGCAATGAATATAGCCACTATCACTGTTATCGGTGTTACATTGGTTTTGCAAGCTTATATGATATTTGTGGTGTTAAGAAAAAACGTGAAGTGGTTTAGATATAAGAAAATTGGTGCTGACTTAAAAATCAAGAAAATGTACACTATATTCCAAATTCACAGATCGCTATTAATATTCAACTTCTTCTTCTTTTTGGGATTCACGGTGCAGTTTATTGTAATTATGATCAAAGAAAAGAGCTCGGTGGAATTCATATTAACCGTTTGTGTGCTACCATTAACTTTGATCTTATTATTTCTTAGTGATTTCGCAGCTACAAGAGAATCAATAATATTAACAGCCGCTAGTATTATAGCATACATAGGCGGGTGTGTTTATGTATTGTTCAAAACAATACGATTATTCACAAAGTATTCTTCTGCATACCGAATAGCAATCAGGCCCGGTGATTATTTTCCTGGCAGATCATCTTTGGTCACATTTGGTGTTATCACTCTAGTATTGTTATTTGCCACCATCGTCATAGAAATTGTATTACTTAAAAACTACGGTAGAGGGTTACTTCCGATAGTAAATTCTACCTACAGATGGTTGCCCGGGCATAACAGGAACATTCACAATGACAGCTACGATGTACATGTAAATGATATTAATTTGGACACAACAGAAAAGAAAACGGAATATAACGGAAAATTGTTTCAAGATCTTGCATCGAATGACGATGGGTCTCTACTTATTGATTAGGTACGGACATCAGACCATTAATAATATTCACTGAATGCGATCAGGAAATGATCATGCGATTTCACGGAAAAACCGTGCGATTCGGATAATTAAGAGTGTATCCGCAGCCAGTCACAAATTAGCTGCAAATTTGTGTGTAAACTATATAAGGGGTTAAATTAGCATGTAATTAATAGAAATATTAAACAGTATAGCAAATAAACTAATCAGAATATTATATATAACAATGTCAGATATTGCCTTAGGAAAATATCTTTTTGAAAGACTCAAGCAAGTAGAAGTGTCAACCATTTTCGGGTTGCCAGGGGACTTTAATTTGACCTTATTAGATAAAATCTATGAGGTAGATGGTATGAGATGGGCTGGTAATGCTAACGAATTGAATGCTGCATATGCTGCTGATGGGTATTCTAGAGTCAAGGGTCTTGCTTGCCTTGTAACAACATTCGGTGTTGGTGAATTGAGTGCAGTCAATGGTGTTGCGGGAGCTTACGCAGAACACGTTGGCTTATTACATGTTGTAGGTGTTCCATCAATTTCATCCCAAGCTAATCAATTATTACTTCATCATACTTTGGGTAATGGTGACTTTACAGTTTTCCACAGAATGTCAAAGAATATTAGTCACACAACCGCATTTTTGTCTGATATTCAAAGTGCCCCAGCTGAAATTGATAGATGCATTAGAGATGCTTATGTTTATCAAAGGCCTGTCTATCTTGGAATACCAGCTAATTTGGTTGAATTGACTGTTTCTTCTTCCTTGTTGGAAAAGCCTCTCGATTTGTCATTGAAGCCAAACGACGCTGAAGCTGAAGAAGAAGTTGTCGACTCTATCTTAAAATTGATCGAAGAAAGTAAGAATCCGATAATTTTAGTTGATGCTTGTGCATCGAGACATAATTGTAAACAAGAAACCAAAGAATTGGTCGAAATCACTCAATTCCCTGTCTTTACTACCCCAATGGGAAAAGGTACAATCGATGAAGGAGGTGTTGGTGGTTTATTAGAGGATGATCCTACCTCAATTGAAAAGATCCAGAAAAAACTAGACCATGGTAGTTCTGTCTCTTCAAGATTTGGAGGTGTTTACGTTGGTAACTTATCTCATCCTGAAGTCAAAGAAGCAGTAGAAAATGCAGATTTGATTTTATCTATCGGATCTTTATTATCTGACTTCAATACTGGGTCTTTCTCATACAGTTATAAAACAAAAAATATAGTTGAATTCCATTCTGACTATACCAAGATTAGACAGGCAACATTCCCTGGTGTTCAAATGAAAGAAGCCTTACAGCATTTATTGAAGAAGGTTGGAAAGGCCGCATCACACTATAAGCCTCAACCAGTTCCAAAGGTTAAGTTGGTTAATACTCCAGCGTCAAGAGATTCCAAATTAACTCAAGAGTGGTTGTGGACTAGGGTATCATCATGGTTCAGAGAAGGTGATATTATTATCACTGAAACCGGTACCTCTGCATTTGGTATCGTGCAATCTAGATTCCCTAATAATACGACCGGTATTTCGCAAGTTTTATGGGGATCTATTGGTTTTACAGTTGGTGCAACATTAGGTGCTGTCATGGCCGCCGAAGAAATTGACCCCTCTAAAAGAGTTATATTATTCATAGGTGATGGTTCCTTACAATTGACTGCGCAAGAAATATCAACCATGATAAAATGGAAGACAAAACCATACTTATTTGTCTTGAATAACGATGGCTACACTATCGAAAGATTAATTCATGGTGAAAATGCCACCTATAATGATGTTCAACCTTGGAAAAATTTAGATTTATTGCCGTTATTTAGTGCTGAGGATTACGATGCAATTAGAATCTCCACCATTGGTGAAGCTGAAGATATTTTCAGAGATAAGGAGTTCAAAGAAAACACTAAAATACGTATGGTTGAAGTCATGTTACCACGTATGGATGCTAGTACTAATTTAATCAAGCAAGCTGAATATCTGGCGAAGACGAATGCTGCAAATTAATAGCAAATACTCAATATCCTAAATATCCATAGTAATTTCCCAAGAATAATGATGCCTCTCGTATGAGAAATATAGATATATAGTTTCTACGTTTTACTTCTTTCTTATGATAAAAAATAATAATTATATTTAATTTTACTTGATTTAGTTTAAATTTCGTGAATTTTGTCATCTCAAATGGTTGCTCGCATTATGTCTTATCATCTTTCTATAAAATTTGAGATAAGAAACTGAATCTTTCCGAATTTGAACAGGAAAATCATTCTTATGATGGAATTGACAGAAAAGGGACTCCCAACGTATCACGATCCAAGAGATGGAGAGATTTCAAGAAAGCAGTGGAAAATCCCATTGACCATTGTTGGTATAATTAGTGCCTTGCTTTATTTTTCAAATATAGGGCATGTATTAAGCTTATTGAAACCACCATCTCCGAACGATCCTCACAATCCTGATTCTTTATGCCCAATAGTAGATAAGGTTGATCCATTGAAGTATTTGTACAACAATGATACTTTGCTAAAAATATTGCATGATGATAGCTTTAAAAATGAATCTCTAAAAAAGCTAGCCGACTCAATCAAGATATCCACAGAAGTCTATGACGATATGATCAATCCCAATTCTGCCGAAACATATGAAAAATTATATGAATTGGAGCCTAAATGGAAGAAGTTTGAAGAATTTCATACTTTTTTGAAGAAGACGTTTCCTGAAGTTCACCAGAACTTGAAGGTTGAGACTATCAATAAATTCAGTCTTGTTTACACATGGAAGGGTTCATCAGATAAAAAACCAATAATGCTCGCAGCTCATATGGACGTTGTTCCAGTAGACCCCAAAACTATGAATCAATGGACCTACCCACCATTCGATGGTATTGACGATGGGGAGTTTTTGTACGGTCGGGGTGTATCTGATTGTAAGAACTTATTAATAGGTTTATTAGAGACAGCCGAGTTGCTCCTTAGTGAAGGAAAGTTCTCACCAGAAAGAACTATAATACTAGCATTTGGTTATGACGAAGAGTCTTCTGGATCAGGAGCTTACGAGATTTACAAACACATTGAAAAGAGATACGGTCATGATTCGTTATATGCTATTATAGACGAGGGAACTCAAGGATATGAAACTATAGAGGGAAGAAAGTTCATATTACCTGCAACCGGAGAAAAGGGTTATTTAGATTCTGTTATTGACCTATTCACTCCTGGCGGACATTCATCAGTCCCGCCTCAACATACGCTGATTGGAATTTTAGCCAAGTTAATCTCTGAAATTGAAGATGAACAATTCAAGAGTATTATAACTAATGCAAACCCGGTCTTGAACCAATTACAGTGTATTGCAGAGCATTCTTCAACAGTTGATAGAACCTTAAGAAAAAACATATTAAAATCTCATTTCGATGTAGATGCAAATAAGGAAGTATTAAAGTACTTGTCGAAATACCCAGAGACTAAATTTTTAGTTACCACATCTCAGGCAGTAGATATGGTTCAGGGAGGAACCAAATCAAATGCCCTACCAGAATATGCATCGGTTTTAGTTAATCATCGTATTGCAGTTGAGGAATCTGTTGAAATGGTCACTGATAAGGTTTTGGGTCAAGTCAAGAATGTTGCAGAAAGATTTGACTTAGGTATAGTTTTTAACGGTGAAGAGATTAGGAAGCGTACTCCTAATGGCTATTTTAATTATTCTTTAGTTGGTCTGCTTGAGCCTGCACCAATCACACCTATAAATGACAAAATTTGGAACACATTTGGAGGATCTTTGAGATACTTGTACGAAGAGCTAGTATCTCTGGAAGCAAGTGAAACATTCATAGTATCACCTTTCATTAGTACTGGTAACACTGATACGAAATCCTATTGGGATTTAACTAGGAATATTTTTAGATATACACCTGGAATTTCGACATCGGATAATATTCATTCGATAGATGAAAAGTTATTAATTGATAGCCACTTTCAACTAATTGCCTTTTATTATTATTATTTGCAAGTTGTTGATAAGTTGGACGATGAATTACTTTAATGGAACTAGTTGCAAATTTTATATTTTTCTGTAACCTCAAAATCTCAGGCTCGTAACATTTAAAATATATTCTGAAAAATTTTTGTAGATGATTTTATAAATTGCATTTGTAAGCTAGGTATAACTTATAACGGATATAAAGTAAAATATGCCCACCGAGTTAGAAGAATTAGTATCATTTTTACATGCACCCCAACCAGCGGTAATTCAAATTGCTTTGGATAATTTAGTTGGTTATTCACAAGGTGCTCATCAACAAGTTTTCAGTTACGATAACTATGAAGCTATTAAGGATTTAAAGAAATTAGCAAGAGATGAAGGTAAGACCACTGTCGGACAGTCTGTAACCATATTAGCTAATTTATGCGATGATTTAACTATGAGAAATTTAATTGTGGAGGATGAAGAATTCTTGAAATTTTTGGTTTCTGCTGTGATTAACTCTAAGAACTTAAACGCAGACTTAATGTGTATTTTATTGACAAACTTAGCTAAAAATGACAATATTACTAAAGTATTTGATTTCAATATTACCCACAATGATGAACAAAAGAAAATCTTTAAATCTTCGAAAGCTATGGATTGCTTAATGGATTGTTTTGTGAAGGGTTTTGATAGATCCTTGAATAAATACGCAGACTATGATTATTTAGCCTACTTTTTTGCTGATATTTCTAGATTTTTACAAGGTAGAGAATATTTTATCACAGAGCAAGCCTATGACGAAGTTGTACCAATATCTAAGTTGTTAGTATTCACTGAAAAGTACGATTCTAAGATTAGAAGGGAAGGTGTTGCATCAACTATTAAGAATTCATTATTTGACTCAAGACCACACATGAATCTATTGACAGATGATAAAATAAATATTTTGCCATATATATTATTGCCAATTGCTGGTCCTGAAGAACTTGATGAAGATGATATGTTCAACTTACCTGATGAATTACAATTATTACCATCTGATAAAAAGAGGGATCCAGTAAAGGCAATTATCTGCACTCATTTAGAATCATTATTATTATTATGTACAACTAGGGAAGTAAGAGAGTATCTTAGAGAAAAATCGGTTTATCCATTAGTCAGGGAATTGCATAAAGTTATGCAGGAAGAAGAGGATGTAGTTGAATTGTGTGATAGATTGGTTCAAATGTTGATGAGAGACGAGGCCAAGGAAGAAAACCAAGAAGAGGAAGAAGAAAGTGATGATGAAGACGATAAAGTTGTTGAGATTTTATAGATAAATACTGTAACGTTATATGTAATACTAGTTGATACAATCCGTAAATATAGCGTATATTTGAGTATATATGATGTAAACACTAAATTTGGAACGTACAAATCTACCAATTATTCTTCCTTCAAGACTAATTTTCCGTCTACTAATCTCAAATTCTGCTTAACGATACTGATAATCCTTAACTTGTTATCTTTATGAGCATTTACTCTATTCTTTAAACCAAACAACAATTCCTTGGTAGTTAATGGATTATCTTTGACAATATCTAACACTTCCTTGACCGTTACTAAAACATTATCTGGTCCTCCTGATGTTAAATCTACATCCAGCGTTGCGTTAATAGGACTACCAGGTAATGAAGGTGATGGACTACCATTTTCTTTCTTGACTGCTATCTTCAATTTTGTTTTACCATCGTCAATTTTTGCCTTCTTATTAGGATCATTATTAACCAATGCTGGCCTTTTACGTCCATTTGGATTCCAATCACCATTTGGAAATCCACTTAAAAATGAAGGCGGTGCCCTAACAATGACGAACCCATCACCAATGTTTTGAGCCGTGAATGCTCTTTGCGCTGGCTTATCAGAAGTTGAATTATCCAATAACTTATCCTCATCTTCCTTCTTGATAGCAATGTCATCGTCGCTTTCATCATCACTTTCCAAATCGGATTTTGATAAGTAAGGGTTCAATTTATCATCATCATCATCACTATCATATACACCACCCTCAGTTTTATTCAACACTTTACGTAATTTTTTACCTTCTTTATCAACTTTTCTAGATTTCTCTGTTTCAAACAAATCATCTAAGTCATCATCATCCACTTCGGCATCAGATTGACCATCAAAATGGGCTGCTTTCAACATTTCCTTCTTAATCTTTTGTTCAGATAATTTGTTTTCTTCTTCATCACCATCCATGATTGGTGCCTCTTCATCATCTGCAAATTCTTCATCAAAATCTAGATCGTCATGATCAGAGTCTCGTTCGTTTGAAGTCGAGCCGCCCAAAACAGTTCTTAATCTCCCTCTACTAGTAGACGAGGTCAGGGCATTACCGTTTCTTGAAGAACCTACATTATGTCTAAATCTTTGGTCTGCTGTGGCACCTTCTAACCCGGAGTTATCTTCCATATGCTTCATCAACCACCTCGGAACGGATGAGTTTTTCTCCATTTTGGCCTCGGCCTCTTCTAGTGTCAACGTTGCATATTTATTTCTTTGGGTAAACTTGTAGACCTTTTCTGCCGGTACCATTTTGAATCCATCTTTATCAAAAACAAATAGAACCTGCTGTGTGTCCGATGACCCTGCCTCGTAGTTACCAACAAAGACGTTCTTCCCATCATAGTCCTCTATAACCCACGGATAGTACTCCTCGTACCTCAATTTCCTCTTTTGATCGTCCATGAGATTTATTTGCCTGGTTTTTCTCTTGAATAAGCTTTTCTTCAGCTTTCTGGCTCCTCCATCTGGTGCGACCTGAGACATATCCACCTCATCTCTGTTGATATTTTTAGGATCTTCTCCATTCGCTATTGCCTCCTTTTCAGCGGCTTCAATAGACTCCTGCTTTTGCTTTTCTTTCTCAATTTTGGCTTCCTCTTCTTCTCTCTTACGCTTATCGACTTCCGCTCTTGTCAAGTGAAATTGGATATTCCTCGGGTCCTTTCTATGCAACCTCACTGGCTTCGTGAAGTTATCAATGATATCGACGTTCTGCTTCGACTGAAACTTCATTATGTGATATCGAATGTCTTTGATATCCTCTTTTGTACAACACTTTAGCGGGATGTCTTGCCATCCTTGGTCGGTTGAACTTTTACCATTTGATGAGGTCGTTGCTGGCGAAGACTTTCCATCTGCTTCTTCCTTTTTAACTGTCACCTCTTTCTTTACAGGCAGATGGCTCATGTCAAATTATAGATAGATAGATATATATACTGATCAAAATAGATGAAGAAGTATCAAATTTATCTTACTCTAATAACAGAGAATCATTTTACATATAAAATAGATGTCGTTCAATGTCGTATACTGGAAACACGACATTAATTTTAAGACATTAAATCAATGTTCCCGCCATGTCCAACTAGAGAGATATTACCACTATAAAGTGCTGGTGTCGGTAAAACTTCAAGAAAATGATAAACATCACATCGGATGTGTATTTTATCGATTAGTATGTTTATTTTTGAGTCGTGGTTAACTAGGGATCTTTACGGAATTCCTTGAACGAGAGGTTCCAAATAGACAAAAATGCCAAATATTATATCTTGGGTATATATGCAATAGGATTGACAATTTTTAGGTCAATACCTATTGGGAGAGCAGATAATTGTCAATCAGAAGTAATATTAAGCATAAGGAATAGAACAAATGTATGTTGCAATGAATTTAACCGATAACGGCTGTTTCGCACCGATTATGATTCATCTGCCAAAAAATGATTATTGGAGATAATTTTTCAAAGCTTTCTGTTAGTTTATCTATAAGTTTATATCTATCTAGGTCAAATAAGGAGAAAAAGAGTTATCGAGTCAAATTATAAGGATAAATAGGTTTGAAATAAAAGAAAATATGTCAATAGTGGTTCAAGAAAAGGAAGATAATATCTATTCACCGGAGAAAGTGGTCAAGAATGCCCCACCAAAGTATCTTGGATTCGTTGCAGGAATGTTTTCTGGGGTAATGAAGAACATTGTGGGTCATCCATTCGATACAATTAAAGTGAGATTACAAACTGCATCGGATGGCAAGTTTAAGGGACCTATGGATTGTGTGTTTAAAACAGTAAGAAACGAAGGTGTCAGAGGTTTCTATAAAGGGTTCACTCCTCCATTGGTAGGTTGGGTTTTGATGGATTCAGTAATGCTTGGGTCATTGCATGTCTACAGGAGAGTAGTTAAGGATACTTTTTATCTGGAAGAGAAGAAGTTGCCAATATTAGGGCACGTCATAGCAGGATTGGGAAGTGGATTGACTGTGTCCTTTGTAGCGGCACCAATTGAACAATTTAAAGCCAGACTTCAAGTTCAATATGATGCAAATACTAAAATATATTCTGGACCTGTCGATGTCGCTAAAAAATTATATCAGACCACGGGCATTAGAGGTATCTACAGTGGGTTACTCTCAACTATGATATTTAGAACAAATTTCATATTCTGGTGGGGTTCATACGAGTTATTTACGCAATGGTTTGAAGATAACACCAAACTTTCAAAGCCTGCCATTAATTTCTGGTCCGGAGGATTATCAGCAACTGTTTTTTGGATTTTTGCATATCCTGCCGATGTAGTCAAACAGACTATCATGACAGACAACCCAATAAGATCAGAGAAGAAATTCCCTAGATGGATTGATGCAGTTAAATACATTTACAATACAAAAGGCCTAGGAGGCTTTACAAGAGGTTTTGGTCCTTCGATCTTGAGATCCTTCCCTGCCAATGCCGCTGCTTTGGCTGCCTTTGAAGCAGTAATGAGATTTTTGCATTAATGTATAGTATATTAGATATTTATAGAATAATAAAGCTGATATAGTAATGATGAATTCCATTTACAATCTTAATCTTCGTCATTGTTATGTGCTTCAACTTCCCATGGCTTTAATCTTTGCTTAGCCTCTGGCTTCGAACTCTGATCTGGTACAACCGTATCAGGTATTTGCTTGATGCCTGGAACAGGTTTACCAGAGACAATTAATTCAACTAACTTCTGATAATTCGAAGAATAAGGTGGTTCCGTGCTATCTGTATTACAGACTGGATCTTCTGACTCATCCGTTATTTCAGTAATTTTCTTGTTCTTGTTATATTTATCCCCATTATGTATTTTCCATTCATTAAAGTCATCCAAATTTAAGATATTATCTGTGTGACTGCAATAAAAGAAGCACTTAGCTTGGTCGATTAATTGTTGTTTGTCTAACGCTGGAATACTTGTTACAGATGGATCTTGTTCTTTTAAATTATTTAGATAGTTATCTAAAATTTCTTGTAAACCATCTTGGAATTCAGTAAACGAGTCCCAATCGTAATTTAGGTATTCCTTGTATATTTCTTCTTGTGGATTTGATGACATAGTACTGTAGAATCAACTAATAGGTTATACTGGGGTTGATTTTTTAACCTCGCTTATATTTGAGAATAAAAAAATTGAAGATTTGTCTTTATTGAAAACAAATCAGCTTAGTTCTACAAGATGTTGCAATTATCCATATCACATATAGTAGTGTTATCACTTCTTATTAGAATTGGATTTTTTGTTTTCGGTCTTTACCAAGATAAGTATATGACCGTGAAATATACTGACATTGATTATGTAGTATTTTCTGATGCCGCTAAGTATGTCTACGAGGGATATTCACCATATTCTCGCGAAACATATAGATATACCCCATTGCTTGCATGGATGTTGATACCAACCTGCTGGGGAGGTCAGTGGGAAAATTTTGGAAAATACATCTTCATGATCAGTGATCTAATTACAGGAATAATTATTCTCAGACTATTGAGTGGAATATCAATTGCTGGCAAAAAGCTAACTATGAATAAGGTAATAATTTTGTCGTCAATTTGGCTTTTGAATCCAATGGTAATTACCATAAGTACCAGAGGATCCTCGGAGAGCGTTTTGACTGTAATGATTATGCTTTCATTATATTACTTAATTATTAAAAAGTCTATTATTGCATCAGGATTCTGGTTAGGTTTATCTATCCATTTTAAAATATATCCAGTCATATACTTACCCAGTATTATGCTTTATTTGGCGACCTCAGGAACACCTTTCATAGATCTACCAATTGTTAAGTGGGTTAATAGAACTAACGTTAAGTTTTTAATCACCACAATAGCTACTGTCGGAGTATTCAGCGGTATAATGTATTCAATCTATGGCTTTGAGTTTTTGTATAACTCGTATTTATACCATTTGATTAGAATTGATCATAGACATAATTTTTCTGTTTTTAATGTTGCTTTATACTATAAGTCGGCATTATCTGAAATTACAGAATCGTCACTCAATTTCTATTCTGGAAATACGGAAAAGTTTGTTATGTTACCACAACTATCAATTTCGGCATTGATATTACCATTGTTGTTTGCTCGTCGTGATTTAATATCCTGTATTTTTATTCAAACATTTGCATTCGTAACATTTAATAAAGTGATTACTTCCCAATATTTTATTTGGTTCCTTATATTTTTACCTCATTACTTGGCCAGATCAAAGCTTTGTTCACAAAGTCAAATATTGAAGGGAATTCTGGCTCTATTACTTTGGGTTATATCCCAGGGATCATGGCTATACTTTGCTTATCAATTAGAATTTTTGGGCATCAGCACATTCGATAATGGATTAATTTTTTCCTCGTGTTTTTTCTACCTAAGTAATTGCTGGATCTTAAGTGTATTTATCGATGACTTAAATAACGTATCGTAATATCTTAGTGGCAATTTAAAAAGGTATTTAGAGTATAGAAGGCATTTTTTGCAATCTTTTGAAAGTTACGCCTGCACATAATTTATTTGTAGATGATGAAATGAAAAAAAAAGATCTTACTTTATATGTAGTTATTGAACCTAAACTAGCAATCAATAATGTCTCGTATGGAATTATACTCTCCAGAAGGGTTGAGAATTGATGGAAGGAGATGGAACGAATTGCGTCGCTTTGAATGTCGTATAAATACGCATCCAAGCTCATCAGATGGATCATCGTATATCGAGCAAGGAAACACCAAGATTATATGCATGGTACAAGGACCGATGGAACCTAGTTTAAAATCACAAACGAATTCATCTAAGGCAAGCATAGAAATTAACTTATCCATAGCTAATTTTTCTACAATCGAAAGAAAGAAAAGATTGAAAAACGAAAAGAGATTAATAGAGTTAAAGACGACTTTGGAAAGAACATTCGAACAAAGTGTTATATGTAAATTATACCCAAGAACTGTTATACAGATAAACTTGCATGTGTTGTGTCAAGATGGTGGTTTGTTGGCTGGAATGACTAACGCAATCACTTTAGCATTGATAGATGCTGGTGTTGCGATGTATGACTATGTTTCTGCCATTAGTGCTGGATTATACGACCAAACACCATTATTAGATTTGAATACATTAGAGGAAAATGACATGAGTTGTTTGACTATCGGAGTCGTGGGTAAAAGTGAGAAATTGGCATTGTTACTTTTGGAAGACAAGATGCCATTGGACTTGTTGGAATCCGTTTTGGCTATTGGTATAGCGGGTGGCCACAGAGTTCGTGACTTAATGGACAATGAAGTTAGAAAGCATGGTAATATTAGATCTTCTAGACTTGTTGACCAATAGATGTATGTATAATAGAAATAAGATAAAAATTCACAAGTTTTTAATATAATTTGCTGACAAGCTGTAGGCTAAGGCGAAATAGGCCATTAATAATCATAAAAGGTTGTATTTTAGTTCTTAAACTACTGCAATTAATATACTTTTTGGTTCGGCAACAAAAATTAAAAAGAAAGGAATTGACACGGACAGGAATTGAACCTGCAACCCTTCGATCTGGAGTCGAAAGCTCTACCATTGAGCCACCGCATCACCCTTGAACTTTACTTCCACTATCAAATATATCAGATAACTTTTCCAATTAGCTCTATTTAGAATCAATAGTTAGCAAATCTATAATAGAATTATAGAAGTTCCCATAATGCATATTTTAATATTATAGGTATTTTGCTTGTTCTATATTTGGTGACTTTTTCTTGATCTGATCACTGATTTTTTTTTAGCGATTTTCACAAGACATTTTGGAATTTCAAGTAGAGCGAAACAAGCAGACACTGCTTATATTAGACGTTCTGAAAAAGGACTTTGAAGGACACCACTATTGTTATAAGTCAATACGATCCTAAGATACACAGTAGACTCATAACTTACGAAAGCACCATATTTGCAGCTATTGGTTTGTAGAAGTATTAAAATTGATAATTGCACACAGGACAAAACAACTTGCGTGTCAAATTTAGTAACCCTCACCAAACAAATCAAGGTCAAGGCCGTTATAAAGAAGATTTTTTTTAGATCAAGTTTTAAATAGAAAGAATTGAGTGTGTGAGCCATTAGGATAAGATCCATTAAGAGAATATCAAAGACTTAAAAATATTCTACAGGTGGAAGAAACGAAAACTAAATTATGTCTTACAGAGGAGCAAATCAATTTAACAATCAGTTTAGAGGGCCAATTGGCGGAGGACAACCTCAGGCCAACATAGGACCAGTTTCTAACTCTAAGTCAGCTTTAGATCAATTTGAAGATTTTTCTAAAAAGGTGGAGGACTTAATTGATGAATATACGGCACCTTTGAAGCCATATGTACCATCTATTGGAAGAGCATTTATCGTGGCCACTTTCTACGAAGATTCCTTGAGAATAATGACACAATGGTCGGAACAAGTGTACTACTTGTACAACTACAGACATCTCTGGCGTTGGTTCACAGTTGTGTTTTTGATTTCCAATGTGTTGGTTATGTTGAGTGCATCAACGTTATTGGTCTTGAGAAAAAAGCCGGAAGTAGCAACTGTTGCATTAGTATGCATTGTTGCCTTACAAGGCTTGGCTTACGGTTTGATTTTCGATGGCCAATTTATCTTGAGAAACTTATCGGTTGTTGGGGGCTTAATCCTCGCATTTTCCGATACTTTGGTTAGAGACAAAAGATCGTTGTCTATGCCAGGCTTGCCAATGATAAACAACCAAGACAACAAGAAATATTTCTTATTAGCAGGTAGATTATTATTGGTCTTATTATTTTTAGGGTTTGTTTTTTCTGCGTCATGGTCATTCACCAGGCTAGTTATCATCTTGAGTGGTTTCGTTTCATGTGGTTCCATAATCGTTGGATACAAGACTAAGTTTGCTGCTTTTATTTTGACAGTCTTATTGTTCGGATATAATGTCTTTGTTAATCAATTCTGGCAATATGGTTCTCATGATTCCACTCGTGACTTCTTGAAGTACGAATTCTTCCAGACATTGTCGATTGTCGGTGGTTTAATGATTATTGTTAATGCAGGTGCTGGAGAATTATCGTTGGATGAAAAGAAAAAAATCTATTAACCAATTTCTTACATTGTTATTGGTTTAAATTAATGATTGAGCATATCATATATGTATGTACCTATATACTATATATTATCATTTGGGATTCCCAAAATGTAACCCAAAGAATTATACTATTATGTATTCTTACGTTTTGTTTGCAATGACATCACGAGCGCACCCTCTAATTTTTTCGTTCAATAAGAAATACTACATTAATCAGTTTAAATAGTTGGCATAATTTAATTATTAAATGGCAGAAGAAGAGCAAAGTAAGTGTCCAGTTGACCACTCTACCAGAGATGCTTGGTTGAAGAAAGCAAAAACTCCACCAGAACCGGTTCCTGTTCCAAATGACCAACCGAAATGTCCTGTAGATCATGATGCTAGATCCGACTGGTTAAGCAAAGTTTCAGTTGTACAAACCACCAAACAAGAACCGGAAGCTATAGAAGTAAGTTCCACAGCTACTTGTAGTTCGGACAAATTGGACAGTTCACCTACCGAAATCAACGATAAAAACTCCAAGCTCCCAACTGAGAGAGAGGTTAGTTCCATTCCTCGTACCTCTGGTCAATCAAATTGGATATATCCATCTCAGAAGCAATTCTTCGAAGCAATGAAGCGTAAAAATTGGAATCCTGAGGCACAGGATATGAAAACAGTTGTACCTATACATAATGCGGTTAATGAAAAAGCATGGCTGCACATTTTAAACTGGGAAAGATCACATTATCAGCAATCTTTAGAACAGTGTGGTGGCATAAAGTTGACAAGTTTCAAAGGTGACCTGAAAAAGCTTACTCCAAGAGCATGGTTCAACTCGACTATTTTAGGATACGAGAAGCCCTTCGATAGACACGATTGGATAGTCGATAGATGTGGAACAGAAGTAGAATACGTTATCGATTTCTACGGCGGTAATGGAGAAGGTGCAAGCTTCTTCTTGGATGTAAGGCCAAAACTTAATAATTGGGAAGGAGTAAAATTACGTTTGGGAAGAGCCTTTGGTTGGGAATAGGACTACTTTTCTCATCTTGACTTGTAAATATCTAGACTATGAAATATTATTTTCTGTTTATTCATTAACTTTAATATAATTATATACAAAATAAATAGTTAACACAAATAATAACTTTACCGTGAAGTAGAATTTAGTATTAACCCATCAACTAGTTAATAAATCTATTGTCTACCCATAAATTGACCAGATTGACCCATTTTTTGCATGTGCTCACCTACTTGGACATTGGTTTCAAAATATTTAGCAACACATCTATCTAAACAAAGAGCTTCTTGCTTAGAAACTTCTGAATCATTGTAAGTCTTGTTGATACATTTAGAATGACATTGTTCGACCAATTGGTTGAACATACCAGTAACCATGTCTAATTCAGCTTCAGCAGCTTGTAACTTTTGTTGAGACGAAATTTGAGGAGCAGCACCACCTAATCCGAACATTGTATATCTTATTATTTTAGTTTAAATAGTATATATCAAGAAAATATATCTTCTTTTTGATTGCCTTCTATTTCTTTGGAAATTTGTGCTTCTTTGAAAAATCGGCAACTGATTACGTAACATTAATGATTAAATAAATGTTTTTTTTTAATGTGCAACACCTACTATAATGATACAGATAAATTAACATAGTATACATTGACTAATCTACAAACTAGGGAAGGAAAATCTGACATGAGCACCCCATAATATTGAAGTGTCCGGTACGTCTAACTTCAACTTCGCTAAATCCTCTCTTTTTTCAGGGACCGCGCAAGCCATACCATGGCAAATGGTAATTGCCTTGCCATTTAATGAAACACAACCACCAAAGTTACTAATTCTTGCATTCTTCCAAGCTGAATTTGAATTTAATATTTTCAAAAAATTTTCATGAGTAGAATGGCTAACATCGTAGTAATATTTAAGAAATCGCCATGTTTGGGTCTGTAAATTCAACACCATAACGCGAAGGGTGTTGGAATTCATAGGTGCAAATTGTAGCTTACTTAGCCTAGAAACGTCAAATTTATCACTTGTATGAGGCTCATTATCGAAATATCTCAAATAATCATTAGTGAATCCTCCAACAAAGAATAGGTAATCCTTTTCGTCGTTCTTATAATACAATGCGCTATGATGACAGGCTCTTAATTCAGCTTCTACTAGCTTTGGATTGGCGACCTCATTTTCCTTAACGAATATGGAAGCATCGTCATCCTCGTAAGGTTGCTTGTGAGAATTGAAATAGTCATAAACGTAAGTAGATAAACTCTGCCATTTTCCTGTTTCAAAGACAAAAATGTAGAATTCACTAAATGTTTCAAAGTTTTCATTACATCCACCTTGGATTAATAAAGCTTTGCCATTAAAAAAACCCTCAACTGTTTTTGAATTGAGTGTTCTTGTAGACATGCCTTTGCTACTTGCGGTTTGAAGCGAAGTAGAGCTTGAGGAAATGCTATCTGAAACAGGAGACATTGCTCTGGAATAACGATTAGGAAAACCTGGATCGTCATCTTGGTCATCAGATTCTGAATGCAATGGATTTCGGGATTCTATGTCCCAGTAGCAATTCTCATCTGTAGTTTGGTTATGATCGATTAAGGAGTAAGCAAAATAACCCCTTGGAGAAGGCCAAATATCTGAATACAAGTTTTCACCCATTTTTGAATATATCCCATTTGAACCAACTGTTGAGATAGAAGCCTCAACTTCAAAACCGACAGTAAACTTGATTTTTTTACAAGAGATGTCAATCCTTAATAAATCATTGACCGCCCTAAAAGTTTGATATCCAAATTCGTTTTCATGGCACTCAAAACCTCCAAAAATATATACAGAGACCCTTCCTTCTTGAGACCTATTAATATGCTGATTGTTGAAAGATGCATTTTTGCTTCGACTGTCAAAAGAGAAGCCATTATCATTATCAGCAGTTTTGAAACCAACATCTTCAAGATTTAATGGACTTTCATTTTTAGCAGGCGACGCATTTGTGCTAACATATGAAATCAGTGAGGTCGATTGTTTCAGATCACTTTCCAAATTTGAAAAGTTATCTTTCTTTTTGTCATTTTGATTTGAGTTCTGGAAAAGTTTTGAATCAACACTACTATTGACAGAATTCATAGGCGTCTTCTGTGAATTTGCTTTAGGCATAGGGTTACCTATTAGTATTGGTGATACTGGTCTACTATTTTGTGAATTTGATCTGTTATCTCTTACTTGATTCGAATATGTATTCTTCAAAGGGTGGTTTGTTGGTGATTTTGGGGTACCTCCACTTGGTTGTTTTTGGTGTCTATGGAATATTTTCGATGATTTGGATAATGCATGTGTTAGTTTAGGACCTGCCGTAGTATGTATGATGCTACTACTTTTTGTAGAAGTCGTGGGTGTTATTTTTGAGGCATCTGAATTGATAGCAAAAGATTTCAGCGAATTTAACTGCTTCAGAATATTAAATGAGTAAGAACTTGTAGCAGATATGGGTGGTATAGAATCAATATCAGACGTATTACTTTTTCCATTCGAGGCATTCAATACAGAAGCATCTAAAGATTCAGGTTCTCTAATATTCTCAGGATTTTTCGGCTCTGGAAAATTCACTGGCTTTACCAAAGGACTCGAAGGAAACGTAAGATCATTGTTAATATCTGTAAATACCGGTGGCAGTATACATCTGTTTTGTTTTTCCTTATCTTCACCTGAAAGCTCAATTATATTCGCAGCAATGGCATTACCAATCCTTCCAATAGTAAGCAATTCCCGAGTTTTAGACTCTAATCTAATTTTTGTAAACTTCAACGTTCTGATATCTAGAATATACCCGTTCTCATTCATTACTAACTTTTTTTTAATCACCCACCTGTCAACTTCAGCAATATGTTCAACAGATTCAACATTGATTTCAAATCCCCCATAAAAGAATATATGAATCTTGGAAATCGGGCACCCGGAAGCGTTATTTAAATGGGCTGGATAATCACTAGATGAATATGTATCACAATAACTCACAGTACTTCGAAAAGCATTAAATATAATAAGATGTGGGTTTTGCATCATATATGGACTTATTAGAATGTTCTTATCGACATGCGGAGGTAATTCACACGGAAAATGTATTGAAATCTTCTCTGGATCCACATCGATAGGAATTCCTAAGTGTCTGAAATCACAATACTTATTGACATAGACACCTCCGAAAGTATAAGTAATATCGTCCAAATCAACATGATTCTGATAACAAATCTCGGGAAGTTCAGTTACTAACTTGCTCCTATGCTTATCAAGCGTGAAACTATTAGGGACATTTAATGTTGTCTTCGGAATAGAATATAACCCAGAAAAACCGCCTCCATGGTCAGCGCTTGCTTCGTGTTCACAATTGTTTTCAATTAAAATGTTACCCAGATCGCTTGATTCGGTAGATAGCGACCTACCATTTTTATTAAAGATGCATGGTCTATTTCTTCAAATATAGCCCTAGGATAAAATATCTTTTCTTTTTCAGCCTTATTGAATATATTCTTCGGATTTCCAATTGGTGTCTTTTCATACTTAAATACTGTGTACGGAGGTTTAACCCCATGAGTCCAGCCATGCACTCGTTCGCTCATAAAGTCTTGTGCCTTATCGTGTGTTCTACCTATTCGGAATATATGTGACTCCATTCTTGTACGAATTGTATCAATATCATTTATATTATCTGATTTATTGCTAATACCAAGTATGTCGTTCCCCAGATAATTGCTTGAGTTCGGAGTTGACTCGAATTGTGTATCGTCCCTGAATCGGATGCTATCGTAATTCTCATCCATACTTCCTTCAGTTCAAGTGCAAGGCTATATGGCCAATTAAATAAATGAATATATATCTATATTTACGACGATCCTTTCGGTTGAATAATCTTATTAATACTTTGTAATGATTTCAGACGTTCCAGAGTAAATTATTGGAGCAATTAATTTTGCGAACATGCCACAATAACGCTATCAACTACAACGATAAAGATAACGATAAATAAATAAATAAACGACTATAATAATATATTCTAAATATTAGGACTTAACATATCAGCCTTAACTAAAGCGTGTATCTTTATAATTGTTAGTAAAAGTTTAAGTAAAACACAAATAATAGTAATTGCAAAAATACATACATCTTGAATAGAAGCATGAATGAATTGTCTAACTTCTAAGGCTAGCCAAACCTTCATCATATTCAAAGAGTCTTCGTTCTTCAAAATTTCTCTTCCTTCCTTCAGTACACCTAATTTTCTTAATACGGGTAATGAACTATAGATGTTAGTATGAGTCAATAAATCAGTAATGATAAATTGAAATTGAAGTATATCTTTGAAGAATCTCTTTTCGTATATCAATAGAGAATGGGATTAATATAATGAAACCACTGGATATAATATTAAATGAAAGATATACCAACTTCATTTTCAGTGGGGAATCCAAATAGTAAAGCATATACGAACCTTGCAAATAAATCTAAATCTGGATATAATTGTCTACCAATTCCCTCCAATAAGAGTATGGCAACAATGACAGTAATGAAATCGCCTTCCATTCTAACATGATGATTTCTAACCATGCCTAGAACTTGATCTAACAAATCTCCAATACTGATGTTACCTAATGTGAATGTTCTTTCCCTCATAGTACCAACTAATTTGTCAACTTTCAATGCAAAGATTTCTTTATCTATTACAGTTTCAGGAGTTCTAGATCTTTCAACCATCAACTCACCTGCTTTGTAACCATCAAATTCAGATAATGCTCTAAATAAATCAATAAAGTTTATTCTGTCGTGATGGTTCAATTCAGTGATCAAACCAACATCTAGGAAACATATTTCTGCATGATAGCCGTCTTCATATAATTCTGATAATTTTTTACACCATTTTTCATTATCCTCACCTAAGCTTAATAATTCATTCGTTATTTTATTCGTTTCTTGTTCATTACTTGACTTCACAATTTTATATTCTCTTTCATGCTTGAACAACTCATTCTTATAGAAACGAATCATCATATTACCAGGATGCAAATCAGCATGTACGAAGTTATCAAGAATCAACATTTTCAAGAAAGCATCTAAGCCTTTGTCACTAACCTCTTTTGATAAGTTCTTTCCAAAATTATCGCTCAACGATAAAAGCTTACTCATGGGTATGGCATGTATATATTCTTCAACAAGCACATCCCTAGTAGTAAAATTCAAGTAGGGTTTAGGAAAATGTATGTCTAGTCTCTTTTTAAAGTTGCTTCTAAATCTAGCTAAGTTTAAACCTTCAATTCTAAGATCTAATTGTAATCTCATTAAAATTGAAAATTGCTCAACTTCATCTGGTAACGATAACCACTCCATTGTTGGAATCAAATTAATCAAGTTAGCGAAGAATTTCATTATTCTCAAATCTCTATTAATTTTGACTTCAACATTAGGATGTAAAACTTTAATTGCAACGAACTGATTGGACGTCAATGGATCACCATGTTCTGTTACTAATATATTATCCAAGAATTGTTTGCCTTTGCTAGGTTGATTCACCTTTGCTTCCAAATCCTCACCATGTCTGACCTTGTTCAATGCTTTATTAGACAATTTTCCAATGTAAACTTGAGCAATGGCTCCAACACCAGCTGGCTTCTCATTAAACTCATCAAATATTTCTTCGAATGGTAAATCTTCAAAGCTCTTACTTATAATTCTGACTGTATCCTTTAATGAATGAGCTTTTGCATTTGAGTGTAAATTACTTAATTCATCACACATTTCTTTTGAAAAGATGTCTGTTCTCGATGCAGCCCATTGGCCTAACTTAATGAATGATGCTCCAGCCTTTTCAGCCGACCATCTTAAATATCTATACCAAAGCTTAGCACCGGATCTGATATTTTCCCCAGTTGATTTATCTTTGTGCCCAAACCAGCAAATAGGACAACTGATTAATACTGGCACGAAAAGGAACGACAATTCTAAAAATCTTCCAAAAGTAATTAATGGGTCAATTAAAAAGTCTTCCATCGAGAATTTAATGTAGTAGAATATCCGCTTTAATTTATTACCCTTGTGTAGCTTGTCATGGCGATAGTTATTATGTTGTTCTATTTCTTCCCTTTGAGATGCTTCATAGAGACCATTTTCATACGTTTCTGCATCCTTTACAGGCTTTAATTCATGAATAGTCGTATCAATAGGTGCTATATCATTGAGTACCGTTGACTGGAGTAATATAGATGTTATGGTTATTCCTCCCAAACCAATAAGACCACCCCTTATAAAGTTTGGGCTACGAAATTGAGATTGCTGTGTTGAAAATTGTCTCTTTTTAATGGAACATTTTATATTTTGCACTATCTGACGCTTGGAGTTTCGTATTATGACTCCAGGTCCTATAGGTTGTCTCATTAAGTTCATCATAATGTAATTGGTTGCTCTATAGACATTTCCAGGGCAATGAAGTTGAAATTCAAGTCGATCCGCCGAGGGTTGCACAAAACTAATTGGGAACTATCTATTAAAATAAATAAACATCTTAAATCTATAAAAATTAAAGAATATAAGTAGGTATTAGGTTTCTGCCTCATTCAAGTGATTCCTTAAAATAGAAGCCCATAAACATATAGTAGAAACACCTTTTGGGTTTGTTCTTGGACCCCGCCTAGCAACTATTCCATCATGCGAATTCCATGCATCTATATAAACAGGTATCTTGATCCAGTTGATTTTATTCAAGGAGTCAATGATAAACTGCTTATCTTCATTTATAGGTAATCTACAACCCTTTGTAAACAATGGAAAAGTGGAATTTTCCCATTGGGTTAAGGTAGAATAATGCTGGCGAATTGACTGATCATTTGACTTAGTATCGACTTCGACAACTTTTTTCTTGGTACTCTTAGACAATATTGAAGTTCGTTCATAATCTTCATGATCAGATTCACTTTCATCATAATCATCTATTTCGTCATGATTGTCACCAGAATTATCTTCATCGTTTACATTGTTCTCAATGGTATTAGGTTCATCGCCTTCCTCTTCCTGAATGACGTCGGATGATTTACCAATAAATCTTTCTTCGGCGTACATTAAACCTTCCATTGTGTTTTCAGTTAATTCAGACGTGTCACCCTTGAAATAATTCTGTCTAGACATGGACTTTCTTTCATCTCTATTTTGCAATCCAATTTTTGCATCTTCGATATCTACCGGAGATGTACCATATACAGAATTAAGTACCCTCTGCCAATGCAGCTTAATTTTTGGCGCGGGAATAACTCTGATCTTAATCATACTGTAAATAGAAGCAACCAAACTAGATATCAAAACTAATGGAATCCAAAATGGTAGCAAGAAAAATGACACCAGAAATATAATTAAAAATCTGAAAATCTTATTTGAACGGAATATGGAGGTCTGTTCTTGAATATTACCTGCAAATAATTCATCCTCAGTTCTCGTCATTTGACTTGATCTCTTTAAATCAACAAATTTGGGCTTAACATATATTTTGCCCACTCTCGATTGTTGTAAGCCCTTCAAATACTTAATCTTCACATTGCTCCAATTATCAAACGGTGAATATTCGGTTATAAAAGATGTATAAAATGCAACTGTTCTATCATTTTTAACATTTGATAGCAATATATGCTTTCGAAATTTAGCGAGACCCTTATAATAGACTTCTTCAGGGTCTGCCATTTTCTTCAACATCTTATCATGATCAGTCACGAACATTTCGCGCCCAGACTTACCAAAAAGATATTGGCCCACCCAATTGGCAGTGTGGTCAAAGATGTTATCGTTGAAGAATTGGATCCCAACATGTGGAGTTGCGAAGGTGGTGAAAAATACAGGCTCTACCATTTCAAAAAATCCAATATCATTCAACACACCAATAAGGTATCTAGATATCAACCCCCCTAGAGAATAGCCCACCAAGCTAAATTTAACGACTTTATAATTACTCTTTTGTTTTAATGTCTCGATTTCGTAAAATATGTCCCTGATAACCCTTTCAGCGTTTAGTTTCAATCCGTCGTAAGTCTTCCAAAACCGAAATGAAGAAGGTTTCAACGTCACTATCTTTTCATCCGAACATTCCTGTACTAATTCTCTTAATGATCTCTCAATAGTCAGCATATGATTTGGACTTCCCCATAACCCATGGACTAAAACAAATAAGTGTGCATTTTGTTCTTTAGGTACTTCATCTTTGAATCCAATTTGTGCCATTATAGTTACCTATAACGTCCGATAAAGATATAATTATTAGAAAAAAAAACTTTCAGAATACTTCTGATCGAACTTTGATTATCGTATTGCGATAAGGAACGACTAGAAAAATAATTTAAATCGACACTAGATAAGTGCTGGGGGTTAGTTGATATTGAAATAAATAAATATAAAGAGTAGTATTCGCTTGAAGATAAGAAAACTCGTGTTTACTAGGCTCTCGGTAAAAATCGAAGGATCCCATGTGATTTTAGAAATCTGCACTGATTTGCCAACTTTAGCAAACCCATGGCCTTGGATGATGATTTACACGAGCTAACATCATACACCCATGAAATATAGTATATGTCTATCCAGTCTACATGAATAGTTACAACTGCTATTATAAACATTCTAATTTTATTATATATTCTGCTATATATCCCACTATATATTCGATGCTTTATCTCGGACCGATGATCATGATAATGAAATGATAACAGAACACCAACCAGAACATTTTAAGTACAAGAAGTCAAAGTCATACTCGGAGATATTGTAGTTGTAAGCTATAAACGCCATTTTGCTAGTCATAATTGTAAGCCATTGTGCATGGAAGGATATAGTGATAGTAGTAGTATAAAGCCGGGTAATACGGTTGAAATTTTTCATCCACCTTTCATTGAATTAATTCATTGCAGCTCTTCCAGAAGTCAAGTTATTCAATCAACAGCTAGACAGCAAAAGCAAAACATGGCATTTTTCGGTACCCCTTCTACTTCCACATCTACTGGATCAAACTCTGGTCAATCTCACCAAGTAAAACAACAAATTCAGGATCAAATTAGTCAAGAATTAGCAGTTGCTAATGCTACTGAATTAGTAAACAAGATAACGGAAAACTGTTTTGAAAAGTGTGTAGAACAACCTCAGAATGGCTTAAACCCACAACAGGATGCATGTGTTAATCAATGCTTAGAAAAATATATGAGATCATGGAATGTGGTTTCAAAATCGTACATTACCAGAATCCAACAATCATCCAACTAAAGAATCCGTAACTACAATACTACATTATAATAATGCCTTGATACAGATGACGGTTAATGAATATGCGATGACTACCTGTTTAATAGTGCACATAGAGCTGTATATAGACTTGAACACAAGTTAATTTGATATCATTATTTGCAAATCTGAGATGACTGCTGTAATTTGAGACAACTCATTTCAATAAGTCAGATACGCCTTGACTCGAATTCAACGACATGCATATTGTTCTTTGCTTCATAGGGAATATAGTTGTATTCTTCTATTGCAGAAATTCAAAGTGTTCGAAAGAAAGCACGTAAAACACCAAATAAGCCGATTAATATGTTGCCGTTACCGAAGCGTAAATTTCTGAACATATCCATGTCACCAGTCTTGGGATATTCATAGGGACTCCCGATCCATGTTGATCTTACTCCATAGGGTATCCCTATCCATGTTGATCCTACTATCAGGTACCGTAGTCTCTATATTATATGCAGTACATACAATTAATGTTCAACAAACCAGTGGCGATTAGTACATTTTGGTTTTCATCAATTGTTAGATCTATTTAATCATTAAGAATATAAAGTACATTGATATTCATTTGAAACGTTCCATCTACCGGATTCACTTAGGAAATATTGTAAATTAGAATCAAAGTTATAAGAAAAGAATCGATAGTAAAATCATGAACGCTACCGTTGCATCTGAATACTCATCAGAAATCCACACAGTTCCAATTGAACACAGGTTCAACCCATACTCCGACAATGGTGGTACTGTGTTAGGAATTGCGGGTGAAGACTTTGCAGTTCTTGCAGGTGACACCAGACAAGTTGTTGGATACTCGATTAATTCACGTTACGAACCAAAGATCTTTGATGTCGGGGATGACATAGCAATGACAGCAAATGGATTTGCTGCAGATGGGGCTGCTTTGATAGATAGATTTAGAAATCAATTGAAGTGGTATAAATTCGATCATGGTGGTAAAAAATTAAGTATTAAGAGTGCAGCTAGATATATTCAACATTTATTATATGGAAAAAGATTTTTCCCCTATTACGTTAGTACCTTAATTGCCGGTTTGGATGACGAAGGAAAGGGTGCAGTATACTCTTATGATCCTGTTGGATCATACGAAAGGGAGCAATGTAGAGCAGGGGGTGCAGCTGCTAGTTTAATCATGCCATTTTTGGATAATCAAGTGAACTTCAAAAATCAATATGTGCCAGGTTCTAATGGTACTGAGAAAAAGGAATTAAGATATTTGTCATTAGATGAAGTTTTGCAATTGGTTAAAGATGCATTTTCATCAGCTACTGAAAGGCATATTTACGTTGGTGACGGGTTAGAGATTTTTATCATTACGAAAGATGGCATTAGAAAAGAATATTATCCTTTGAAGAGAGATTAGATTAATCTATATACTTATACAAGATTTAATAGTATACAAAATTATAATATAGTTTATATCATAAAAGGCGGTCCTATTAAACTGGCAATTCAAAATTTTGACCTTGCATAACTTTGGTATAATAGATGTAGAAAAAATCTGAGTATACCGCTGTTTGAATTAATCCAGCTAAAACAGCGATATAGTCAAATTTACCTTCTCCGAAATACCTGTATAACCAATTTGGAATATACAAAACTCTGTATATACCTAATGCAAAAATGTAATGGGTAGTGATATTTTCGGCTTCACCAGTTCTTTGTAAAATAAATAACTGGGGCAAGATTGCTACTGATTCGAGCCACAATGAAAACGACCACAAGATTTCACCAAATGAATATTTATGGGTGAAAATCAATGAAAGCAAGAAAGAGCCTCCCACCAAATATCTAACAGGAAATGTGTCTATGTCCTCCTTGATAGACTTACGATATTTAAATGCCATGGTATGGACAATGTAGATTGAAGACCCAATAAAGAACAACTTCATTAACGAATTGTAAAGGGAAATATAACTGCTAAACAAATCCAAATAACGAGTTATGTATACAAGGGCATATAAAGATTGTGTTTTCAATGACAATCCTTTAATCGATTTGTGCAATTCAATTGAGTACAACAATATGAAAATACTGGCAAGGTGGGAAAGATCCCCTGCAAAACGGAATATATTCATTATCTATTGGCTTAATGTTGGTTAACTAAAGAAGATCTATAGTATTAACACGCTGTTCGACGTTGTACGCTCGAAAAAGTGTATACCAAGTTATATGCAGGTAAAATTGCAACCTCTATCACAATCCTATGTTCTGTACTAATAGATCATATTCATCGTCAATAGTGAGTTCTGAGTTCGATTTACTACCTTGAACATTATTAAAACCAAATTTACGGACTGGCTTATTTGCTGAATAAGTCTTTTCATCAAAAATCTTGACAGAAAAGTCAGAGTAATTATCGTACCACTCGCCATTTGACAAACTTGAATCCGATAAAGTTTCCAAAAACTCACTTATTAAGTTTTTATTCAATAGGTTATTAGTTGTGGCATCTTGCAGTAATGTATGATACGTTTTAAACTTTCCTTCTTTCGTAAAATAAATCATTGATGGAAAATTACTCACTGCATATTTAGCAAGAAAATCGTTATCCACTAGCTTATTAACATCCACAAGCACAAACTCTATATCTTCCTTGAATTCTGACTGGGCCAACTCTTGATAAAAATGTGAAGGGTATTCATAGTCCTCCCATTCCTGTATATGTGGTACTGTGAAAACAATTAAGGTGTCCTTGGAGGGCGACCCAATGAACTGTTCGATGTCGGATTGGACGAAGTGGATATTAGAATTAACGTTATCGAAATTTGGAAGCAACTGGGTTTTTTCTGTCATAAATTTGACAAGATTTTCTAAATTACGGCTGTCCTTGTACGAAACGATTTCCTTAGTCCGAAAGTTCAAGAGCTTCAATGTTGGGTACTTGTTTACACTAAACAACTGACTTATTTTCTTGTTTCTAATGGCATTTGTTTTCAATATCTGAACTTTGCTGTTACTTTTATCATCTGTGATGTTATTGTAAAGAATACTTAAATATTCAAACTCCGGTTCAAATTGTGCACAATAGGCACATCCGTCAGAATAAAAATATATAAACGAAAAGTCGCTTCCAGCCAAGGTTTGTTCTATATGATTATCATCAAATTCTATAATATGCTTCGATGCTGGTTCACACAATGCTAGCCAGATATACGAGATAAAATATAATAATGCTGGTATTCTTCGAGGAATCATCGTTATATTGTTCTAATTAAGAAATGCTGTAGCGAAGATCAAATAGATAACTTCGACGTAAACTGTAAACCTCCGTAAACTAAATCGCGCTAACCTGTAAATATTCTCTTTTACTAGCCAGCCCACCAGTAGGCTGGCTAATTGTCATACTGTTTGCTCACACTTGATGACTTCGCTTTATCGTAAATATATGTAGTAGATTACTTCCAATGCTGGTGATTTCCTATTTCTGTCATGCACGATGTTTTTTTCCCAATTGGTAAAAGCGAAAGCTAGATTTAATTGATCTCTTCATTTGATGGGCTTCATTCGGATTCAACCAGCATTTTCGAATACAAGTCTTCTTGGTACCACTTCATATAAATAGGGTTGGTTCCATGGAATCAGGATCAAGGTTTTATTTATTGCAAACATACCACATTCGCTTCACCTTTTACCTTTATTTTAACGTTCAATGAAAAAGTTTATTCTTAGTTCGCTTTTCCTGGCCGCAGCTTTTGCAGCTTCAGAATCATTATCAACCATTCAATCTACAATCGTTTCTACATTGCCATGTTCTTCGCAATCGGCTAATGTTGTTCCATCTCAATTCATTTATGCTAATGTGTCAACTTTTGCTTCTTTGAGCACTACTTACGACGTCGTTGATGTTTCATCATCACAAACTGCAATCAATGCTGGTTCAGCAGTAACTAGTGCTGCACAATCAAGTTCCAAGGCTAAACAAACTTTGTATGAATACGATACTGCTTATGATAATGAAGTATTTGAGGTGACTCATACCGTCTGTGATAGTAATAGTCATTGCTACCTCACAACTGACCTTGAAAGCTCAACTACTTACACCACTACAATTGATGGTATATTAACAGTTGTTACTACTGTTGTGCCAGTCAGTGCTACTACTACTGGTTCTTCTAGTGAAATTACTCAATCTGCTGCTGCAACCTCTTCCAGTGAAGGTTCTCAAGATTCTACATCTGAAGGTTCTTCCGCAGAATCATCCGCAATTTCTGAACCATCTGCAACCGGTTCTCCATCTACAAAGACCGAAGAAACAACTACTGTTGTAACCATTACTTCATGCCATGATAACAGATGTTCAATTGTCCCACGTACCACTGGATTAACCGTTATCACGGTCACCTCTGACGACATGGTCACTGCTTACACTACTTACTGTCCATTGACAGGTGAAACCTCAGCTCCGGTAGAAACATACGTTACATCTGCTCAATCAACCTCTGGTTTGGTTGAGTCTACTGAAGCTGAAATTGAAAGCTCTCCAATTCCACAACCTAAAGCTGAATCAACTCAAGTTGAATCTATCCCAGCTGCTGCAGAAACCACTGAAGTTGCCCCTCCACAAACTGAAGCATCTTCTGTTTCAACTTCTGCTCCTAACGATAATCTTTCTACCGTCAATGTCATTACCAACAATATCGTTACTCAAACTCCAGAACCATCTACTATTTCAGAACAAACTACATCAGCAGACCACCCTATAAACTCACAATTCACTACTTTCGAAGGTGCCGCTAATTCTATCGTCCGTTCTTCCAGCCTTATCGGTTTATTAATTTCTTTCATCTTTATGATCATATAATCATCATTAGTGTCAAGTTCACTTTTTGAACGGTCTTTTCCTTCGCTACTATATACCACCTTTTACAGGATTCACTTCCTTTTACTTTAATATGGCCTATTTGCCCACCGGAGTTTCAATTTTAGAGAAAAGTTTTTCCGTTCATATTTGTATAATAATTGTATAGTTAGTTATAATGCAACCACGGGACCTTATTTTTAAATTTTCACTATCAATCTGTATTTCTTCTCACTAGACATGTGCGACGATGTTCAGTCACTAAATACATATAAATAGCAATAAAACCTTGTACCTCCATTTCATTTGACTTTTTCGAAGTATTACATTATGTCTTTCTATTATTTCTTCCGTTTCTATACTATGAGATAATATATATTATTGGCATTTAATATTTTTGGGTCCTCAGTCGAACTGAAGACCGCTGGCACTTACCCTCAACTTTAATGCACTTTTTCATACCTAAATATTTGGTTTATTAACCTACTTGTCTAACAAATATTGTTCAAAATGGTCTGGCGCTTCTACTTATGGCCACTGATAAGTGAAAATGATAAATTAATTTAATTATTCAATTAATCCTTAACCCATGAAGGTGTTACCGGGGATACAACTAGCTATTGAGAATTTAGTTCTCACGATGATGGTATTCTGGTCTCAGTACCTAATATGTACCGTACCACTTTAATTGGGGTATTCTATGGAGCGGTAGCCAGTTGAATAGGATATTTGGATCTGATAAATCCTATTTACAATGTAGTTTATACGATATTAAGCACTTTATCTTTGCCAGGGTGTATTCTAGTTTGTATTAGAATTTACATTAGCGTACGCAAGGTTTGAGAACACAAAATAGACCTCTCCTAAAAGGACCTAACAATAAAAAAAAACCATCGTTAACATTGAGCACCGGTAAACAGTGTAGACAGAAGATAGTTCGAAAAGTAATAGTGGGATCATGGACGCATATCATGAATTCATTCAACCTACTAGGGTGTCACAATGCATAGGATGCAATTTTATCAGTCCAACTTCGAAGAGTTTGATTGTTGGGAAGGCCACAGTGTTACAAGTTTTTGAAATAATTAATACCGAATCTCAACAATATAAGTTGAAGTTAGTAGAGCAATTCAAGCTTCATGGATTGATAACTGACATAAAGGCCATAAGAACTGTTGAGAATCGGCAGTTGGACTACTTGTTGGTTTCTACCAAAGGAGCCAAGATGTCATTAATCAAATGGGACCACCACTTGAATTCAATTAGTACAGTTTCGTTACATTATTATGAAAATTCAATTCAAAGTTCAACATATGAGAAATTAACTACCACTGATTTATTAGTGGAGCCTAACAACAATTGTACATGTCTAAGATTCAAAAATTTGTTGACATTTTTACCTTTTGAAACTATAGATGATGAGGATGAAGACGATGAAGAAGATGAAGAAATGAATGGAAGCTCTGGTAGCGATAAGAAGGCAACTATCAAGGAAAATGGTAACATAGGTGGAGAAGAGGTATCAGAACTTTTCGAATCTAGCTTTATGATTGATGGACGAACCTTAGATTCTAGAATTGGAGACATAATAGACATGCAATTCTTATACAATTACAGAGAGCCTACCATAGCAATTATTTTCCTGAAAGCCCATGCCTGGGCTGGTAATTTGCCAAAGGTTAAAGATAACATCAACTTTATTGTATTGTCGTTAGATCTTGTAACTAAGGCATCCACTACAGTCTTGAAGATCGATAACTTACCGTTCGATATAGATAAGATTATTCCATTGCCTCAACCTTTGAATGGTAGTTTATTAATGGGATGTAACGAGATAATTCATGTCGACAACGGTGGTATTACAAGAAGATTGGCGTTGAATCAATATACATCATCGATTACAACTTCACTTAAGAATTATCATGATCAATCGGATTTGAACTTAAAGCTAGAAAATTGTACTGTCAAAGCTATTCCTAACGATAACAAGGTTTTGATGATCTTGAGCAATGGAGAATTCTATTATATAAACTTTAAAATCGATGGGAAAACTATTAAAAAATTCTTCGTAGAAAAAGTTTCAGATATCATCCATGACAATATTCAATTAACATACCCAGGTGAGATTGCCACGCTTGATCATAATTTGATATTCATAAGTAACAAAAATGGTAATAACCCTTTACTTGAGTTGAAATATAAAACTTTTGAACATGTTATTGTACAAGAGAATGAAGAAAGTAATGATCCGATAGATAATGTAGATGAAGATGATGATTTATATGAAGAAGATGAAGTCAATAAAAAAATTTCAATTAATAAAAGTCTGATAGAATTCATAAAACATGATGAATTGATCAATAATGGTCCAATTTCAAATTTCACGCTTGGTCATTATTCCACTGATAAATTTAAATCAAGTTTACCGAATCCAAATTACAAAGAAATCTCCATTATAAGCAATTCAGGTTCCCATAAACAGGGTGGTTTAAATATACTTACGCCTAGTGTGCAGCCCATAATTCAGTCATCCTTGAGTTTTTCTCAAATCCACCGAATGTGGACAATTAATAACGAATTTTTGATTACGTCTGATGACGAAAATTTCAAATCTGAAATTTTTCAACTTAATAAATCATTCGCAAGGTTAAATTCCAAGGATTTTGTTAACAATGAATCAACGATTGGGATGCATGAATTAAATAATAATGAATTCTTTTTGCAAGTGACTCCAAAGAAAATATCTGTATTTAATAAAAAGTTTAAAAGAATCATTTCCTTTAGCAAAGAGTTGAAAAAATATGCAAATGATGAAATTATTTATAGTACTTTTAATGATGAATTTTTAATGGTCTTTTTCTCCAGTGGTGAAGTGGTTATTTATTCCATCAACACCTATAATGAGACATTCTCAAAGATAAATATTCCTAAGATATTGAATGATACAATTATTACTACAGGTTATATAACGAATTCAAGTTTACTTAATGCAGTGCTGAAAGATATAAATTTATTAATTAATAAGAATAGGGGAACTAAGAGAAAACACGGCGGAAGAAATTCGAGTATTACGGGTATTAATACATCTGACTCCGATTTTGGTCCAAAGCTGAAGACTTTTATATTAGTTACTGGTGACAATAGAATTGTTGCATTCAATAGGTTTCACAATGAAAGATGTTACCAATTAAATGATGTTGATAAATTTACTGATCATCTCTCATTAGGTTTTTTTGAACCACGAGATACCTATCCAGATCCATTTATCAAGAACATAATTTTTAATGAGTTAGGAGATGAACACTCAAAGGATGAATATTTAACTATTTTAACAATTGGAGGTGAAATTTTAATTTATAAACTATTTTTTGATGGTGAAAATTTTAAACTTGTGAAAGAAAAAGATTTAATCATTACTGGAGCCCCTGACAACGCATATTCTTTAGGTACCACGATTGAAAGAAGACTTGTTTATTTTCCAAACGTTAATGGCTTTACGTCTATCTTTGTTACTGGTATAACTCCTTACTATATTTCGAAAACAACCCACTCAATTCCGAGGATTTTCAAATTTACAAAGCTCCCCGCTGTTTCATTTGCGCCATATTCTGATAGCAAAATTAAGAATGGGTTAATTTATCTTGATAATTCTAAAAATGCTAGAATTTGTGAGATTCCGATTGATTTTAATTACGAAAATAATTGGCCAATAAAGAAAATTCCTATTAAGGAAAGTATAAAATCGGTTACATATCATGAACTTTCAAATACATTCGTAATTTCAACTTATGAAGAAATACCATATGACTGTCTAGATGAAGAAGGGAAGCCAATTGTTGGTATTGATAAGTCTAAGCCCTCTGCAAATTCGTATAAAGGATACATAAAGTTAATCTCTCCGTATAATTGGTCTGTTATTGACACAATTGAATTGGTTGATAATGAAATTGGTATGAATGTTCAATCAATGGTTCTCGACGTAGGATCGAGTACAAAAAAATTTAAAAATAAGAAAGAGTTGATCGTTATTGGTACTGGTAAATATAGAATGGAAGATTTAAGTGCTAATGGCTCATTCAAGATATTTGAAATTATTGACATTATTCCAGAACCTGGTAAACCTGAAACTAATCACAAATTTAAGGAAATACATCAGGAAGATACAAGGGGGGCTGTTACTTCGATATGTGAAATTAGCGGACGTTTCTTGGTTTCACAAGGACAAAAGATTATTATTCGGGATTTACAGGATGATGGTGTTGTTCCTGTTGCATTTTTAGATACGTCAGTATATGTTTCGGAAGCGAAGAGTTTCGGGAACTTATTAATTCTTGGAGACTCATTGAAAAGTATATGGCTAGCGGGATTTGACGCTGAACCATTTAGAATGGTTATGCTAGGCAAAGATTTACAATCTTTAGATGTGAATTGTGCTGATTTTATTATAAAAGACGAAGAGATATTTATACTTATCGCTGATAATAATAGTACATTACACTTAGTTAAATATGACCCTGAAGACCCGACATCTTCTAATGGTCAAAGGTTGATCCATAAGGCATCTTTTAATATTAATTCTATTCCTACATGTCTTAGATCCATACCTAAGAATGAAGAAATTAATCCGTCTGGTACAGAAGTCTTCCAATCGATTGGTTCAACGATTGATGGTTCCTTCTATTCAGTTTTCCCAATCAATGAAGCTAGCTACAGAAGGATGTATATCTTACAGCAGCAAATTACTGATAAAGAATATCATTTCTGTGGATTAAACCCAAGATTAAACAGATTCGGTGGCTTATCAATGACTGTGAATGATACTAATACAAAGCCTTTATTGGACTATGAAGTTATCAGAATGTTTGCTAAGTTGAATGAAGATAGGAGGAAGAACTTATCCATGAAAGTGAGTTCTAAAAATGTATATCAAGATATTTGGAAGGATCTAATTGAATTCGACCATGTATTGAAAAATTTATAGTAGATTGTAATAATGTACATATTTAATAAAACGCACTTTTTTCAAAAATACATCAACAAAAAAACTACTATAGGACAAATACAACGACTTCAACACATATATTATTTGAGCTGCATCATGCCACCAAAGTTGAAAGCGACAAGGAAGTCGGTATCATTTCAATACTCAAGTGATGAATCTGTTTCGAAATCGCAGTACATACTAAAGAGGGAATTTCCACAGATTGAAACTTCAACATTGACAATACCATTTCATGCGATCCTAATGATTTTTGGATTATATAAAGCTGGGTTAACAGCTAATGCTTCCGAGGTAATGTTGAAAGGTATTCTAAGTTTGATTCCCTTACAATTGCTTTACGGATATCTAATTACTACAAGGTTTACGGAGAAGTCCAAGAAGAGCAAAACTCAAAACAGTTCGGAGAATGTACCTTTACTATTAGCAGGAGGGGTAGTTATTTCCTTAGTTTTATCTGTTCCTTTGTTCGTTTTATTAATATTACTTGGTGCTCCATTGGCTAGTCACTTGAAAGAAACATACTTATTGTCAATTCACTTGTCATTGTTGATATTTTATCCTCTGCTAATTTTGTACAAGTACGATTATAAATTGTTAATCAAATTCCTTGATGCCGATGGCGTATACAATGCTATAGCTAAAAATCAGATATTATTCAGTGCTGTTTTGGCTGTCATCGGCACATGGTTCGGAGTTATTCCGATACCATTAGATTGGGACAGAGACTGGCAGCAGTGGCCAATTACATTATTAACAGGAGCCTATATAGGTTCGTTTGTCGGAGGAGTGTCTTGTTTCATTTTTTAATAGCCACATTTACATATCCAATCCGCTCAACATGTAGCAGCTAAGTCCGAATAGGTCATTTCAAGCTACTTCACTTCAATTCTATAAGTCTGATTACATCACTTACATAAACGTTTTGTAATGCATATATAATAGTATAATTGTACCCCTTTAGGTTCTTCTAATCACCATGTTTGCTGTCTTAGTCAGTTGACTATAATTTAGCAATTGCGAAATCCCTGAGATGATATCGAATCGGTTAACAGAAAACCGAGTGACCATTGAATTTACTATAAATGTCGCTCAATATCGATCAGTTATAGATTTCATCAGAAGTGTATATTCTTTTCACAATACTGTATTAGTTTAATATAACTTGATAAAACATCTAATAGACAATGTCCGAATTATTCCCAACTGACGTTAAATTGAAATATGTCCCATACACAAAGGGTAATGATGCCGTTGCTTCATGTGGTAACCCAATTGAGTTCGACTTAGCTAAGGAATTGCCAGGGAAGAAGATTGTTTTAACTGCTGCTCCAGGTGCGTTCACTCCAACTTGTACTGAAGAACATATTCCAAATTACTTGAAAAACGTGGAACAATTTAAGAGCAAGGGCGTTGACAGAGTCATTGTTATAACCGCAAATGATCCATTTGTCAATGCAGCATGGGGTAAGGCTTTAGGATACAAGGATGAGTCTAATTACGTTATCTTTGCATCCGATCCAAATGCTGCTTTATCCAAAGAATTAGGTGACAATTTTGTGGCTGATTTGACCAAAGCTGGTCTTGGTGTCAGGACTGCCAGATATACCTCAATCATTAAAGACGGTAAAGTTTCTTTCTTAGAAAGTGAAGATGGGTTGGGTTTCAGTGAAATCTCAAATGCGTCAACTGTTTTAGAAAGACTTTAGGAGTTTCAAAAGTGGATTTCATGATTAACAATGCCATTGATATGATTTGTAAATTTTATAATGATTTGTATAATTTAATGGAGAAATAGTTCGTTTTATTAATGTGTAGCTGAAATATGTGGCTTATGGATGCTAGTCAAATACTACTTTCTATTTAGTGAATTGACTTGTATTATACAAGCATTTGATATTGTTATTTAACTTCATATGTATTCTTACGGTTTAATTGTGTCTTGTGCAATAGTAGTTGGGTGTTTAATTCTTTCAGTGCAAAAGAGGCCAGATCTTGTTGATAACGCGTAAAAATTTAGAAATGATGTTTCTTCTATAAACAAAGCTATTAAAAGAAAAAAACTATAAATGTCTGGGTTTCCAAAGGTACCCTTAGTTGTAGGTGATACCGACGATGATGCATCAATTCATTTGCAGTCTCGTGTAGGTCCAGCAAGACCTTTACCAACTAAGCAAAGGTCATTCAGTTCTCACGACAAAGAAATATTGAAGATTTTGAATGAGGTGGATGACGAACTGGAAGCTGAATACGATTTCAATAAACAATTTGATATATTCCAGAAAAGTGGTAGTATTCCAAATGATATAGAATATAGTGACAATGATTCTGACGCTGATACCCAGGTGGAATCAGCGAATGAGTACGAAGATGAAAACAATAAGCAGGAAAATAGGTATTATCCAAACATATATAGAGATGAAGTGATACCCGATAATAAATATGAATTCAGAGAAGAAAAAGAAAAGCAGAAGCCAAATAAAAGTTTGTTTGAGGAATTCAAAAGAGCTCGAGAGAACACACACCCTTTCATGGAATCTAGTAAGACTAATTACAAGAAGTATGCTTTATTTGCGCTCATGTCATTTTCGGTCACTTGCATAGTACTATTAATATACCAACGTGAAGTGGTTTTTCACCCAGTGGTTATAGATAAGCCAATTGAGAATTATTACGAAATAAACTCGAAGTTTGGCAATCTCGAAAATAGAGTAAATAAATTAAGCCTGTTTGCTGAAGACTTGTCTAAAAGACAAGAAGATCTTGTTCAAAAACATGAAGTGCTATCAGCAAGTATAAATGAAAAATTTGATTTAGTGAGTGACAGGTTTAGTAAAATTGATTCAAGTGTAATAAACCTGAATCAGTTTGATAATTTATGGAAAGAATTTACTGCTTTGAAGGCAAAAGTGAGTGATTCTGAACCTTATATCAATCCTGAACCAAAATTGCTTGAAATTTCAGAGAAATTGAACAAACTCTCCAAAATTAGTGACAACATTGAGTCGGTTAAATCTAACATATTAAAGGAATTCTCCGCAATGCTACCAGAAAAAGTGCCAGTTTATATCAAGGATAACAAAATCCACTATATTCCAGAATTTCATAAATACATCTACAACTTTATTGATAATTATCAAAAAGAGAAGAATCTTACAACTAATATAAGTTGGGACCAATTCTTACGTGATAATGAAAATAATATGAATAGCCATATCAATTCAATAATAAAGAAAACCAATCTACTTAATATTAGTAAAGAAAAGCTTGAGAATTTCTTGCAAAAAAGAATTAACGAAAATAATAAACAAATATGGGAGAAGTACAATAATTTGATTGATAATTTAAATATTGTCAATAGTAACTCAACACTAATTGCAAAAAATTTGGAAAAGTCTACTAATACAATCCTACTCGATAATTTATTAGAAATATTTGCTAAAGGTTCGAACAAAGTTAACTATGCTGATTATAAGCTAGGTTCTAGAATATTGGGCTTCTTAACCACTACATCTACTTCATCGACTAGAAGTCAAATCTCACAAAAATCCTTACCCAGAAGGATCTTTTTGGGATGGTTTGACTATTTAAATTCAAGTGGCGTCCATAAGCCTAAAAACTGGAAATATAATGCTAATAATGTTTTGATTGATGGAGGTAATTATTGGCATTGTGAATCAAATGAATGTTCAATTGGCTTAAGATTATCAGATCCTGTTATCTTGACTGATTTAATTTTTAAGAATCCGCCTGTCGAAGGTATAAAACCACCAAGTTATGTTTCAATTTATATTAAACCAAGAAATTCTGAACAGGTGAACGAGTTGAAAGGATACTTGCAAAATAAGTTTGATATATCTCAACCTAGTGATCAAAAATATTTGAAGAAATTTTACAAGATCAAAGAGGTGTCACTTGATTCCAATAAACCCATTAATCACGTTAAATTTCCAGTAAGTTTAGTAAATTTGAAAATTCCAGTTAAAGATATTTATATTCAAATAAGGTCCAACGGTGGAATCACTGGATTATACAATTTAAAAGCCTATGGAATAAGCGAATTTAATTCATACAAATATAATCAAGAATTTGAATTATTAATCGATAAATTATCAGAATTGGATGAAAATGAAGAATCCGTAACTAATAACGTTGACATAGATAATCTCATAGATGAAAATGATTCCGATATCTTGGGTGATGATGAAATATTATTTTAAACTTCAATTCTCTGGCTACATATCTGTAATTAGTATCAAATATACATACTCCAATTTAACTTAAACCTCATTCACACTTAACTAAAAAGTAAGACATTATATGAAAGCTACAATAAAATCAAAGAAATAATAAATGTAAAATTAAATAGTTAAAGTATCATGCAGAAACTATATACCAAATGAAAGATGCAGAATACAATAAAAAACCCATATTTTAAAAGCGTTCAACAAATCGAACAAATAATTCCAGTAAACCAGAATCTAATTTAGAAAAATATTAACCCATTAATCAATTAATCAACTTACAATAAGGATAAAGCAGCTAATAAACCAGCAACGAAGACTGGAACAGCCTTGTTGTTAGCGGCACCTTCAGCAGCAGAAACAGCAGCAACTGAAGATTCAGCAGCTGAAGTAGATTGAGCGGCAACAGTAGATTGACCAGCTGGGGTAGTACCAGCAGCAGCTTCACTGACTGGAGTAGTACCAGCAGCAGCTTCACTGGCTGGGGCAGTACCGGCTGGAGCTTCACCGGCTGGGGTAGTACCAGCAGCAGCTTCACTGGCTGGGGCAGTACCGGCTGGGGCTTCGCCAGCTGGAGTGGTACCAGCAGCAGCTTCACTGGCTGGGGCAGTACCGGCTGGGGCTTCGCCAGCTGGAGTGGTACCGGCTGGAGCTTCACCGGCTGGAGCGGAACTAGCTGGAGCTTCACTGACTGGACAGTAAGTAGTGTAAACAGTGTCGTTTTCAGTGATAGTAGTAACACCGGTAGTGTGAACAGCAGTAGAACAAGCATTGTCAGAACATGAAGTAATAGTAACAACAGCGGTTTCAATGTTGGTCTTGGTAGCTTCAGCTTCAGCTGGAGCACTAGTTTCAGCTGGAGCAGCAGAGGTGCTTTCAGCTGCTGTCAATGGACAGTAGGTGGTGTAGACGGTTTCGTCCTTGGTGACAGTGGTAAGACCGGTAGTTTCAACACCAGTGGAACATGCATTGTCAGAACAAGAAGTGATGGTGACAACAGTAGTTTGCAATTCGGTAGCGGTAGAGGTACCGTTAGCGTATGAGGAAGCACCTAAAGCTGGAGCAGCAGCAGCGGATAATAAAACACCTGATGAGAACTTCATTTTATATTTGTATTGATTAGTTGATTTTAAGCGAATGAATAATAACTATGAGTATAATATTCTTCAATTATTCAAATTCCAACATGATATCTTCAACTTTATATACTATTTGAATACCAATTATTCCCGCAACACGCTTAGGAGTGGCTATGATTCACATTCACCAATTTCACCTTTCCTATTGCTCAATCCTATTCTTCAAGTATCATAACAGGTAAATAAATAGTTAATATCCCAGGTTTTGCACCTGATTGTTCTGTTGCATTACCATTTAGAGACAATTTCCCCATGTCATAACCAGCTACATTTCGGCTAATTTTAATTCTAGAATGACAACATACACGCTTGATATGCACAATTGCCATAGAAACGCAATTCACTAACTGTACTTCACAAGAAATTTTGAGCCATCAAATATCTGAAACGCGATTCTCTAGTTGCGACCGAAAATTTTCATGCAGAAGTGCAACAATTCGCCTTTTCGGATCGTACAATATTTCCGAATTTGTTAGGCAGGAGGTATTCGCCAGATTTGAAAAAAGGGGTGCCTACGACGCTTGCTGCCTTGTTTACGGTAGGGTTTTCTGACTGCATAATAAATACTTATGACAACAAGCCGCATAGTATGAAATCATCATGTAAGCGAATATAGCCCTGGGAAGTCAATAAAAAATCAGTAAAAAACCTACCATGGTATTGTGAGCATCTGCCTGGTTCACAAAGCACAAGATTGATTGAGATGTTGAGGGGCTTTAAACAAGCATTATTTCTATTAATAACACACAATACCTACATTGTATATTTAAAACTCAACATATATGAATAGGGTAACACGGATGTCTAAAACAGACATTTGAACGAATGTAGGATACCAGATGTTATAAACCATGAAATATGCTATACATGTAAGAGAAAAAAAAGGTGAGAGTGCGTTAAATGAGAAATTTGGACAATTTTCATCAACAAGGCGTAAGACATATCGGGAAAGTGCCTTGGACGGATAGGGAAGACAGATAAATTGACAAGGCAAAAGAAAGGTTTAATTGAGCCTTTACTTTTAATTTTTCAATACAACTTTGTAGGTTGCGATTTCGAAACCTCTCAATCTGATAGATGCACTGCCCTTGTCAAACGGAATTTCTTCAATTTCTTGTTCAAGGGCATTTGCCTTAAATATTTTGTCGACGGAGAGAACATTGAGGTCGAATTCTAGTTTACCCGAGCTTGAACCACCTAAAGATTCGTATACTCTAATAATAAATGACTTTTGGCCCTTATTTTTGATTGGAATATTCTCGTGTAATGAAACATCTTCATCGTCTTCTGATCTCTTTAAGTGGGACAAGACGAGACTTCCTGCATTATCTAACTTAATCGAACTTAACAATTCAGGCAACCTTGTAGAATTAACTCCATGGGTTAATCTATGGTTGAAATTGTAGCCTAGCTTGACGGTGTCGGAGCCCAAGGTTCCCTTATGTGGGTACAAAGCATATTCAAACTCATGTTGGCCCATATCCGCTTTATCATCTGGAGCCTTAGCTGATCTCAATAACGATAGCGTCATCAAGTTTCCATGAATTGATCCACCATACTTGCTATTATTCAAAATAGATACACCATAATTAAACTCTGACAAATCCATAAACTTGTGGTGACACACTTCAAACTTTGCGATGTCCCAACTAGTATTATAATGGGTAGGTCTTGATGTTAATCCGAATTGGGTTTCATAATTGGCTTGTTGAGACGTATAAATGGTTGTTGGGAATTGTACTTTTAAGAATTTGTATGTCTCATGCCAATCAACCTTGGACTTAAATTTAATGAAGTTATTTTGCACTGATTTAAAATCAGTTAATCCTTCAACTGACACAACAGTTTCAATAGAGGATTTATCAGAAATATGTGTTTTGATCAACACCGACGATTCTAATTCATTGTTGGCTAATATGCTTACTTCATTCTTTGTCAAAAGTTTATATTTAGTCAACGAATATAACTCGGTATCCCAAGCAGGGAAATTCAATGGCTCATCATCGTACAAGACAAACTGATTTCCTCCAATACTTTCACCACTATCAGTTTGCTTTGTTGCAGTAGCATCAATAATTTCGCGATCATGCTCCAAATCAATTACAGATGTTAGAATCCCGCTCTTAGAAATCGTAGCCTTTATCTTTTTATTAGATAAAACAAATACGTCTCCTTCTTCAATAACAGATGCTGGGTAAATAATTTCTGATTTATAATTAATCTTGGTTACACCTTGATTACTTGTAACTGAAATGATTAAATCTTTCCCCTCCTTCGCTGCGAGCTCCTCAGTGATCGCATCAAATAGATCAGGGTGCTCCGTTTCATTGATTCTTAATATTTCACTCCTGGGCCATGGTAAAGTATTAAGGTAATTCAATGATGATAATGTAAATTTGCCATCATCCTTGATGATATTCAACGCATCATTAATTAGCTTGTTAGCATTCTTTAATACCTTTTCTAACATTGGCCAAACTTCTTCATAGTATACCATACCAATACAACTACCTGGTAAAACATCATGGAATTGACATAAACAAAGATCTTCCCATAAAGCAGTTATCTCGGATTTTGGGTACTTATAGCTCTTATTCGTAATTGAAACCAATGATGCTAACCATTCTAGGTCGTGCAATTTAATCTCGTTAATTCTCATTAACTTTTTAACATAAGCTTGAGTGGTATAAGTACCTCTATGAAATTCCAAATAAATTTCTCCTGTCCAAGAAGGTAAATCTCTACCACCATTTGATCTTTCCAAAATATCTTCATAAAAGTCATCTACTGTATTGCCTAAATGTACAGTTGGCATTAAACCACTTGTATCCGACATTCCTCTGCATCTTCTTATTTTTTCAAACATTTCATCCGTTGGTCCACCACCACCATCACCATGACCAAATAATAATAATCCAGTTGGAACATCTCTTAAATTTTTATGTTGTTCTAAAGACCTTTTGATATCACCAAAGTTTGCACTAGCGGTATAGGTGTTTGCAGGTGGCATATGAACTAAAACTTGTGACCTATCTATACCTATCCAATTGAATGTACTTAGTGGGAATTGGTTAATGTTATTCCAAGACAACTTTTGAGTCAAAAAGTTACTAATACCAACCTGTTGACAAATCTGTGGTACTTGAGACGAATACCCAAAAGTATCTGGTAACCAAAATATATTGGAATAGATACCAAATTCATTGTATTGAAACCTTTGTCCCAATAAAAACTGACGAATCAAGGATTCCCCGTTTGGTATATTTGTATCATTTTCGACCCAAGAACCACCAATTGGCAAAAATTGGTTAGTTGTAAACTTATCTTTAATTTGTTTCAAAATTTCAGGGTGGTATTCTTTTAACCACTTGAACTGTTGCATTTGCGAAGCGACAAACACATATTCTGGGTATTCCTCCGCAAGTCTCAATTGCGTGGTCCATGATCTAACAATCTTTCTTTTGGTTTCTGCAAATGGCCATTCCCAAGCAGTATCTATATGGCAATTACCAACTCCAAAAACATCAATTCTAGAATCAGTAGCAAATACCTCGTCTGAATCAATCTTATCGCCAAGATAGCGCTTTGCTAATTTACGACAATCTGCTATTGATTCAACATTTTCGGGATCAAATGTATTCATAATATCATTACATAATTGGTTTGCCTGCCATTTTTGCCATGAATTACCTGGAAACTCCCTTGCAGCATCACCAATTATCCAGAAATCCCACATTAACCTTCTTGCTTCTAAGTTTGGCAATACTAAATCACATTTGCTTAATTGAAAGTATCTATTAGGATTGGGTGAACCATCACTTCCATTCCCAAACATTCCATTACATGCCATTTCTACGTAGAATCTATGGATACCTTCTTTCCAATACCGTTTTGGCACTCTAAATAAGGTTCTTTGATTACCACCCGTGAACGCTTGCAAAGGCAATCCCTTGTCGTTACATATCATGGCCTCATTATTACTATCCCACTGAAATTCAATAGCTTCTGGGTTTTTACTTATCCATTCAGACGGAATCGAAAATTCAACCTTGAACCAAAAGGTCTTCCACGAAGGACCAAAATTATCCCCCTTGTTACTATCTTTCCATTCCACTTCATCCCAATTTATATCTTTGAACAAAGGTCTTTGAGTCTTTCCATTTTTATCATCTGGTACCTTGTAGCTTTTTATATTTATGTATTCCGTGTTCGTATCTACTCTATCGAAGTCATAGAATTTTGGCAAGTTCAAGTCTCGATATTTACCTCCATCAATAAATTGTCTCAATCTGTCTTGGAACAAATGATCAATTGGTTTGAAGTTAGGTTGTAGATTATGTTTTTCGTATTCTTTACTCATGATTTTTATAGCTTATATTCTTCCATTAATGAAGAAAATACTAATACTACAGCTCCACTTCAAGGGGTCTCCGAGCCTTTTATCTGATTTTTGTGTGCACGCCCTCCTATTGCTATACTTTATTAGCCACTTGAAACATGTGTTGCAATGTATTCCATCTATAACTTAGTAATATTGGGGCATTTGTGTTTAGGAAATATTTATGTCGGCATACGAGTGGTTGTTTTCAAATGCTGCTAGAAAACTTTGTTTTATGGAATGATTCTTGCAGACGATAAGATAACAAAGATAAGATAAGGCTAAAAAAATTCAATCTTTCCAAAATGATATTAATTAATATTGCAAACCTAAATAATTATATATATTACTAAATATATTTTTAATGGAATAATTCTTCCATAATTGTCTTAAGGGACCATAAATTATAAACTAAGAATAAGTTTGTCAATACAAAAATTCTAATGAACATTTTCAAAATGCGGGGATAGACAATAAATAATGGAACATTCAGTAAATATATCACAGCTATAGGAGAAAAAATCATAATTATGATCCAATCTGCTTTCTTCTTACTTTCAGCTTGAATGTAATAAAATCTCTAGAAGTTTCACTTGCAAGGTGGAATACGCTTCAGACCTATTTTAAGATCTCCATGTTTTAAATGCTTTCTGAATAAACGAACCATATATTCTAGTCTCTGTGCTTAATATTTGAGGCGCCTCCTACCTATCTCCTTTTTTTTTGTTGGTGGGGGCAAGATACAATAAAATAGCACACAGCGATATCAATAGCCCTACTTTCAATCAAAAAGTTCCCCTCTTGCAATACCTGATTCGAAAGGAAGCTGCCGAAAGAATCTTCCTAGTCTTAAATCTTTTGATATCTACAGCCAATTTATGAAAATCACTTTATTACGCTATACAGATTAATTAGTGGCGTCGACGCCAGAATATTTTATCTATACTAAAGCATCTACTTATGATCTAATCAGCTCCTAAATTATTGGATCTTGACTTCCTTGTCCTCTTCAATGTGTTCGACATGATCGTAAGCATTAATTGTGGCAGATTGGCTTGAAGGCAATTTAGCAACAAATCCATTGATCAAACTAAATTCGCTGGTGACATTTCCACCCAAAGATTGGATCTTGTCTTTGATTTGGGACTTTTCGCTATCGCTAGCTGATTCTTTTAATGTAATAATATATGATTTAAGGTCTGACATAATTGTAAAACTAGAGAAAAAGAAGGTATCCCTAGAAACAGATGTCGAAATAAGTCCTTTACTATATCAAATTATATGCAGTATGGTTTCTAATGATAAATAGATAAGCAACTTAGCACCAACGGCAAAGATGTGGCGATATTCACCCAACTAGATACAATGCGGTACTATACGCCAATTGATCGGGTTTTAAATAAGATCAAGAGAAAGGGATTCTTTCTCTATTCGTCAATCATAGTCTTGTCGACATTATATGTTTTTTACACAATATCACACTTACCAGACGTGCTGAAAATTGAGCCTGAAGCTTCATCAAAGAACAAGATACGTAAGAAGATCAAACACGGAAAGAAAGACGGTGAAAGAAAGATTAAGACTGAACGAAGGAAACGAGCAGAGATCCGAGAGGGTCTTGTGGACGGTGTAGGAGTCCACCCTTCAAGAGAGATGGAGACGAAAATCCCACTTTAGTCAAATAGCAAGAATCAGAACCTACAGTCTATATTCTGAACAAAACTCATTAATTTAGATTCGACACCTACAGTTATGGTATTCAAGTAAGAAGGTCGGAACCGATGATGCAATTGTGAGGAGCGGAAGAAATGCTCAATCGCAACCGGCATCTTATTGGCTAATGGTGTGGCTACTTTCATTACAGGGAATCAACGTATTTAGGGTATCAAAAATAAAATGCTTATTTAAGGATCACTGTATTACAGTTATATGGTTGCTTGGAGCAAAATGTAGGCCTACCAATGTATATCTCGATTGCTTGAAATTGAGTCCGGCTTGCTCTTACGTCTCAGTTTTTGCATTGATTTTTGCACTTGCCATATTGGCCGACTTCATTATATGTATTGCCAGTGTATATACCTGACTGCCTATTATAGTTTATTTACAGGGCGTCTGGTTATAATCCTATAACTAATAAGGTACTAAACTTGCAAGGTATGTTTGCAACATAACTCCCAAGGTACTCCGCCATTAGTATATAAATGGTTAATTTCCACCAATTTCACGAGTTTTTCAATTAATGTTCTACAGTTGTTTCCCCGGTATCTTCAATTGGCTACCCATGTTGCCTATTATGACTCTTTGAAATGGGTATTTCCGTATTAGTAATGAACCGTGTAGTCTAGCCGGTCATTTGGCGGGGGCTTTTGTGTACTTTTTTTTCGAGCAGGATTTCGGCATAATCATTGGACATAATTGCTTTCTAACCTCCTATAAAAAGGATATAATCTAAATTATATAGTTTAAATTATATATACTATAACTTATTATTAAATCAAACTATTAAAAATGGTCAAAGCAGGTATGTATATATAGTATAGGAAAAATGGTAAGATATTTCGGAAGCAATTGATTGATTGGGTAATGAGCAATATAATCGATCGATTTGTTAATTGAAAAATTGAGTTAATTGTTGTTCAATTTTGACTAATTGATAGAATATTTGCTCATTGTAGAAAAATAGGTATCTTACAGGTTATAACTTGCTCGCATTGAGTGGGATGAAGAAATTTTAGGCATACTTACTAACAATAAACAGTTGCTGTATTAAGAGGTGATTCTAAAATTAACGGTGTCGTTAACTTCGAACAAGCATCTGAATCTGATCCTACCACTATTACATGGGAAATTTCTGGTAATGATGCCAATGCTTTAAGAGGTTTCCACGTTCACACATTCGGTGATAACACCAATGGTTGTACCTCTGCTGGTCCTCACTTCAACCCATTTTCCAAGGAACATGGTGCTCCAGAAGACGACAACAGACACGTCGGTGACTTAGGTAACGTTACAACTGATGCATCTGGTATTGCTAAGGGTTCCAAGCAAGACTTATTGGTCAAGTTGATCGGCCAAAACTCTATTTTAGGTAGAACTGTTGTTGTTCACGCCGGTACCGATGATTTAGGTAAGGGTGGTAATGCCGAATCCAAGAAGACAGGTAACGCTGGTGCTAGACCAGCCTGTGGTGTCATTGGTATTTCCGAATAAATTCGTTAAACTTGACACTCGTAAAATATATATCTAAATGTATGACGTTGTTTTATATCTATTATTGTGCGTATATTTGTAAGAGTTGTAATAATCTACTCTCAGTTATACAGCTTGCTGTACATTTGATAGTAAGATTCAGTTGATATTATTGCATAAACATATCCCTTAGATTTTGATCTTAAAGGTATTTCTAATTAGAGTTATGTTCAAGAAAAACCAGTTTCAAATCAATTTTTCAATCCCTCCATTACAGTAAAAATAAATATTATATATTAAAGCTGGTTCCACAAATTTCATAACGGCTTTTCCTTGAGTGGAGTCCTTCTTCAGTATATCTATCTAATCGTTCCTTCCATGTAAACCTTTCCTTTTTTCTCATTTATAATTTGCAACTTATAAGAATCTTCTCCTTCGACGATTCCAAAGGTTACTGTATCATGCAAAAACCATGGCTCAATATTTTTATAGGTAAATTTCCCGATCGTGAAGTCAGGATGTAACTTTTGAAACCAATATAATAAGAGCGTAACCATAAATGGACCTTGCACTATTATTTCTGGTAAATTTTCGATCTCACGGCAATAATTACTATCATAATGAATCTTATGACAGTTATAAGTTAAATGACTGTATCGTATAATGTCATTGTAAGATAATTTGATATTGAGTGCATCATTAAATTTTGGAAAGCTGGCATGATTCGCAACCAGCTGATATAAATCGTTCTTATATATCAATGTCCTATTTTCAATAAAGTTAAGACATTTTGTATCACTGAACTCTCTATTAATATTGACAAATGTTGCATCACCGAATGTCTTGACTGTATGAACTTTTTCTGTACATTTTAAATATTGATTCAACAATGGCGACTTGTAAATTTCAATGTTTCCTTTTACCCACATTCGTCTTTTGTAAGCCTGTTCATCCTTAACCATTGGTGCTTGATAATTGTCATACCCATCAGTGCCAAGACTTGTGTTAGGTTGATTGTTATACAAAAAGTGGAAACCAATTGGTATGTGGTTGTTCTCAAAGCCTAGTTTTTTAGCTTGAAATTTTTTTGGAAATATATCATCTAATAGTAACAACAAGTTGTTGCAGTTTATAGTAGAACATGTATCCTCAAATATCCAAGTTTTCAGTTTAATATATCTAGACCATTGGTCTAAACCTATTTTACTTAAACCCATGATATTGTGATTTAGGTCAAAAATATCTCATCTCTCATCACCAAAAAAATTATTTTCTAAGTAAATTTGTTCCACAACATTAACACTTTTTTTTTCACAAGCAATAATTAACATGAGTACGAGTGAAGCGTTGAAGAATATAAAGAACAAGCAGAAGAGGCTGAAGTTATTTGCTGATTTGAAGCACGAAAAAAACAAGGCCCGTCACAAATTAAGAAATGAAAGAGCTAAGGAGGAAAGGTCAAATCCTGAACTAAAGGAAGAAAGATTAGCGGCAAATATACCAGAAACTATTGAAAGTAAGAGAGTTTTTGATGAAACCATTACTCAAGAAGTGGAGGGGGAAGACGAGTTTGATCAATATTTCACTAGCACAAAGGAACCTAAGATTTTACTCACAACTAACGCTAACGCTAAAAAGCCAGCTTACGAATTTGCGGACCTCTTGATGGATTTCTTACCGAATGTGACATTTGTCAAGCGTAAGAGAGAATTTAGCATGAAAGATATGGCCAAATTTTGTAACAATAGAGAATACACTGACCTTGTGGTTATAAACGAAGACAAAAAGGTCGTAACAGGTATAACATTCATTCATCTACCAGAGGGCCCTACATTCTACTTCTCGGTCACCTCATTAACAGAAGGAAAGAAAATTGCAGGCCATGGTAGAGCCACAGACCATATACCTGAATTGATATTGAACAATTTTAATACCAGATTAGGTAAAACTGTTGGTAGATTATTTCAATCATTATTTCCTCATAAACCTGAATTTCAAGGTAGACAAGTCATAACTTTGCACAATCAAAGAGATTATATCTTTTTCAGGAGACATAGATATGTATTCCGTAATGAAGAGAAAGTGGGTTTACAAGAATTAGGTCCCCAGTTCACTCTCAAATTAAGAAGATTACAGAAGGGTATCAAGGACGATGTTGAATGGGAACACAGACCTGATATGGAACGTGATAAGAGAAAGTTCTACTTGTAATCTATATATTTTGTATATTGCCATATATTTAATTATCAAAATATATCCGTGTATTTTAATAAAGCTATACGCAGGATGTCTGATCTTATAAGGATTAACTAGAACATCAAACGCCTTTACAATCATAATAACTTAAATCGAAAAGAATATTGATAATTTAAATTAATTAACAGCTATTGAGTGTTTACTAGAGGTATATTGAATACAGTGAATTATTGTTTTAATTTTTTTTTTTTTGACTGTTTGAAGAATAAGAATTTAAATTCGTCCACAGATTATTGTCTCTCATTTATACAAATTCTACTATAGTTACTATCATTTATACAAATGACAATGGATAATAGCGGAGTCAATCAAATAATCAATGCCTTAGAGGTCATATATGATCCTAAAGCAACGAATGATCAACGAAGAGAAGCACAAACATTTTTAGAATCGATTAAAACAAATGAAGAATCACCATTTTGGGGTTATCAACTTGCGTTACCAGAAAACAACGGGAAGAATTACATAGTTAGACACTTTGGATTGTCCTTGTTACAAAATTCCATTAATAAGAGATTTCATTTATTTAATTCAGATAAAGTTTCTACCATCAGAAACTGGGTTATCGAATTAGCTAATAAAATAAACCAAGATGATCCTCATTACTTAAAAGAAAAGTTAGCATTTTTATGGGTTTCCGTAGCCAAAAAAATATGGGGCTGTTTTCTTGTTAAGTCATTGAAGGTTGATGCGTCAAGATTGAATGATAGTGAAGGCGAAAATCAAAATAATGATAAATCATCTGTTACAGAACAAGATTTGACTGATGGTTGGGCGTCTATGGATTCTGATTTGTGGAATTTATGGAACAAGAATGTCTGTTGTCGGGAATTATGTCTTATAGTGATCAGAACATTGTTTGAGGATATATATCTCCTAGACGACCCTATCGCATCGAAGAGGACTTCAATTTTAAATCAATTAAGTGTATTGATCGTCACCCCCGAAGATGTCTTGAATTCAATCTATGAACCAAACGCTACATTATCTCTTTGTAAATCTTCCACGGTTGGCTGGTTTACAACTTTAAGCGAAAGTTTGGTTGAAACATTACTGAATAATGAATTCAATAGTTCGACCTGTGAAATATTTGTTCCCAAAATTTTATCTATTTTCAAGACGTGTTTACATTGGATACAACCTATTGTCTTGAGAAATCAAAATATCATGCAGACGTTGATAAATATTTTGACTATTCCAGATGTGAAGTTAAAGACTCTTGCAGTTGACTGCTTACATATTTTATTCACGAGAAATTACAATAACGACGAAGATTTTGATTTTTTCATTGGAAGTATATTTACAAATGAAGGTATAAATAAGCTATCCCAATTTTATCAATCTTTGGAAATTGATCCCAATGATGTTGACGAGCAAGCATACTCATTATTGAAGAAAACTGTAGAAATGATAGTCTCATTAAGTGAGTACTTGAATATATCTTTGCCTCAAAAAAACAAAATATCATGGGAAAATTCGGATATCGACAACTACTTAAATTTGATTTTGACAACAACAAACCACCCAAGTTTAATAATTTCAGGATTGTCATTACAAATGTGGGTAACTATCCTAAGGTTTGATGAATTAAGTTCAAAAAAACCAATACTTAAAATTCTCTTAGATTTGTTAGAAACTTCGGCTAATAGAACTTTAAATTATAGTGTAATTGGTGAAGAAAATGTTTCAAGGATATTCTTAAATATTGATTTTGATTCAATTCCTGATGCAAATTCATTTTTATCAAATTACAAAAAGTTCAATGAGGATATTGTCAGAATTACAGTTTGCAAAAAACCAGAAGAAGGATTAATGTGGCTTGAGAATAGATTACAAAATTTTTTCAGTTCCAAGCTCGGTGAAGAATGTATTCATGAATATAATTTGAATGAAAAGTCAGACGCATTAAATTATGGTACTTCACAATTCAACATAATCGAGAATTGTATTCGGGGTATTTCAAGATGGAGAATATGGTATTCTGGAGATGATTTTGACGTTATAAATGATAGATTAAATAAGCTAGTTGAAAGTCTTGGTGAGAGATTACTAGCTATGAATTTAGCATCTCCATTATTGATCCGTAAGCAGGTACAAACATTAGTCCAATTTGCTCCATTGTTAAAAGATGTGAGTCCTTTAATGTTTCAGGTTTTGGAAAAGATTTTAACCACTGCAACCTTTGACTATCCTAGTAACATAAATGATGATGAAAAAGAATTAATCCGAGACTTACGTACGAGTTGTGGCACAGAACTAAATCGTTTAGCATATATTATGCCAGAATCTTTAAAAAAGATATTCGGTGACTTGGAAAATGTTGTAGGTAATATTCTATCCTCGAAGAAGGTGAGTGATCATGAAAACGTTGCATTTAAATCATTTTTATTAGTTATTGCATCTCGTTCAACTATCGACAACAAAGATGAACTATTTGCAAAGATTGTTGACCCCGAATTAATGGCATGGTCAGCTCCTGCAACTGAAAAGGGGTTAATGGATTTACATTGGTTTATGGAAAGAATAGGAATTGTTGAAATTGCATCTTACTTTCAAAGCAGAGGTATCACAGCAAATACAAATCTTTTAGAAAGTAAAATGGACGATGAAGGTAAGATATTAAAAAACAAACTTAAAGATCATTGGTCCTCCATATTTCCTATAAGAGCTACCAGAATATTTATACAGTATAGTATTGAGAAATTAAATCATGATTCGCCAGAATACTTAAATTTGTTAAAATTATGGAAACCAAGGGTCCAGCCTATTATACCTCATATTTTGCAACTTTTAACTCAAATCCAAGCTTACCATGATCCTGCGAATTGGAAAGATTTACCAGATGCTGTTCAATCTTTCGTCAAATATAGCTGTATGGAAAGATTCTGGCAACAAGGTGTCTCGATTCAGAGTAAGGAAACATTTATAGAGGAAAATGTTAAAGCAGCATTGACATTAAGAGATTTCGCTGACTCTGTTGGACATCTAATTAGATATACTCGAGAATATGCATTTTTAACCATAAGTTCATTATCTCAATTGGAAGATACACTATACGAGATTCCAAACATCGGAAGCATGATTTGGAAATCAGTTGCAGGGGATACAGTGGGAATAACTTTACATAGCTGGAAGCATATGATTAATAGCTGTTTACGGAGTGTTATCAGAAATTGCCCAGTTAAATACGTTGATATTTTCATGACTGATCTATTAATCAAGGCATTTTCTGATATTGATAAATTATTAGTCAGTAAATGGGAAAAGGTTTACATGAACGGTTTGCAGCTACAAGGTAATGAAGACGATGAAACATTGTCTGAAGAAATGATGGAGGAACATATGTTAAGGCAATTAACAGCCACTGTTGTTAGGTTCTTAATGGACATTGTAAGCCAATTTAATGCTAAAAATGTCACTGATACTCAATTTGCTTGTAAAAGACTCATTGCAGAAAATAAAGAAGTTTTGGCTCCATTTTTAAGGATATGTTGTCATATCATAATGTTTAAAGATACTAAATGCTCCTTTAATACCATTTTGGTTATTAGAAATGTATTATCGGAGATTTTACTCAAGGATGATGAGGTAGATAAGTATCTCTGTGATAATCTTATCAAAGCATTGTTGAATGTATTAATGGATGAGTATTTTATCGAAACCCACTCTGAAGCGGCTATTGCTTTAACCACCTTGTATTGCTCATTAAGGTCAAAGAATGACTATCCAGCAAGGGTCTTTGTTCAGATTTTACCAAATATAACCACACAACATATAAGCAATTTTGAAACTTTATTGGTAAGTTCAAAGTCTTTGAAGCACCAAAGATCAGCTTTATTAGAATTAATCAAAATTTCAAAAGAAGTTGATGAAGATTCTTCTGACAGTGACTTAACAAAGCGTAAAAAACAGTTAGAGAATGCTGTAGCTACAAGAAAAAAGAAGCCACAAAATAATGATGTTATGAATGACCCTTTTATTGAAAATGGTCCTCTTAATAATTTATTCGGTGACGAATAGTTACATATATTCTTTTCTTTGTATTGTATTTATGTAATATTTAGTATTGGTTTAATTCAATAAACGGTGCAGTCGTGTTAATTAAAATCTCAGATATGAAAAACTAAAAACAAAATCACATTGTCTAACTTTCAAAACACACGTAACACAAGACCCCAATATCAGTACAACAATGCCTATTAAGTCACTTGAGTCATACTTATTTGAAAGGAAATTGGTTAATACTAGTTCGATTGAAATTCTTCAGAATGCCACTATTGGTATCGATGTCGAACATTATTTAAGTAGAATCTATACCTTCAAGAAGGAACAATTTTTATCAGGAATTGGAGGAATTCCAAGCTCTTTGAAAGATTACATTCATTCTGATTTACAAGTGTTTAAAGAATTTAACATTAAGCCTGTTTTCATTATATCTGGATTGGGTATTGAATTGCAACACAATGATTACAAGACAAATGAATTATCTCCACAAGAACAACACCTTGAAAATACATGGTCAAAGCTCAACTCGAAGAGCCTGAATCCTTACGGATATAACAGCCTGAATAATGAGTCGTTTAGATTATTCACTGATCCATTGCCATTAAGACCAATGATAAACGATTTAATTAAATATTTTATTGAAATCGGTATTGACTATATGATTTCTCCTTATGATGCGTCTTTTCAATTATCATATTTATACCAAAACAATGTGATCGATTCTATATATGGATCTACTGACTTATTGTTGACGAAGATTGATAAATTCATTTTAGGAATGGAATTTCAATCAAAAGACTTTAGATTTATTGATAAATTTAAAATATTAAATGAATTAAATTTGACTGAAAAACAATTTGTTGATTTAAGTATAATGGTTGGCTGTAAAGTGCAACCAACAACGTTTCCAACTTTTCCACCTTTACCTAAACCAACACCAGGTCAACCATACCCTCAATTGAGCTATTTCAAACTTCATTTGGAAATGATTTACCAGTATAATTCTTTCAATGGTAACAAGTCTGCTGACTTATATCCTTATATTGTGGGTTTAAATGACCCTAAATTATTAGATTTATACTTCAGAGGACACTCTGCACTTAAATTTGTGCCAGTTTTAAATATGGATGGTTTTGTTGACTTGTATTCAGTAGAAATGGCCAAATTGGGTTTGATAGATGAATCAGATTTGATAAAAAACAATGATGAAGATAGTAATACTGAAACAGAGACTGGTGCTGATGCTGAAACAGACGCTGATATTTATGTAAATTCCAAATCTAAAGGAAAGGGCAAAACAGATAACCGAGCTTCAGTCGCAGGAAATGGCATTCCTAATGCTGCCAAAAGTATTGTGAAGGTTCCTAATAATATTCATGATATTATTTCACAAAGGTTACCACCTGAAATATATTTCTACCAATCAATAGGATTATTGCGTATTGAAATATTGGAATCTATAACACAGGGTCAATTGAACATTAGACCACCTCTTGAAAGTGGATTAAGCGATACATATAAAAAGTTGATTACTCTACCACAGTATAATAAATTATTAGATCTTCAATTTAATTTAATCACTCAACTATTAGCCAGATATTACCAAGTTAAGAAAATTAAGGTAGACTACTGGTTTAAGGATGAATTAATTGAGTTAAACAACAGATTGACACCTCCTTTCTATCAACAAGTTAGCCATTTGGTGCATACCAGCGACAATTCAGGCGACAAATTTAGTTTGTCTAAATTCTTTACCGAATTAGGGGAAGAATTTAAAACAGGTCCTGTGTCCAATAAGGATGTTAAAAGTAATGAAGATATAATATCTACCGTGTTGTTACGAAATTTATACATGTTGGGGGTTATTGACAATAAAACTAATAAATTGAACCTGGTAGGTAAAATATTGAAAGCTTTTACTTCTAAATATGGTCTGGAGATAGATGAAACAGAACTACAAGAATTGATTATTATTTTGTTCCTAATTAATTCAAATACAATCAAATTGAATGAGCCAAATAGAGAGTACAATGGTGTTCCTAAATTCTTCAAAGAGTTTGGAAATGAAGAAATAAAATTAGCTGATGACGATTTGAGACATATAACTTTAATTTCCAGAATTTTCTCGCTTCACAAGTTTAAGGTTTCACCAATTAATTATCAAGGTCCTATATCTAGGGCTTTGATTAATTTTAGGTCGCATGTCAAATTTGTTTCTAATGCTGTCATTAACAACATTGAATGTTTGTTAGTTGATTTCATTGTACACCAAGAAAACAGTACAATTAAATCAAATTTTAATGATAAGGGTGATTGGTATAAGTTAATCGACCAGTTACCGTTCTATAATGACTGTAACAACACCTTGTTGGGGATTTTGGCAGAAATTTATTTTGAATATTCTATCAAGCAGAAGCTTTCATCACAAGAATTTTCAAAAGAAGAGATAATCAAGAATACCAAGGACCATATATTAAATTCAGTGTTCCAAATTAACAATTCCTCGTTCAATATTAGCGTGAATGGGGTTAACAGTATAACTACTAATCAATTACTTCATGACTTAGACAGCGGCATTAAATTCTGGTCTTATTTCATTAAACTAGTTGAAATTATTCATGCAGAGGACACTTCCTTGATTAATGATACTTACTTCGAATCGATTCTTCAAACGGATAAGTGGTTACATGAATTTGTTTGATAGCTCTTTCTAAATTTTTTTTTTTGTTTCTATTATTTCTTATCCTGTCCATATTTCTGCATGGAAATTCATATGTAAGAGTTATATAAGATTCTATATTAGGAATAATAGATAGGATATGATTTAAAGGATATGTGATTTTTGATTATATAAGCCTTATATGAATATGGAAAAATAATCACCATCCAACTGTATACATCCAAAAACTTTATTTAAGTATGATCCCAATTAAGAGTATTAGAGTAGTAGAAAGGTCATTGGGGGCGTTCGGGCTACGTTCTATAAGTATCTTATCTAAATTTAAATTCAATAAGAGCCGGGATATATCCAAAGAAATATCAAATGATAGTTTACCGAAAGGTACTGGCAATGGGCCTTTCATAGAATTACCGTCATTCAAACCATTGGGAAATCCTAGTGATTTGCTTAATATTACATTGCCACAGTCATCAAAATTGAGTATTAGGAATGGTACCATTATAGGTATAAATGGGGATTTAAAGAATCTAACAAGTGTTCCCCAAATATTACATAAAACTGAATATCAAGAATTAATGTCTAATTCATCTGTATCATTACTAATCAATGGAGGTATGAATAACTATTCAATAATTGAAGTAAACAGCATAGAGGACAAATGGACTATTTTGAATGATAAAAATATTATTGCATGGACAGGTTTTAATCTACAATTAGACCCGATAGAGGTTCTTGAAAAGTGTAATAGCTTCCAAACTAATGGAAAGGGAATAATTATAGTGAATGGAGAAGAGCAGTTATTCGATATAACATTAAGTGCTAATGAGCAGATTATAATAAACCCAAATAGTTTGGTTGCTTATAACTCATCAATTAGTTATGCCACTCTCAATAGTCCTTGGACTCAACCATTGAATTTTTTCAGGAAGTTCCAATTTCCTACCATTGCTCATTCATCCATCAATAGTGTTAAATCGTTTATCGGCTCGCAATATTCAAGAATAATTAGTTCTCTTGGAATTAATAACGAAATGAAGGTTCTAACAGGCTACTACAACTCTTTTAAACAGTTTATAACTTTTAACGTTATCAATAAGTTCTACAATAAGCCAATTTATTTCAAAATTACTGGCCCTGGAAGATTGCTTCTAGATAATAATAACCATCTTCCGAACCGCAAAAATTTCTCTAAGAAAGAAATTAACGATATCTTAAGAAACTAGGGAGTTCCAAATAATAGTTTTAGTGGTAAATTGTTGTTTACTCATATCTATCTCCCAGTAGTTAATTTTATATTTAATTAAAATTCTAAAAATAAAAGTTACAAAAATCGAGCTCTTTTGATTCTTGAAAAATTCTCCAGAACACAAGGAAAATAGCACATCAATTTTTATCAACAATCAAGTAAATAAAAGACACATCACAAATCAATATCTGTATTAATATAACTTTGACTACTTCAATTCGCTTTTTGTTATTTCATTATTTATTTTAGATCATTTCAATTCGTTTTCCTTAAATTTATTACAACTCAATTATTTAGCCAAATATTTACCACATTCTATTACGAGATATTTATGACTAATCTAGAATGGAAATTTACAAGATAACTACACCAGGAGAGTGGAAATACTTCGCAAAAGGCAACGCTAATATATTATTCAGATACAATGGTAGCAATGATTATTTAAGGCACAAGTTATTAAGAGTCAGATTATTGAAGGAAGATGAACAATACATCTCTACTTGTGAACTATATGATTTTATTGAATTGAAATGCAAACCATTATTTCCTCATCAAATTATCGATATTCAGCTAGTAGTGTTGACTACTGATTTCGTGAATCAATTGAATAATGAAGGAAATAAATTGATGACAAAGGAAAGATATGGATTGTTATTACCTAATATACTTGATGGTGATTATTGCAAACAGTTCTTATCTAGAAATTGTCAACTATATGTTGGAACTGATACTACTATTCAAGAAGCCGACAAAAGTAGAAATACAGTTCCTGAAAAATTCAGTGACTTGCAAGGTCAAGAAGAAAAGAATTCAAAGCAAGCAGGACAAAACAACAATAATATTGATTCAGTGATATTTGAAATAAAACCCAAATGGTTATATGATAATATTTCCTCAAATTATTGCCGAACATGTCTGCTTAATCAACTAAGAGGTTTTCAAAGACATTTTTGTCCTCTTGATTTATTATATGAAAAAACAATTGATCAGGGTCTAGATGATATACTCCTGTTAATACCGCGAGATTTACTAAGAGAGATATCTGAAATCAATAAAATCCCTGTCAAACAACTATTTAGGATTTTTTTGAAAAACCCCGATAATGTCTTTCAGAAACTAAAGGAATATCAGAGAATCAATAACAAGAATGACTTGATTAAGAATATTACTTCCATGTATGATGTACTGCAGAACCTTTCTTTAGTTATGACACTAAGAGATGTTGGGATATTCATTAAGTTTGAGAAATATAACAAGTATAATAACATTCATAATTCACATAACAACATTAATAATCTAATCAATATTGAAGGATATGGTAAATTTTTATTAACTTGCAATATATACGATTTAGATTTGAAATCTAAATTGAAATACAAACATTGGCTAGATACTGAAAATAAGTTGCAAAGTATATATAAATCTTCAAATCCAAATTGGAGACATTGCGTCAAAGTTCATGATAATACTGATAACTTAGGAACCTGATATAATCTAAATTCATTTTTTAATTACTAATATATGATATTTATATTAAATTAAATTAAGTAGGCATTTTGATAGAACTTTAGTGTAATATTTCTCTATACACCATATTTCGTGATCTTCTTACGAAAGCAGCAATCTACCATACATCTTCTTGATATTTATTTTGAGTCTTGTAAGATCTAATCAACTCTGCGGCCCTTTCATCAGAAATATCTCTTCCTTTAGCTATGATCTTAGCTAAAGTGCTCTGTACGTCTCTTGCCATTTTAGAAGCATCACCACAGACATATATAAAAGCCCCGTCATTTAATAATGAATTAATTTGTTCAGCATTTTCTAATAACTTGTGTTGAACATACTCTTTCTTATTAGGATCCTTTCTAGAAAAAGCAACATTCATTTCAAATTGTGATCCTAATACTTGAGCATAAGAAGGCCATTCATCTTTGTACAAGTAATCTTCATCTTCATTTCTACAACCATAGAATAACATTACTTTACCAATAGTGGCGTTGTTGGTCTTTATTTGAGAAATTTTTTCTCTAACAAATCCTCTGAAAGGAGCAATACCAGTACCAGGTCCAATACAAATTATTGGAGTTGATGGGTTGCTAGGTAACTTAAACGTTGATCTTCTAACATGAACTGGCAACTTGTAATTCGAAAATTTGTTTCTTGGGCCTTTCAAATTGTATGTAACGGTGGGCTTATCTGACTTATTATTTTGCGCAATCTCTATATTTTTTAATAAGTTGGTGACAACGCCTGTCACTAATTGATCTCCTATTTTCTCAGATTCAACAACCGCTGTAACATGGATAGTCGTTTTTTCGGACAAAGACGATGAAGAGATCGAGTAGTAACGTGCCTGCAAATGTGGAACAGATTCCACAATAAATTCAAAAGGAACATTCTTCCATGGCTTTCCATTGGAAAGGTTCAATAAAGCGTCCGCCATATTGTAACACTTTTCATGAATTTCCTTAGCGAAAAATTCTTTGCTATTACCTATTCTTAACACCTCCTTCTTCGTTTCTTCATCTGGAGCAAACTGGGCGATTGCCAAAAAGAACTGTCTGGAGACGTCACCAGAAATTTCTAAATGATGTCTAACAACGGCACCATATGTAATTGGAGTATGGAATGGAATTGCAACTGTCGAATCTTCAGCCCTAAGTTCAAAAACGACATCCGCTTTATCGAATAAACCAAAAGCTTCTAAAAATCTATCGATATTTTCATTTGAGTTTGATGGCCAAATTGCTAAGTGATCACCTGTGGAATATCTTAAATTGGTTCCCGATAAATCAAATTCTGCATGAACACAAGACCTTGTCTTGGAATTGAATAACTCTTGAGTTTTTACAATTTTTGATAAAAATGGATGTGAATGATCAAATGGACCCTTAGACAAATCTACTGAATTTGAAACATAAGCGGAATTTGGTTCACCATGTGAAACCACTGCATCATCCATTGAATGAACCGATTCTATCAATTTCAAACTTGGTTGATAGACTGCTTCGTGTTCTTCAAAATTCAAGTTATTCTTTAACGAATCGATGACCAGGTCTTTCCAACTTAAGAAATCTTCATCCATGGTACCCAAACCATCGTCACCTTCTCCATAAGCACTGAATCTTTCTGCACCTAACTCTTGTAATCTTTCATTAGTTTTCTTACCTATCGCATTGTAAAATTCATACGTCGAGTTACCTAATCCGAACACGGAGAATCGTAATGATGAGAGTGTGTCTGCTTCGTTATCTAAGAAATTGAAAAAATCAATAGAGTTATCTGTTGGCTCCCCTTCACCATAAGTAGCCATCAAAAAGAAGCATAAAACATCTTCACTAATTTCTGCAAAGTTATCAAAATCATAGTCCGCAAAGTCCACTGTCATTGGCTTTAACCCGAATCTCGAACCCAACTCCTTGGACAACTTGGACGCGTAGTCTTCGGCGGTACCTGTTTGACTCCCGTAAAAAATAATACAGTTCTTATTATTTTTATTCAATGTTTCTATCAAATCCCTTGAATGACCTCCAGCTGACATATTAGCGACAAAACCGGCCGACGTTCCATCGTCTCCAGGCCAAAATTTATCCTTTCCTAAATATGCCAATATGGCAAGCGCCAACGCTACCATTACTGAATAATCTAACGTATCTAAAGCCATTATGAATATCTTCTATTAATGTATCAAGGATTTATCTATATTTAATAAAACAACTGTTTTGGTTCAAGCCTGAATAGTTGAAAATCTAATTGTGAATTTCCTTTGATTTATTATACGATCGTTCAAAAATGCGTGTGATATTCGTTACATAATGTTGGTCCATGTTATCTTGTGAACGGTCCGACTCCACATACCATCTACCCCTAATTATATAACTATATATATATCTATATTTTCCCCTGTAACACAATCACATTCAAATCTAATTATGTTAATATGTAACATACTTTGGTGATTTTAGCCCAGTATTAAATATCTCTGTTGATCAGTAACTCCCATTGAACTACGAAGAATCTCTAATATCTTGTTCATTTACAGGATTCGGGTCATTATCAGTCAGGTCTTGAGTAGGAGTAGCTTCAGGTATCAGAACTGGCGCCACATCCAATGAGATACCATATGCTTTTTCTATAGTTGACAATGCTTTTTTTTCGGTGTCGAGGTCGAAGCTATCTCCGTAAACGGTTTTGACATATGCAAACACCGAAAGAGGTGTGAACTCGACTAGAGACCGTCTTCCTAATTTGTAATCGACATTTTCTACGTTATTAGAATCCTTCTGTATCTCTTTTTCTAAGTATTCTCGTTTGACAAGCTCATTGATGAGTTCAGGCAAACTGGCATTCAAACTAGAATTCTTGGTATTAGGATGGTCGGATAGCCCAAATCGCCTTAGACCCTTCACTAATTCGTGTTCTGACATGTGATTCTCTGATATTATAAGGAGAGTCATAATTAATAATGTCACGCCTGTTTTAACCATATCAGTATTAGATCCCAAACTAGACGTCTTATTGTACCTGGGTAAAAAGTATTGATCATCACCAGTATTTCTGTTGTTGGGTACTGCAACATCGCTGCCTTCAAGCCATATATCATGAAGCACACTGCGACCCTCTGGACTTAAGCAATTCGTCAATATCAATGGCTGTCTCCCACTACTCTGGCTTGATTTATTCTTCTTCTCGCCTTCTTTTGGTGGCATAACTACTAATGTAAGTCCGTACACCTCCTTTAAAGTTTGTTTCACCCTCTTCATCAATTCATCATAATTTATTCGACGGTTCGAATATAACTGTGTTATATGTTCTCTTCTGATAACCTGACTTTTTAATTCTCTGCTCATGATATACCGTACGACTTGGTTCTCAACATCTTTAAATTCGCTATTATTATGACTTGTAGATTCATATTCTGATTCACCTGAATCTGATTCGAATACTCCCGATTCTTCTAATTCTGCCTGTGATATTGTTCTTTTAGACATCTTATCATGTTAACTCGAGTTTGGCTTGGTTGATTAATATAATTTCTGTTCTCATAAAATTTCACCTACCTCAATGTTTACATAAGAGCCATTGTTGGTATGCATCTCCTAGAATTATATACAATACATATTCATTATACGGCATAAGTGGTGGATGAACCATACGAGAACGTCCACAAACTGTTTGTATAAATACCCCCACAATTCAGCATTGAAATATTTAAATAAATAATCGTTTACGTTTACGTTCTAAGAATTCATAGATGTCTGAAAAACAGAATATGAAACCAAAGGTAGCAACAGATTTTATCAAATTCAATTCACGGAGGTCAACCGTGTACTCTACGAAGGGAATGGTTGCATCCTCCCAAGCATTGGCGAATCACGCAGGTATCAAGGTCTTGTCTAAGGGGGGCAATTGTGTTGACGCAGCAATTGCTGTTTCTGCCGCGTTATGTGTTGTTGAACCAGGATCCACTGGAATTGGAGGAGACTGCTTTTCGTTATATTACAAACGGGAGACTAAGGAGGTTCATGGCTTGAATGGTACTGGGCGGTCAGCCAAAAACTTGACAATCCAAGATATCTGTGATTGTTACAATAATGGTCAACCAATGAAAAGAATTCCTCCTGAATCGGTATTGACGGTAAATGTTCCCGGAGCAGTGGCCGGGTGGGTTGATTCATTTGAAAAGTGGGGATCTGGAAATGTGACTCTAGAAGAGATCTTAGAACCAGCAACTTCGCTAGCCGAAGAGGGATTCCCAGTCTGTGATATAGCATCACGATTATGGCAAAGTGCCGAGGATAAGCTTAAAAAACAAAATCCCGATTCCAAGATAATCGAAAATATGTTCCTTTTTGGAAATGCTGCCCCAAAAGAAGGAGATTTTGTTACCAATAAGCCACTTGCTGAAGCATTTAGAGTTATTGCTAAAGGAGGCAAAGATGGCTTCTATAAGGGCCCAATAGCAGAAGCAATTATTAGAGAAACATCGTCGAGAGATCATAAATTGGACTTGAACGATTTAGCAACCCATACATCAACTGTCGTAAACCCAATTAAAACTCAATTCCAAGATTATAAAGTATGGGAAATTCCTCCTAACGGTCAGGGTTTAGTTGCATTATTGGCTTTAGGAATCATTCAGCAACTTCATAAGAGTGGTAAGATTGATTTATATAAGTTGAAACATAACTCTGCAGAGTACTTCCACGTTCTAATTGAGGCAACAAAGATTGCATTTTATGATTCGGATGAATATGTTACGGATCCTGAATTTTCAAAAATCCCACTTGATGACCTCTTGAGCGAATCATACTTGCAAGAAAGGGCTGAATTGTTCAACAAGGATAAAATATTGGATAGCAGTGTTATTAAGCACGGTGTACCTAATCCTAAGTATAAATCGGACACTGTATACCTTGCAGTTACTGATTCTAATGGAGATGCTTGTTCATTTATTAATTCTGTTTATGATGATTTTGGTTCTGGTATTGCGGTTCCCGATTATGGGTTTTGTTTGCACAATAGAGGTGCCAATTTCAATTTAACACCTGAACTTCAAAATTGCTTTGAAGGAGGTAAAAGACCTTACCATACAATTATCCCATCATTAATAACAAATGTGGAAGATGATTCTTTGTTTGCTGCCTTTGGTAACATGGGTGGCTACATGCAGCCAGTTGGCCAAGTGCAGCATGTCTTGAATCTATGCATCTTTGGTTTCACACCTCAACAACTGATTGACCTGCCAAGATTTTGTCTCAATGCTACAAAGGATAAAATAGACTCAGACAGGGGTAGGGGAAGTGACGGGCCAGTGTCAACTGCTGTGACTGAAGTTGCATTAGAAGATGGAATTGACTCAAGTGTTGTCGAAGAATTATCAAAATTGGGACATACTACAAAGGTAGTTACAGGTTACAATAGAAAAATCTTCGGACGTGCCCAAATTATCCAAGATGCGTCTAAGGATGGTCAATTAATATATGCTGCTGGTTCAGACTTAAGAGGTGACGGAGCTGCTACACCATTTTTCTAGGTTATGTAATTTCAGAAATCGCATACTGGATGTATCCTCTTCTCTCGAAGAAAAAAAAA